CTTGAGGGAGCTGGGGAGAAAGTGCCTGAGAAGTTCTGCTCTGAGTACTAGCTCTGAAATTATACATTTCAGGGAGGTTTATCAATTTCTCAGGCTAAAAATACAGCGTTATGCTACAGTTCCATGACGTTAGCACTCTGTCAGGAAGCAGGCACCTCTGCCCAAATTTGTCTTCCAGAAACTTGTTTTGGCCTTGGTGCCACCACATTCCTTCCTGCTGGCAGCGTCATTTCTGTGATTGCACATGGAATTGGTTCCAGCAGAAAAAAAACAATAATCTTGTTTCCTCCAGGCTACTGTTAGGCATGCTCCTGTGTCTCCAAAGGAGTGCTTGGAACAGTGTAGGATTGCACAGGGGTGGGTTACCTGGATGGATGGAGACAGAGAGGGAACACTCTCTGACAAGAGAGTCTGTCAAGGGGACACTTCTTCTGGCACTACCCCAGTGTTCATTTAACTGTCATTGTTTTGTGCTTGGCACTTTGATGTAATGAGCTGTTCATCCTCTGAAGAAGTTGCATCATGAGTGAATAAGGCAGAAGTGTGGGAGCAAGGAAGTAACTTCTCTGATTTTTATTGGGGAAATTGAGGCTTAGAGAATTAAACAACTTGCCTAAGAGTAGAAAGGCTGACTTGCCAAGAGCCAAATTCCAGTCTCCTGAATCACAGCCTTGTGCCTTATCCACAAGACCTACCTTTCTCTATTAGCATTTCCTTTCTCTCCACCCTGTTTTGAGGGAGGCACAGTAGCATTGTTCTAATGTCAAACAAACTCGAAGTGTGGTAGAGGAACGCTTCCAGCAGAGTGACTTGAACAACCTTTGAGTTTATCATTAATCTGGAAGCCATGAGTTTTTTTTGAGAATGGCTTCTGCATTGGAGCCTTCCTCAGGACCAATAACCACAAAAGCTTTAAGCTGACATTGTTTAAGAAAGACACCTTTGAGATTAAAAAACATACTTCTAACAGCAAAAAGTTTCTTAAAGCATAGAGGAGTGGAAATTTCTAATCTGGTGGTAGGTGAGGCTTGAGATAGAGTGGGCAGGACAACAGGACTTAACTTTGTTCCTTAAGGAGAGAATGATTTTATTAGTACTATTCTTGCTCCTAGTGATGTACCTTATTAGGAGAGCCATATGCTGAAAGTACCTTATTGTCTGCTTAACCAGGCCAGTGACAAGAGCCTTATCTTTGATCGAAGTCAGATAGCTGGGAACAGGAAATAAAGACTTAATGGTTTGCCTGTGCTGCTCTCCTGTCACAGCCAGCTTCATTGGGCAATGCCTGTGCTAAGCACCGCTGAAGAGCCGTAGTCCTGGGCTTGACAAATACCATGTCAAACACTCAGTCCTTTGTTGTAGGAGGTTTTAGTGCTGGCTTTTTATCCCTCCTTTCTAGCCTTGCTTGCCCCATGATGTTCCCTGCCAGAACAGGGAGCTTTACTCCTTGTAGCAATGTAGGTGTTAACTGTGCTAGAGCGGCAGCCAGTGAAAAGCAGGAGGGTAGGACTTGTCTTTGGACTTGACAAGTGGAGAGAAATGGGATCTTAAAACACTTGCTTTAACTGGAAGACAGGAAGTGAAGCACTGGATCAGACTGGCCTAAGAATTCTGGTATCTCGCCTCTGGCTATAGCCAAAGTCAGCTGACAAAAATAATAGTGAAGCACCTGGCTTTTGTTATGCAATGCTGCAGGAGGGGAATTCCGTCCTGCTTTTTGCAGAGATCTGCATATACCCAAAGCTATGACATGTTCTTACACTTCATGGCAGTTGCTGACGAGGTTTCTGTGATTGCCAAAACTGTACTGCAATCCTCTAGTTCACCTCACTCTCCCGGGATAATTCCTGTGCCAGGGATTCCGATGGCAGCAGAGCAGAGTTGCATACAGGGTAGTCAGGAATAGAGGAATATTTTCATGCTTGCACAACTTTGAGTAAGGCCTCTTCATTTGCTTAGGTTTTTGCCTTTTTCTTGGGACACTTCTTAGAATGTTTTATAAAAACAGCTATGCTGGTCTCAGACTAAAAGCTCCTTTTGTCCCACTATTGTGCTGTGCCCTGGCCATTGGCTTATGGCTACTGCTAGAGAAAAACATCAAGAAAACATCTCCTTTTCGTGCTGTCCTTCCTCCAATCACTTTGTTCAGATCCTCCTGAGCCAGATCTAGTCTGTGCATTCTCATGATGGGAATACATTACATTTTACACAGTGCAACTCTTCACATAGTTGATTGTCCTCTTTATCACAAGTTGTTTTCATTTGAAGGAAGAGAGATAAAGCTTTTGGGATGCTATAAGAAGTGCAATCCATGTGTATTTTTTCTTTAAAATAACACCAAGGAGCAGTTTGTACCAAAGACCCTGCTGTGTATGTGAGACACCACCCCAATTTCAAACGTGCAATCTTAAGGATTATCTTTGAGTAGCCTGTTCCTGCAAGCCCTAAGAGTTAGAGTTCAAAAGAGCTGGGGAAAAGTAGGGAATGTTTACTATGTTTTAGTCATAACACAGTATTTGTATTGCCTGGAATACTGCCCTTAATTTCACATCGGTTTAGACTGTGTACCCTACACTAACACTTTCCTTCTGAAGACATCAATAGATACTTCTGGTTTGAGCCAGTCTCCTTGGTCCTCTGGTCTGTGTTTACTCAGCAGTGTCGTGGGCTGGAGAAATAGGTGGGAAACAGGGATATAAACTGTATTTAGGCAAGCAACTAAAATTGTTTCTGAGATGTTGCAGTTTTTACTATCAGCGATTTGGAAAACCAGCCTGAGATAAGTAAGGGAAAGTATTTAGTTTACCTATACATCCAAAGTCAAAACTCACATCTACAGCTTCAGTTATCCCACAGGAATTGCTGTCCTTTCCTTTTAAAAATCCTGTCCAGGTCACTCCTGTGATCTGCAGGGATGCCCTCAAACTGGGAGCATTTCTCTGGCTGCTCAGCCCTGGGAATAAAGGCTTGTACAAAATTTCCACCACCAAGTGATCAATTTAAAAACTAAAGTATCTTCCAGTACGAGGTGTTGATGAGCTGATTGTTTGGATGGGGCACTTAGCAGGGAGAATTCAGGTTGGGCAGTTTTTCTATTCACTGCCTTTGTTGTAGAGCAGCACAATTTTATTTGTGGTCGCTTTGTCAGTTTGTGCTTTGTGGTCACATGTGCCTGGGTAGGTAAAGTCTAAATGTGATTTAAAATATTAGACCTGCTTTATTGTACATTGTCAGTCATAGGGAATCCAAAAAATCCCTGAAGACGTTAAAGTCTAGTCTGAATTTCTTACATATTTAGGGCATTGCTGGTTTATATCTTTTGTGTTGTTTAGTTTTGGCTTTTTTGTGGGAAAGAAAATAAGAAATTACATTCTTCTGGCAAGAAACTAACCCACAGCCATAGAATTATTTTATTATAGCATCTGAGTAATGTAGTTTTTCTTCTCCTCAATCATCCAAGGCTAATGTCACAGACATTTTGATTATCCTGTATTCTCCCTAGGATTCATCCAATTTCACTCCAATTTCAGTTCTAAGTTTGACAGGGGTGCAACAATCCTACCATGTGACAAACCATGAATCTTTAATAAAGAAAGCTTTGCTTGTGGGGTGGAGAAAGATAATTTTTGTTTATAAGAAATATGAGGATAGTTGAGCCAAAACTAAGGTTATAAAGAAAAGTCTTGTTGGGATGGACTACAGAGCATCAGGAAGAATAAGCATTTGGCAGCCTCTTCTGCTTAGTTACATGGATTAGTGTATGAATTTGCAGATTGTAGAACAGCATTTTCAGCTGAGCTTCATTTCTGTACATCCCAATAGCCTTAGCTTTAGAAATAGGATAGTGGGGGAAAAAAGCAAAAACCTATTGGTTTTGTACCTCACTTGAGTGTTCTTTCAAGATTTTCTTACTGTTTTATTAATCTTTCTTTTTCAGGGATTACTAATTGATTTAACTGCATTTTCACACAGGACGGTTTATTCCACTCCCAGATTAAAGATTTAAGGAAAAAAATTAAATTTTATTGTTAACTAAGCAGTGTTACACCACAGCTAGGTGTGGCCTTCCTGTTCCTCTTTTTTCAGGCGTTTTTTAACTTGCCCCCACATTTGTTTGTTTGTCACTGACCTCTCCACCTGATCCAAACACGGAGCTGTTCCCAGTGTCCAGCTCCTTGGCTTCACCAAGCTGTGAGATGCAGGGTCTGGGATGCTCCAAGGGTTTGGTAGATTTAGAGCTGATCATTGTGGCTGAGTGGGCTTGTTGGTGATTATTTCTTACCTTAGCTGCTATCTTGGTCTAGTATGTACAGCTTAGTTATTGAATCAGGGTGGGCTGGAAGGGGCACTCAAAGCCCATCTTGTTCCCACTCCCTGCTTTGGCAGGAGCATTTTCCACTGCTCCAAGCTCCATCCAGCCTGGCCCGGAACACTTCCAATGATGGGGCATTGCCAACTTCTCTGGCTAGGCTTGTTCCACTGCCTCACCACCCTCACAGTAAAGAATTCCTTATCAGTATCTAATGTAACCCTGCCCTCTGCCAGTTTAAAGCCATTCCTCCTTGCCCTGTCGCTACAGGCCTTGGTAGAAGTCTGTCCTTATCTTATAAACCCCATGAGGGGCTTAGGTAGGCTGGAAGGCTGCACTACAGTCTTGCCTGGACCTTTTGCTGTGGGCTGACCACCACGCTCCATGCATCCGAGGAAAAGATGGATAAGGAGAGCGCTTGGCTGACGGGGCCATGAAACACGCTCTCGCTGTGCCTGCCCTGCTCGGAAACCAGAGATTAACTTTTCCTTTGGACTTGTGGCTGCCGGGAGGGCCTGTTCCCGCGGGCTGGGTGTCCCGGTGCCCGCGGATGGGTGTCCCGGTGCCCGCGGGCTGGGTGTCCCGGTGCCCGCGGATGGGTGTCCCGGTGCCCGCGGACGGGTGTCCCTGTGCCGCGGGCTGGGTGTCCCGGTGGCACGTCCGCCGCCCGCCCCACGGGAAATTCCCCCTGAAAAGGGCGGCGAGCCCGGCAGCCGCGGCCGTCCGAGCGTCGCTGCGAGGTGTGCGGGCCCGGGCCGGAGCCCCGCGGCGCAGAGGCCGGAGCGGAGCTGTCAGCATGGCCGGTGAGCAGCGGCGGGGGCTCGGGGCGCTCCGGGCTCTCCCTCGCTCCGCGTTTGCGCTGCGAGGCTGAGCGGCGGTGGTTCGTGGATCGCGATGAGCCCTTACGAGGCTGTTCCGTTTCGAATGGATCTCTTAAAATGGGGTGGGAGCGTTTAGGTGTTAAATAAGCGCCGGGTCCCCGTATGGGACGGAGGAGGATGAAGGTTGGGTCGTGCTCATCGGGAGCCCGTTCACATCGGAACTCGGCGGTGGGAATGCAAATGAATGAGAAAGAGCGATGGCACAGACGCAAAGTAACGCAGATAAGGGATCGTGCTTTGAGTAATTACAACAAAATGCGCAATTAAGTTTCTAGAGGCTAAATTAAGCCGAGTTTGTCATCCTTTCGGGAGGCGTCCCGCTGGTGTCTTTCTTAGGGTTAAAAAAAAGCCCCTAAATTTAAAACTTGCCTGTACTAATTAGAATAGTATTTCTAGGCAAAGCAGCTTTTCAGAACATGAGTGTGTGTTCTGTTCCCACTTAGCAAGGTATGAACTTTCACTCCTGATAAATACATAGGTGTGCTGACTATCAACACGGAGAGAAAGCAGCTGGGCTTGTGCTTTAAGTGTTATGATGTATTTTAAAGTCGCAACAATGAAGCAGGGGAGAGCAGTTTCGGGTTGTTTTTTTTTTTTTCTTCGTGTCTATGTATTTTCAGTGTAATTAGGAACCAGATAAGGAATTTTTTTCAGCGGGGGAAGTTTATAACTTCCTGGTACTAGCTAGCTTTTGTCGGTTTGTTTTTTTTTTTTTTTTCCTTTTACTTGCCGTTTTGTAATGTAACACGATAGTAAAGAGGAAGTTCGTGAGCGTTGTTTGGTCTCTGTTAGAATTTGTGCAGTTTATGGAGCCGTAGGTAGATTACTTCTTTTTCAAATCAAATCTTACGTTTCCAATGGCTTTTGCTTAAATTGGGGTGTGCTGTGACAAAGCTTTTGCCACCCTCCCGCTTTGCCCGAGGCGTTGCAGAAGGTTACAAGTGGATAGATTCTTGCTTTTTAGAAACCACAGACTTGGTGCCACCAGGGATTTGTTCGGAGCGGTGACATCAGAGTTCAAGAGCGATGCTTCCCCCATCTGTGTCTCACTGCAGTCACCTTGGCCCGGAGGGTTTCGGGTGATACTTTCACATCTTCCACAAAGACCCGCAGCTGCTCTGCCTTCACACGCAGATGTTGATGGAGAGTCTGTTCGCCGGGCACTTCTGGCCCTGCAAGAAAATGACAAATTGGGCAGTTCCTGCTTGCTTGGAGCAAAAGAAGGAGACAGAAGCCTTGATCGGGTTGTCACTTTGCTTGGTGGCAGCGTGTCACACTTCCTCCCTCGTGGCACAGGCTGTGTTAAACTTCAAACTCTCACAGGTTTCTTGTCGTGGAGAGGTCTGATGGAAGTCTGTTCCGAGTTCTAGGGATTGTACTTTTGTTCCTCTTTGTATTGCTCAAAATGTAAGAATAAAGCACTCTTCAGTTCTTGAATGAGCATAACTGGCTGAACTCTCACAGCTGTCACTGCTTCTGCCTCTTTTCCTTGCTGAACTCTCTGAGCTGTCATTGCTTTTGCCTCTTTTCCTTGCATATATAATCGGGACACTTGATCTCCTATATTCTCTTTAAAATTATTCAGTGTTGTATTCAGGGAAGCAGGGGGAAAAAGCAATTCAATAACAAAAAGAATGGCAGGCAGGTTATAATGTGAAGCACAATGTTTCTATTGCTAGCATGTATATAGGCAATTAGAATTAATTACAAAGACAAATTAAACTCTTAAGAACTTAGATGAAGGATTAGCATTTTTTTTCTTTTCTTTTCTTCCATTTCAAATGCTTTATGGAGTAGTTGTGGGCAGGCAGGTAATAAATAGGAGTAGCTGTGTGTTTCTCTTCCAGAATTAGTGAGAGTTTGGGTTTGGGCATATCTCACATTTGTTTGACACACAAAGTGAGACCTGAGCAGGGCAGGTCTGTAGTGACTGTGTGGGAGCTAACAGACCTCTGTGTGTGTGAGAGAGCAGATTGTGACATAGTTAAGTTGTGCCACTTGACAAGCACGTTGCTGATTTACAGAAAGAGGGAACACCGGACACTTGGCTGCCGAGTGCTGGTAATACCTCTCATTCTCACAAACACTTCTGTGTGTTTCCTCTCTACACAAAGCATGATGACACTGATAATCACGGCAGAGGTGATAACGTGATTCTTGAATAGAGAGAGAGGCAGCCAAGACGAGATGAAGTTTAATGTTTAATCTCTGGAGGCTGCCGCGTCACCGAGCTTTACTTTCCCACAAACACACCTGCTGCTGCACGGTGGGTTTACCTCCAATGGCATTTGTTTCGACCACAGCCCTGCAAAGATCACTGAGCCCAGAGCCTTAAAATAAAGGGCTCTTGAGAGGTGAGAAAATAGTCCTCTCAGGCGGGTGTTGGTAGAACGTGAAGGGAAATTGTTGGTTAAAACAGCAAGAGTTAAAGATCTCAAGTGACTGCGCTCTTGTAGCTTCGAGCAGCGAGGCTCTGCCTGGTTCTGACAAATTCACAATGACTGGGGGTGTCCTGCACGTCTGCTTAGCAGCTATGTAAGCATGAGAATCTCCCAGATTAGTAGACAATAATGTAATGGTGCTGTAATGTCATTTTAACTTGTAACACAGATTTTTAATTTAGTGTGTGGATACATGTCTGTATTTGAGCTGATCAATGCAGTAGCATAAGTAAGTTGGAGTGTGAAAGTTAAAATAGCCATACACAGATGCGTGAGCATGGTTGTGTGAGAAGCCCAGACTTCTGCTCTCTCTGAAACCAGCTTTACGTCATTTCTAGGCTTTTTTGTTATCAATGCCTGCCTTCCTTTTGCTGGTTTTCCAGAAAGAATACATGCAAAGCTCATCTAAAGGAGAGTTAGGTAAAGAGCTGGGAGTATCTAGAAAAGGGACTATCCCCCTGAGGAACTGCACCTAGACTAGTGGCTAATGTATATTTAAGGTGACAGCTCAGAAAGTTATTTACAATCTCTACCTGATGGGAGGTGATCAGTTTAGAAACTGCATTTTGTCTGACTGTTAGAAAGGTCTATAAAGAGTCCTAAACCACAGTTCCCAAAGGTTTTGACCCCACACACAGTCTCAAGTGGAAGTGCATTGTGCTTTTGAAGGTTTTGCAGAGGCTCCAGTTGTTGGAGACCACCCCAGCATAAGAGCTGCTGTCACAAAGTGGCAGACGCAGTTCCTCCCCTGCTTGTAGGTGTGTGACAGATAGATGTGCATTCAGGTCAGGCTGAGGTGATGTCTCACATGTCGTTTTTCCATCCATCCCCTCTCTGCTGCTCTTGATTACTTTATCTCTCAGGTTATAATATTTTCCTACTTTGGGTATGAACTGCTGCAGCACTGGAAATCTTTTGCGAGCAGCAAATCCCAGGCATAAAGTTCAAGCTTGGTGTTGGCAGAGGTGCCTAAACCATTGTAGGTGCAGCAAAAGAGAAGCCTTTATTATGGAGTTAGGGTTGGAATCCACCTCTTTGCCAAAACCCGTGTGCTGTGGATTCACAGGCAGCACAGACCTTGGGCAAAAGGAAGTAGGGGTTCTTTCACCCTTTCAGCACTTTCAATATATTTAATAACTGTTTTGCTTATTATGTTGAAGTCCAAGCACTTTTTTTTTCAGTGCTGTGCCACAGGATATTGTCTGTCCTGTTTGTTTGTGATGCTCAGCCTTGCTTGAGGAGGATGCTATTATATGAAGATGACAGAGAGCTCAGTAGACATTTCCATAAGCTACGTTCTTCTGATTGTGTAGCACTGTGATGATTCAACTTCAGCAATATTTACTTAGCCTCCGTTGTTTGCTTTTCACATGCCATCCCACTGTTGTCACTGTTTGATTGACTGTCCTGTTTGATGTTCTCAGTGAGATATATGAAATAGCTTGTTGCTGTCTGGCAATAAAACATTGCTTGAAAAGTACTTAGACTCTTGCTAATTTAATGTCTTTCTAACCCCCCCATTTAAAAGTTCTGCTGTCTCTTATGCTCAGCTATCACTCTGTGTTTCCTGAAAACCTCCCTTCTGACAACTGCCCAATAGCTTTTCTGAGTTTTCATTGTCTGGGGAGATACTGCAACTAGAAACCAGCCCCATGGGAGATGGGCAGCTCAAAATGTAGAATTCAATAAGAGCAATCAGGTATTTTTTGAGCTCACAGTGATAGTATTCCACCCAGTAGGAGCATGGGGTTTTTTTGCATAATTTGAATAGTTTCTGCTGCACTGTGATAGCAACTAAATCAATGAACTCTGAGCAAACATCCTCCCTTTCAGAGGATGTTTGAGAGAACACAGCAGTTGACAGTACCAGTGCTTGGAGAGGACAGCCATTCTTATAACTGTATTATTCCTAAAAATGTTGAATAATGATTTGGGTTTTGTTGTATAAAATCTTCTTTCATCAGACATGTCTTTGACGATGGTTATAAGAAGCTAAGTTCTAGATGAGATGGAGGGAAGGGTGTCTTTTTTTGCTAATTACTTCCATGGCATTGATACTGTGGATGTTTCATCCAAATCTGTTCTCTTCCCTTGTACCCCACCTTCAACATGTGCATGTACATAAAAATAAAGAGTAGAATTCCTGATGAGGTAGACCAAGTGGAAAGATGGTAATGTGAATCAAAAGTTTAGAAATTCTAATTCTTGCCTCTTCTGATGTTTTTTAAGCTCTACTGTGTCCTAATGTTGAAAATATTTTATTTTTAAGGTTGCCCTGAGCCCTATATTGAAATATTTGAGCAACCCAGGCAAAGGGGCATGCGTTTCAGATACAAATGTGAGGGAAGATCAGCAGGCAGCATTCCAGGAGAACACAGTACTGAAAACAATAAGACCTTCCCTTCCATCCAGGTAAATACCGCTTTTATCCGGGAATTACTGTTGCCCACATTAGCGCGGTGCTCGTAGCTATGTGTTGGACTCTGCACAGTAAATACAATGCTTTTCATCTCGCCTTCTGGGATTCTTTCCTTGGCATGCAAATGGAGTTGCAGCAGAGTGGGAAAAGAGTTACTTGCTCCTGGTCACGGAAAGATTTGGTTTGCAGCAAGAGGAGAAGGCGCAGAGGTGGTTTACAAAGTGCTGCTGGAGGGGACGCAGCGAGGACTCCAGGGCTGGGAGCCTTTCATTAGCAGCTTTCTCTTCATGCACGTTTGCTCTGCTTTCTTAGTTAGGTGACGTGGGTTTGGTTTTAAGGTTTGGACTGCAGCACGAATTTTGGGAGAGCGTTGAAGGAATTTGCCTACAAAATGTGGAAAGGCTTTGAAACGTTGCTGGGCACAACATGAAAGAAGGCGCTTTGTGCGCGCGAACAATCGCCCGTGACGGGGAGAATGGGCTCTGCAAAAGACACCAGCATAAAGTGTGTGAAGTCAGGACTTAAAGATGAGCTCAGAAGGGGGAACTGTGTCCTCAGAGCATCTGCAGTGGTGATGAGTTGGGTGGTTGCACGATGGATGGATTGGAAAATCCAGGATGGAGGGATCAGAGGAGCCCTGACAGCTGTGACCAAAGCAGGGACAAAGACAGAGACAGTAGAGCTGGAATGGAACCACTTGGGCAGTAGCTTTCATGGGTTGGACAAAGGAGACCCTAGACAGGTAGAGTAAGAGAAAATATTTTTGAAAATAATTTCTGATCCCCTTTCTGATGTTTAAGTTGCCAGTGTTTCCTTGATCTCTTTTAGTTTGGAGGAAGTCTGTCAGAGCTGAGATTACAGGAGAAAGCTCAGATTTAAATGGGAAGTTAAGAGCACTTGCCATCTTCCTGCCCAGGAACAGAGGCTGTGTATCTGTGTTTGCAGAGTGTGCCAGCATAAAAAAAAACCAATGGGGAGCCCAAAATGGAGTTTCTGGAATCACAGCAGGAAATTGACAGATAGAGAAGATGTGAAATGTGACAAATATGAGATGTTTTATACTGAGGCAAAAAAGCTCTTTGAGAGGGAGGGTTTGAGAAGGAGAGTGTTGGCAGTCATGTGTTGAGCAGCAGAGTGAGTCTCTAGTGCATAAAAGCAGCTGTGGAAGCTGGTCCAGCCCTAGAGCCAGAATTACTAAGGGAAGAAGCAAAGAAGGGTTCCCTTTGACTATCACAGTGCCAGACTTGGTTAGGGAATGCAGGAAATGGAGATGGTGCCAGACTCATTTTTTCAGCACTCTGCCAATTGAACAAGGAACTGTGTGGGCTGTTGGCAAGAGTAGAGGCTTGCACAGACTCTCAGCCTGTGTCAGGGCACAAGCTGAATGGGCTGAATCAAGCCTTGATTCTTCTTTTCTTGGGCTGTGCTGCACATGAAGGCCAGTCAGAGCTCAGAGGGGAGTGGGACATGGGTATGTGACCATGCAAGCCTGGCCAAGTTTGTTCTTTTGAAAGGAGACTATTGATGACAGAGCTGATGGCACTGATAGCAGGTGATTTCTAGGTGAATTCCTGCCTCCCTGAAGCCCGTGGGAGGCTTTAGTGCTGATTAAGTTCCAGGGGAGTCCCCTCTAGAGATGGAAACGTGAAGCGAAGGGCCAGGAGGAGATTAAATTTCATGGTGTGGTTATGAAGATGAACATCAAGCGGGAACTGGAGAACCAAAAGCAGCTAGATCAGGCTTCATGTTCGTGGGGCTGGGTGTAAAGTGAGGGAGAAATGATGTAATGGTTGAAGAAAGTGAGGGAGCAGTGGAAGTATCATTTTAAGGGTAAAAATTTGCAGTGGCTTATATGAGGACTGAATGGAGCCAAATTGGAGATTGATGCAAACAGATGATGACAGGTAAAAGAGCACAGTTCAAGTGAAGGCTTTGAAGTGTTGACTGAAAAGGATACATGGTGGATCTCTGGAGTCTCAGGAGGAGGAAAGGAGGGGAAGGAGAGGAACTGTTACTTACAGGGCAGGGGAAGTGGAGGAGGAAAGCTCACCTCTGCACAAACGTGTGCCTGAGTAAGTCTTGTATTTGCTTTCAAGTTTTTATGTGTCAAACAATTTAGGCCAAACTATTTTTCCTCCTTTTTTTTTTTTTTTCCTTTTACACTCCCCCACACTCGGTGACTTCACTGGTAGCCATCAGCTTGAGGTTGCTTTCATGCACCTGAGAAAGGAGCACTGAATTGGCTGATGACTTCTGTGAGAGCTCTGGTAGGAGCTTGAGACTTCGGTACTGCCCAGCTTGAGTGTAAGATTGAGTACTCATCTGAGAATTAGTTGGGAAAAACCCAACGACTTCAGAGGGGATTGTGTCATGTATCTGTATCTGCTAAGATCCTCTTTCACTGCTTACTGTTCCATGCACAGGTAGTATCCTCATCCCTGAGGCTTTATGAGTGTTTTTCCTAAAATCTTTGGAGGTGGACTTGTTCTCCATTTCTGTATGGTCACCTGTGTAGCTCTGGTGTTTGTTCCATAGAGCATTTCAGGACAAAATTGATTTTCTATAACAAGTGGGAGCCGATACCTAAAACCTTGAAAATATCCCACATTGTTTTGTAGATTCTGAACTATTTTGGAAAAATCAAAATAAGAACTACGTTGGTAACGAAGAATGAGCCCTACAAGCCACACCCCCATGACCTGGTTGGGAAAGACTGCAGAGATGGCTACTATGAAGCTGAGTTCGGGCCAGAACGGCGAGTCCTGTCGTGAGTAATGGTGTTGCCTGGGAGTTTGATTAATTGTACAAGTGATTTGCTAATCTTGCATTTCAAAACTCATATTAATGATTAAAAGAACAATTATAATGCTGTCTTTGCTGTAGTTTACTAATCCATCCCGGGGAACTTCCTTTGGAAGTATTTCCTTCTCTTTTTGATACTACATGTGTGCTTTTTCTTTCTTGTCACCCTTTTCTTTCCTTCAACCATTCTCCCAATATTTGTCTTCTTTTCCTTTCTCTCACTTACTTTTTTTAGTCTTGTTCATTAGTACATCTTACTCTTGAGCATGACTCTTTCCTACTTGTAAAAATGATGAGTAACAGAAAGGGTAACAGCATTAGAATTTGTACTTCATGGTGATGAGGGAAGTTCACACCTTCCATGGAAATTATATTTGGACTTTCTGGAGAAAGTTTGTAGTGGCTGAGTATCATGTAATCTAGAAGACAGTGCTTGTGACACATCTAGAAATGTTAGTAGCTGTCACTGTTGCTGCTTGTTGTTTGGGTTGGGTTTTTTTGAGTGAAGATACAGATTCTGCTCAGACGCAGCTCTGAAGAGTAAGTGTGTCAGGGAAGGATCTGCTTGTGGATGCAGAGAGGAAAACTTACGATATGTACAAGACATTTCTCAGTGCTGTTAAGAACATCTCAAATACAGTTGTATTTGGTGGTGTTTCCTCTAAGTTTACCAAGTCTTATGTAGCAAAATAAAAGCAGAATAAGCTGCAGCAAACATGCAGTGATTATTGCTGGAGAGGGGAATTGAGAACTGGCAAGCTGTTTGTGGTTCACAGTTTGCAATGTAGGAAATATGGAAGTAGGCTATTGCTTTGGGGTAAGCATAACTGAGCTGGGAAGAAAATCAGGTGAATATTTCAGTGTGTAAGTAGCTCTTACACACAGCTCTCAGGCCAATGGGATTCTGTTGGTGTAGGTGAAATTACTCCATGTTTATGTGGGTTTAGTCAGTAGGACACTATTAAAGGAGAGAGCTGAAGACACATCTGTTTTGAAGGTGGTGATTTATTGCACTGATGGTGAAATAAACAGTGGAGATGCTTCTTCAGCATCCAGCCCAGGCTCAAGGGATCACGGATGTGCTGCAGCGTGTTCCGGTGGCACGGGGCACGCTGACTTCCAGACATCCTAAATCCAGCAGGACCTTGCACCTTCCTCTGACCATCCATTCACCAGCTTCCCCTTGGCCTTCTCAGATGAAGCCTCCTAGCCAAGGTCAAAGGAAGTCTGCTGTTCTGGCCCATCCCACTTCCTCCCCTCAGCTCTGTGCCTGCTGATCCGAGGCAGAAAAGCCCGAGTGTTCCCATCACTGAGTGCAGGAAGACCCTGAGGATTGCTTCTCCTCCTGGCATTTGGTTGCACAAGGTCCAGTGTGGAGGCAACAGGAGAGGCCTTTGCAGGATGTCACGCCAAGAAGCACTGGGATGCTCTGCAGATATTTATTTGCAGATTGTGATTTCATCCCCATTATGTGTGTGCATCAAATCCTGTCCTTTGGCATAATGCCATGCCTCTGTTTCACTTCGAGCACTGGTGCTTGTTTGCTCCATCCATGAATTCTTCTCAATATTTTTAGGATGTGAGCCTCTCAGTTACCTACAGAATAGTAAGTGGGCTGCTTTCATTTTATTGATAATGTGAAACTGTGAGCTTTGTGTTTGACATTGGAGGTCCTGATGGGAGGAGGCTTGCCACATTCCCTTTGAAATGTTTCCAGCATCAGTACACTCATTTTTTTTTAACAAATCATTGGTTGCTTTAAGATGAAAGAACAGTATGATCCATAATTGGATCTGGATGTTTAAAGTCATTTTCCTTTTTGTGGCTGGTGACTCAACCTTCACATTCTTCTCTTCGTGATGGAGAAAAGCCTCATCCAGTATTAGTGAGCAGGAGATGTCCTCTCTCAATAGTGTTTCTGGCTCTTTGCTCTTGCTGAGCATCCCAAATTGAGTAAAAATCCTTTTTTTTTTCCCCTCAGTAGAAGTGGAATTATTAATCACAGATTTTGGGCTGCTCTGAGTAATTACTCTGCTTTCTGCTGTTCAAAGTTCCCCATGTTTTAAAGTTCCCAAGCATTTTGTTCTGCCTGTGGTATAATGATCTTTGTACTGCTGCCCAAACTTGATCAGAGCCCTCCCTGGCCGAGACATCAAGGCAAGAGCAGGAAAGTCAGAGCTTGTGGGGCTGCCTGTGTACTCAGATTTTTTACTTCCTAGTTTCTTCTCTCTACAAGGATGATATCATAGTTTTTTTAGCTGTTTTTAATTTTTTTTCTTTCTCTCTTCCTACTTCTCCCTCTCTCTTCTCGTTATCTCACTTGCTTCCTGTCAGCGCCCATCGATGTGAAACCCCACAGGCTGCTGGGGCTCCCAGCAGTTCCTCCTCTGCCCCAGCTCTGCCTAGGCATGGCTGAGCACACACTTTCACTGTGACAGCACAGCCTTTGAAAACATTGATAACCCGACAATTTCGGGCTGCTGGAAAGCCTCCTGTCCACGAGAGGCTTTGTTTGGGGGTGCAATAAGGAACTGCCCCTGTTTGTGGGCTTTGAGGTGTGCTTCAAACAATCTGTGGGATACAGGGGGTGTTCTGAGGAGGGGGAAATAATGTGTGCTGTGATCCAGCCCTAAAGAAAGTACTTCCTCCAGGAGCAGCTGGAAATGGGATTGCTCACCAAGGTACAGTCCCAGTCTGAATTCAGCAGCCAGGACAGGAAGGCAAAGTGCTTTAGTGAATGATGAGATGCTGCTGTGTTTGATTTTCCCCTAGGTCATGCCATGTTCAGTTTGCAAACCTTGCTCTAGTGAGGAGCAGAGGTTCTGGAAGTGGAGCCTGCTGGCAGAGGGTTTGGGAACCTCTGAACACAGCTGTTGGGCACAGACAGGGGAGTTCAGGGAAATAAATTGAACATCATGCTAGGATAGGCCTGTTCAGAAGTGTACAAGCACTCTTGGCAGGAACAAGGACTGTCTTTAGGTGCAGTAAGATGCTCTTTTGCTGAAGCAAAGAAGGTTTGTGGAGTTTCAAAGGAAGGGAAATGGCTGGGACTTCTGGAGAAAGATGCCTGCTGGCACAACCCATCTTCAGAGCTTATTGTAACATCATGAAACACAGATTATTTCTCTTTTTTTTTTCTCTTTTTTTTTTTTTTAACTTCCTGCTTTACATCCACTCAGCTTTGATGATGTCATGGTTTTTCCATGTGGGAAAGAGTCAGCCTGCCTGGGACTCCCCCCACCTCCTGCATCAGGGTGACCTGCACTTTTATGCAAATCAGGAGGAGCTGCAGCTCTTCAGAACTTTTCCATAACTATGTGAGATTTAAAAACCTGTTTTGACCTGTTAAAAAAACCCCTTTATAATAGTGTTTAAGATTTACATTCCCTGATAAAGGAGAGCAAATACTTTAACTAATGCAAATTATCAGGTTAATTGATTACAAAAATGATTGTCATTATAAATCACCCAAGACTGAGTATCTCGCTTTGTAATTGCTGTAGATTTACTGCGGAGTAATAAATTTTAATATAGAAATATATATTTTTAAGAATGTAAATGATTTAGAATTTTATTTTAGGGTTTTTTTGCTTCTGTGTCTGCCCTTACTTTAGGAAAAACAGCATCTTTGCTCTTCAGGTCTTGTACACTCTTCTCAAAAGAAGATTTTTAAAAATTTCTTACACTGGATGTTATCACACACTAACTACCGTAATTATTTTATTTAATAGTCCACACTGAAGATGTTATTAGTTGCTGAAATCTTGCCACATATGCTTCAGTTTTCAGAACCTGGGCATTCAGTGTGTGAAGAAGAAAGACCTGAAGGAATCCATTTCTTTACGAATCTCAAAGAAAATTAACCCTTTCAATGGTGAGTGGAAATCAGCTGGTTCTCTTGGCAGGGTTGATGGGGTTTTGTTTGTCCTGTCCTGCCTTTGCTTTTGTGTTGGAGCTTTATTTTCTTCTCCAAAAAATCTCTTTCTGAGAAGCAGTCTTCCCCTTCTGTGTCCCTCCCAGTCTTTCTTCCCAGTCATCACATGATGAATCTATTTGGATTGTTGCCCTTTTTCTTTTTATATTGAGTTTTTGTAATTCCCAGCAGCAGTCTGAGTTGCTGCTTGGACAGAAGGAATGGGATAGCAGCAGAAACCTTTCCTGGAAACTTCTACAAGTGTCTTGGGAGTTGGATTTCCCCAGTTTTGGCAGTGATGAGAGTAAAAGACTGAATTAGCATAACTCTGCAACAACTTAATCCAGTACAAATCTCACTTGGCACTTTCTCATCTCCTCTCTTGCTGTGTCTCTTGTGGCCAGGTCAGGGGGCTCACAGCCCGCTGGGAACTGCCCCTCACTTGATCTCACAGCATGGGGGCTCAGAAATCCACAGCAGGATTGCAGTGTCAAGGCTGGCTTGGAGCAGCCCAGTCTGGTGGGAGGTGTCCCTGCCCAAGATGATCTTTCCAGTCCCTTCCACCCCAAACCATCCTGTGATGCTGTGGTTGGGCTCACCAAGGTCAGAGGCAGGACCTGCTGCTGCAGAACCACACCTGTGAGGTTGCCCACAGGGTTTTGTTTGCTGTGACTGATCTGTGGGCTGCTCTCAGAAGGAGTCATCCTGCTCTTCCCTCCATCCCTGCTCACACACTCCCACCACTTTCCTCACACCACCACACACAGGGGCTGTGTGGCCCCACAGCGAGTTGCTCCAGTGGAAAACCAACTTGAAAGCAAAAAATAAAAAAAGGAGAGTGGTTTCCCTCCAGATCAACCTGCTAAACCAACTCCCCTCACAGCAATTTAACTGCCAAGCTTCTGCACAGAGGGGGTGGGGAACACACTGCAAAATTTTTTGGCCAATTGCAGTGGGACCAACACATGCAGAATGCAGGCACAACTTCGGGGAATTAGTTTAAAAGCATAAATACCCTCAAATTATTAGCTAAGCAATGTCAGTGTAGTCATGTATTTCCCTAAGCAGGAGCTTGGAGAGTCTCCAGACACTTCCATGGGTTTTCTAATACCCACAGAATTCTTGGTATATTCAGGTAAGATCCTTTATGGAGAGTTGAGAGCTGGATTTCAGGCTGGCTTTAAAAACACATGTCCCTAAATTGGGACAAAAAGAAGGATGCTGAATTTATCACAGAATAAGAAATGTCTTAGGTATTTTTCTTAATTTTAGAGCAGCTGTTTGGAATCAGGCTGATGGCCCTGATGACCCATCTGAACAAATACCCTAGTTATGACAATGCATGCCCACAGTATTTTGACAAGAGTTTAGTTCACCAGCACAATTTAAACACTTTAAGGGTTTGAATTATGTTGCCTTGACTCAGCCAGCTCTACCTTGATTTCAAACAATAAAAGGGGAACTTTTCTTTAGAAGGAAGTAGATTTTTACAGTTGTTGACACTTAACTCCACATCCACTAATAAATTCTGGGTAATTAAAGTTGTGCTTGGTAGCATCTGGGCAGATTCTGGGCTGCTTCCCACCAGTGGAGGAGGCCACTTTTCTGTCCTGGCATCAGGGGAGAGCCTGCCTGGGTGGCACACAGGGCAGCAGCCTGCTCTGGCAGGGGCTGTGCTGAGAAGGGGCCGCTGGCTGTCCCCAGCCGCGTCATTGCCCTTCGGCGCATGTTAACGTGTCAGCACAAAGCAGAGCCACTTGAGAATGGCCTCCAGGGCAGTCCCACGCTGAGCAGAGCCTAGAAAGGCCTGGGACCAAGGTCTAATAAAACAGGATTAGTGACAGGAATGTTTTTGCGTGTTTATTTAGTTGATCAGAGCAGGGTTTTGCGAGCAGCAATCACTGCAAATGTTCGCTGCTTGACAAGGTTGAAAGTTTTATGTATGGATTTAGTTTGTTTTTTAAGGTCAGAGGAGTGTTGGTACATTTTCCAGGATTGTGCAGGCTGTGCTGAATCCATCCTGCATTGTGCTTTACCTCTGTCTCTTCAGAGAGGCATCTGACTTCCCTGTTTAGAGACATTCCAGAGCAGGTCGCAAGTTGGTGTTACTCATTTCTTGTATGACATCATCAAAGGAACTTGATGGAAAACGAGCCTTCAGGGTGCTTGTGTGCTGGTAGGCTTTTCTTTTGTCTTTCCCACTTTCTTCTGGAGCAAGCATTCCCTGTCGTGAGCCTTCTTTTGGGGAAGAGATCCCTGGGTGATCGGAACTTGTTTGCAGATCGCTGCCGTGTGCCCAGCTGGAGGTGCATCGGAGTCATTTGTGAGTGCACCTGTGTAAGGCTGTCTCCCTGTGAATTCCCAGTGTTGGCTGGCAGCATTTGTCCCTTGTGAAGCTCAGCACAGGCTGTGGGAGCTGTGTGCATTCACTAGGATGGATGACTTGCAATCAGGTTGCTGCTCTTGTGTTAGCCTTGTTTGAGAGAGGGAATTGCTGTTTCCGCACCGTGTTCGTGATCCGTGGTGTTCCCAAAGCACACGCCATATATTTTTGTCCTCAAACAATCTCAAGAATTCTAGAAATCCCTTTTGTCTCTCATCTCTGAGCACTCCAGAGAAATGGGGCACAGTGTCAGCCTAAAATGCAGCTGGGACTCCTTGGCATGGTGGTGATGATGATGATACAAATGGCACAGCATCGAAGGAGCAGAGTTACTCCTCCAGTGGAGCTGGTCCATGTCTGCTTTCTATGGTGTTTGTTTTCTTTTAGGAGCTGTTGAGTTGTGCCATATCCTTGTCTTCCCATGCACTGTCTGATGTACAGCCAACTCAAATTAAAAGAAGAGCCAGTTTTCAGTTAAGAGCTTTTGTGAGTGGGTGTGACTTGACATAGAGACAACAATTGAGTTAATAACAACTGGAGTTAATTGTCAATGAGGAAAAGCCCTAAGTGTTTTCTTTAAATTATGGAAAAACTGTACTCAGTGCAGAGGACTGACCTTTTTCTAGCCAAACGCACGACAGCACGAAAAACCCAGACTTGTCTTGGAGTGAGAATCGCCAAATTCAGATTTTATCAGCAGGGATAACCTGACTTTCCCCGGAGCTTGCCAAGGCTTAACCTTCCTGCTCCTTCGCAGGAGCGTGCAGTTCACTTTTAGGCTCTCCCCAGCAGCCCACACTCAGCAGGTCTGCGTGTGCCTCCGCTTCCTCTGCCGTTTCCCCTTCCCGCCCGCGCGCGCTGACCCCGCGGCGCTCCGCGCTCGTCACCGGCTGTGCCGTGACGCCCCCGCCGCGCCCGCCTCCTGCCCACGCCGGCCCTCTCTGCAGCTTCCTCCGCCGCTGCTTCCACCAGAAACCCCCTCTCCTCTGCTGCTGCTCTCCCCAGGAGCCCCCCTGCACCTGCGCCAGCTCCAGAGGGAGTTTTACGGAGTTTTGTGGATTACGTGAGCGGCTCTTGGCAGTGGGAGTGGGTTGAAGGTGTCTGCTGTAATGATCTCTGGTATCACAAGAAACTCTGAGCTTCTTTTCTTGTATTAAAACAAATGGGCAGCCCCCCCAGTTGAATCCTGAAGTGCAAAATCGTGGTAGTGAGTGTCAGCAGCTTTTGAAGGGGCACAGAGCAAACCCACTCGAGGGAAGCTGCGTGTGCTGATCGTGCCATGGCTCTAGCACTTAGCTTTGGGAAGCCCTTTGTTCCTCTGGTCTCCTGCAAATGCTCCTTTCTGCTCATTCCAAAATGATAATAATAATGTTCATAATAGTGTTAATAATAAAGGACAGCCCCCTTTCAAATTGTTTAAAAAGGAAGATTACCAGGTAGCAAGACTAAATATGCTGACTTCTTTATTTTTCTGTGATAGAAACAGAAACTGCTAAAGAAAGGTATCAGGAATGTTCAGAGGCTGATGGATACACTTGTTTAAATCTCTTCCAACTTTACCTTTTTCATGTTGAACTTAAAACAGGAAAAGAAGCCAGAGAAACACTGTCTAGGCAAAACAAGTGCTGAGTTGATTTGTATTTCCAGTTCTTCCCTTGGCCAGGCCATTCGCCTCCCCTGCATTTCTTTCTTCTGTAAACCAGGGAAATGTATCCACAAAAGCTGAGGCATTTACTGACTCTAGCATGTAATCTGAATTTTAGTTGTTTGCATTCACCAACTCCGAGTTTTTGCTTTTTGAAAAATGGGTGCTGCTGATGCACACTCTGTTTCAAGGTACAGGTAAAAGGTAAAAGTTTATCTTTTTTCCTGCAGAATTCATTGAAAATTACCTTTTTATGGATCTCAGAGGAATAAAACAGGTGTGGGTGTATTAGGAGAAGAAATACAGAGCTGCCACAGTCCTTCCCTCCCCTTGTTCCCAGCTTCACCAGGACTCTTCATCAGGGGCTAGTGATAGGACAAGGAGTAATGGGTTCAAACACAAAGAGCAGAATTTAGGTTGGATATGCAAAGGAAATTCTTTAATGGTGCTGAGGCCCTGGCACAGGTTGCCCAGAGAAGCTGTGGCTGCCCCATCCCTGGCAGTGTCCAAGGCCAGGTAGGACAGGGCTCAGAGCAACCTGGGAAGGTGGAAGGTGTCCCTGCCCATGGCAGCGGGTGGATCTGGGTGAGCTTTAAGGTCCTTTCCAGCCCAGACCACTGCAGGATCCTGCCCCTTGTGAAGTGTTAGTGGAAGGCTACACCAGCACAGCTGTGGCTGCAGCAGGGATTTAGGCTGGGGGGATAAGCTGGGTCTGAAATGGACCTCCTGGGTACCAAGAGGGACCTGTGACTTGCCTGGTTGAGCCTGGTGTAAATCAGCAGCAGCTCTGGAAGAAGCTCTGCTCCCACCGCTTCCCTTGCACCAGGGCTGCCTGTCGTGGGAACCAGCTGGCTGAAAACAAGCCTTTTCCTCTTCCCTTCTGGCAAGATAGTTCTGAGCCAGACCAGTTCCTTGATCTGATTCACCACATGAGAGCTGAGCCAGCCTGAGCAGTGCTGGAAAGGTTGGGCAGAGCCACCTTTTGCAGCAAAACCTCTGGCATGGACCGAGTTAGACTGCCCAGTCGGTATCAGGGCCAAGGGGGGTATCTTTGTACTCCAGGAGCAAAACCCTGCAGGCAAACCACTTCTGTGTCATCCCTCAAATGAAACTGAGCTCCCAGCATATCCCTAAATTAAAAACCCTCATCTGCGTAAGAGAGAAACAACTCATGATGATTATTAATGATGTGTGCTCCCCACACATGTGGGGAGTGATGTGTGATGATTATTAATGATGTGTGATCTCTGGGGTGTTTTAACTTGTGGAAGGTCATTCTCTTTGACATCTCATGTGGCTCCTGTGCCCCTGCAGCCCCTCACTGCCGGGGGAAGGTCACAGGATGTCCCTTTGCAGGGTGAGCTGTGCTCTCCACAGAGCCCCCTCTCTGACTGTGTCACACCACACTGCCCTGGAAGTTTCCATGCAGGTTAAGTTGAGATTTCTCCAGCTCTGCCCACTCCAGAAGGTTGACATCATTAGCTGGGTGATGGGCTCTGTGTGAGGGAGATAATTGACAGGTGTCAATTATCAGTCAAAAACTCAAACCCTTTATCATTTCTCTTCACTGTTCAGAATAAACTTTCACTTTCCCTGAAGCATCACCTTGTGAGTGAACATCAGAGCCCTTAATACCCCATCAGTTTAATAATATAAATGACATTTTATTGGCCTTGCTGGATGTTGAAAGCTATTGAAATACTAAAAAACCTATAAAACTATAATTAGAAATTAATAGACAGGAGACCTGACTTTACCAGCATCTTTAATTTTGTGTCCAAACTTGGACTTGCACGTTAGTGTGTTGAACCTAGAAAGTCTCCAGTTTTGTGTTCCAGAAGCAAATCCAGCAGGTTCTCAGTGGAATTCAGTGGAATCCCAGCAGGGCATCTCTGGATTTTAGAGACAAGGACAATCCAAACCTGATGCCTGGGAGCTGCCTGGATCAGCCAGCTCGGGTTGGAAGGAGTTCACAGTTCAGCTCAGGTGGGGTGTTTTGCCCACACTGGGACTGTATTGCTCCCTTCCCACCTTAGCAGACAATGGATTAGGGAATTACTTCCAAGATAATTATTTAGTAAAGCTGAGGAACCAGCATTTTGTTCAGAGGAGTTGTAAACAGATCTATAATGAAATTATTTACTGGTTATTGTAGCATCTTTCCAGAGGAGCAGCAAATCCTCCCCGGGTTTGACTGTAACTCCAGATACTCCTATTGCCAGGATCTTGGTGAGTGGGGTTGGATTTCTTTTACCATGGTGCTGCTGGTATTTTTATGGACTTTTTTGACATCATAATCTTATATTTACCTTAGAATTTTAGTTATTTTAAAATATTATTTTAATTTCTGTGAGTTACTTCTGAAAGTTCTTTGTAAAGCTTACAGATAGTCCTTCATGTGTTCCTGTGTGCAGAGATAACTGCAGTTAAAGGATTTCTGCCAGGTTAAGGCTATTTTTTTGTAATTAGACTGGGCCATCAGAGGAATATACCCAGGCTTTTGGTTGGGCTCCAGCTCTTTCAGCTGGATCCAGATGAAGACACTAAGGTGTGGTACCACACAGCGAGCAGCAGTCAGAAGAGGAAGTTGAACCCTTGCCAAAACCAGAGACCTTCTTCCCTTTTTGTTTTTTTGGTTCTTGTGTTGTGTTGGAGCCTTTTTTCACCACACCTGTGCCCCCAAGGTGCCACATGGGGTGACGTTTTTCCTTCCCACGTGCGATGCTCCCCCCGGTTTCACTCCTGCTTGTGCAGGGCTTGGCGGAGTGGCTGCTCCTCCTCTCCAGTACATAGCGTTCCCAAAATCTTCGACAGCGTTTCCTAACTTTAATGACTTCAGGTTTGTCAGGTTTAACCCCTCTGTTGTCCTTCTGCAGAGAAGTTGGTGGAATGGGATGGGATGCCGTGACCATCCTCCGCCTGGCCGCGCTCCAGGCGTTACTCAGGGTGTTTGTCTGCCTCGGCTTTGTTTGCTTTTAATATTCCCAAGGTGTCAGCCAGCATCCATTCCAAGTCAGTGGCTGCTCCCAAATTTACTTCAGAGGGAGCAGGATTAGATGTTTGTTAAAAATAACAGCATTTTGTTTTGTTTGGATGATTGTCTTGTTTTGGAATCGGTAAAAGCTGTGTGCTTCTTCATATGCACATGGAATCTGGTGTGTCTCTTTTTTAAAGCTTGTCATCACAAGATGGAGTTGCAGCTGTCTTGTTCTCCTTTTCTTGCACTGTTATGTTCTTCTTGTAGGGTTAAAAATAGCCCAAGAGGAATCACTCTTGACTGAACACTTCCTCTTTCAAACGACAGATTTTTAAAGATTCTATTAAATCGTTTATGAAAACATGCAAATCAGGAGCAGTGGGTTCTGCTGCAATAGAATGAGCTGTACACAGTGATTCTGTCCCTTGCCGTTCTTGGCACACCACTCCTGTGTCAGGTGTCAGACAGATTTATTGGGAATTTGCGCAAGTTTGTAGTTAGGAAATGACATCATTTGAACATTAGCATTGCTAATTTTCTCCATATCTAGAGTATTTTTGCTTTTCTTGAGTGCTCTTAGGCTTCAGTCTGCTGTTCCATGTTTCTGAGGAAGAGGCACATTTCCCTGTGGAAGGCACAGAGCAGCACTGAGGCTCCTTTAGCGTGAGAGAGGGCCTTGGTTGCACAACCACAAAGTCCTCACTTTGGATGCAGGGTCAGAAGCCAGATCCAGATTTCGTGCTCAGCTTCCACCCACAGACAGGCAAAGGCACTGAATCTGTTTGATTGTGAAGAGGTTTGAGGTTTGAGCACCCCTTGGGTCCCTGCAGGGATCCAGGGTCACCAGTGGCTGACACAGCACAGGAACGTGAGCCCTGGTGTCAGGGTGTCCTTGGGAGCTGGCCATGATGCCAGGGCATGGATTGGAGCTGCTCTCCTGACAGCCCTTCTGCAGGGTGCCCTTTGGGAAGTGCACTTTTCTTTCTGTGCTCTCTGAATCAGGCAGCTGGGCTGTGGAGCCAGCCAAATCCGGGTCAGGCTGAGGAGCTGTCTGTTCCAAACCCCTTTCCTAAAGATCCTCTTTCAGGTCAGCAGGTGAACTGATGAAGTGCATTAAGGCATAAAACTTTGTGTGTCTGGTGGCACAGTCAGCACCAGCCTGCAAAGTGCTCACAGGCAGAACTCCCCTGGGCCCAGCACTTCTGAAGCTCACACAGTTGTTGCTTAGTTTTGTACTTGCTGCTGTATTTGTGTTGAAATATTGCAGATCACAGGCTTGTGAAGGGGAAAGGTGACTTGATTTCCCTTTGCACTAGAGACCAGGAGAAATTGATATTCACAGCACCAGAAGGACTCAGTACGCCCAGTGGAAAGTATTCTGAGCTCATCACACTTACAATTTCACACTTATCAAAAGGTAAAAGGAAGAAGCCACTCAAGTGGGCATTGTGGAATCCCACTCGTGGCAGGGTGGAGACCTGAGCCAGTCATAAATGCTAAAGGTCAGAGCAGGCAATCTAATCAGTACAGCGTGGTCCCCAGGCTGCTTATCACAGCCACGTTTAATCTTCTGTTCTTGCAAGAGCCCTTTGAAAGGGAGGGGAGGAGAATGGAGAGCTGGTGATCTGGTGGCTTGGCACATGCTGGCTTTGGGTAACTGTGAGCAGAGTGAAACAGCTGAACTGCTGCTGGGAGGGGTTTGGGGAAACAGAAACACTTGTAATTATTTTAATTATCAGTACTTTTACTTAAGTGAAATTAAGCCAGTTTCTCATTTTTACTGGCATTGAATGCCAACATAATGGTTTAGTGTCACACCTTAAAGGAGAGTGAAGAATTCAGAGGGGGCTGCTCTTCCCAGAGTTGTCCATTAAGCTGGGAATACCTGAAGTGTTCAGTAATGATACCCCAGGCCCTGTGTCTTGTAATTAAAATAAGGAGTGAACAAAATTGAAATGCTGAGTTTGGGTTATGCATTGCTGGGCTTTACACTGGGAGGAATATGCAAGGAAATGGATCCTTTCCAGCAAGGCTTTCCTTCTTGTGTCATAAATCTGTATCCCAGTGGCTCCACTAATCCCTGCTCTGAAAGGTTCAGCTGTGACACTGGTGCTGGTGGGGTGGGGAGGTGGTGTCTGTTCTTCCAGCTTCATTCTTGGCCCAGGAATTGCCTTCTGCCTCTTCTTCCATCTCAGTTTCTAGAGGAAAATAATGGTACCATGTAGCCAAAGTCTCTGAGTGCTGCAGAAAATCTTTAATGGGATCCTAGGATCCCTTTGTAGCAAAATATTGGTACAATATTAATTTTGTAAATTTTATCACGCACAAAGAAGAATAACAAATTACTTTTAAACTATAGATACATGGAACTGTTGTGGCAGGCAGGGTGGGGACCCCAGGCACAAGAAACAGGAGAGCTGGGACAGCTGAGCCTTGCTGTGTGCAGGAAGGTGTGAAAGGCTTCGGCGTGTTTGTTGTGAGCAAGGGATTAACTCATGCAGCCCCAGGGGCTGGGGGCACGTGTGTGGAGGCCTCTTGCCCAGTTTGGTGAGGAACTGTGCTGGTTCTGAGAGTGACCCTGGGTGCTGTCTGTGCTGCAGTGCCCGAGGAGCAGCTGCACAACATCGACGAGTACGACCTCAACGTGGTGCGGCTCTGCTTCCAAGCCTTCCTTCCCGACGAGCACGGCAACTACACCATCGCCCTGCCTCCTCTGATTTCCAACCCCATCTATGACAACAGTGAGTACCCCCTCAGCCAAATGGCTCTTTTTCCTTCTCCCTTTCGGTTTTTTTTTTCCTTCAGCTTGGGAATGTCAGCTTCCTGAGGTCTGCGCCAGCTCCGGGTCGCTTCTGTGGCTGGGGACTGCCAGGTGCATGAGTGTCACAGTCAGCATACATTCAGACGTGATCCCAGGGTGGAATGTTGGCCAGCCAGAGTAAGGATTGTCCGTGGCATTCCTGGACTCACACCAAGGTGTTTTTCCAGCCCTTGTTCACACACAGCAGCAGTGATTGCAAGGAAAGGCTCATGCCTGATGTGCCAAGTGATTAAAGTGATAGTGGTGAGAGATGGATGGCTGCCTCAAGGCTGATCTGCTTTCCAAGAGAGTCCTCTGGAGCCTGTTTGTGCCCTTGAGGAGTCTTGCCTTTGCCTTGTGAGGGCTCTGGAATGGGACCTGCAAGGGAGATTTGTGCCAGTGGGAAGCTGTCAGATGGCCTTTTGTGTCCTGGTTGGTGCAGAAGTACATGACACTCCTTCTTCCCACCATTTTCCACATTCCACAAGACTGGACATCCCTAGGGGATCAGCAGCTGAGAATTTTAGCCAGCAGTGTGTGCTGGACTCCTCTCTGGGAGCAGAGTAGCAAAAGAACTCTTAATCCTGAGAAACTCTCCTGCAGTGTTTTTCATTTCTGCACCATGAGTGTTTCCATGCTAAATATTTGACATGCTCATTTTAGCAGAAAGCAGTGAATAAAATGAGATCTGCATTTCCTGAAGTTGTTAGGATTGTGTTGATGTGGGCACAAACCATTGTGAATATGCTGAGCATGAACTCAGATGGCTCTGATACAATTAGAGTCTCCTCCAGAACGATCCAGAAGCCGGAGCTGCGAGCATTGTGTCACTGAGAACCCTTGCACTGAAATAATCAGGGCTGAGATAAAAACTGATGCACCAGCTTTGCAGCCCTGCCTCAGATGCCATTTAGAAATGTGCCAAATCATGATTACCCCTCGTGGGCTGACGTCAGTGCCGGCTGGGCGCCGTGGGGGAAGCAGGGGCGGGTGCTGGGGTGTCTGTGGGCAGCACTGCAGGCACCCCAAACCCTCCCCGTAGCGTAGCAGCCCTGTAAATAAACCCAACCACAGCTCGTAAAGATCAGCCCTGCTCGGTTTCAGATCCCAGTTGCTTTTAGAAGTGTCAGGCTGCTTGGAGCTGCTCTGCCCTGCAGCCAGGCTGTGCCCTCAGGGGACAGGGACTGCAGCCTGGCACCCCAGGCTCTGAGCCTGCACACATCTGCTCGGGTTAGGAGCAAAGAGATGCTCTGAAAGCCAGCTTGGACACTTCAAATCCACTATTTTCTTCACTTTCTCGTCCTTCATAGCCTCCACTTGCTCTGGGTAATGAGAAACAAAAGAATCATATTGACACCACACAGGCAGCCCCATTAGCAGAGGCTGCAAGTGTCTCAAATTCAGCACCACCTGTTTCCAGATGCTTCTAAAGTTAACTGGTTTGGAACAGAAATTTCCCAAGTTGCATATCAAAAACTCTTAGGAAGAGTCAGATGGGGCAGCTCAGCATTTCTGAGAAATGGGGTTGGGTACAGCATGTTCTCCTGCCCTTGTTGAAGACAATGTGATCTTCAGTGAGGAGCCCATTTCCTGAGGGGTCTGTCACCAGGGATGTGGTGCAGGGCAGTGAGGAACAGGAACTGGGCAGGAGCTGAGGTGGCAGGGATGAGGAACATCTCCCTCTGAGGCAGGTGCTGGGCTCAGCCTCCTGCTGACAGCACTGTGGTGCATCCACAGCTGCTGGGTTTGTGTGTGTTGATGTCCCTTCTGAATTCCTTGTCTAAGGACAAAACAACAGATTCCACTGAGGGAGAGTGTCCCAAAAATCTGTTACAAGGACCTAAAGAGAACTGCAGGAGAGCTGGAGAGGAACTTTTCACAAAAGGGCGTGCAGTGACAGGACAGGGGGTGATAGCTTCAAATAGAAAGAGGGAAGAGTTAGATTGAATATTAGGAAGGAATTCTTCCCTGTGAGGGTGGGGAGGCCCTGGCACAGATTGCCCAGAGAAGCTGTGGCTGCCCCTGGATCCCCGGAAGTGTCCTGGACAAGGCTTGGAGCAACCTGGGATCGGGGAAGTTGTCCCTGCTTATGGCAGGGGAGTTGGAAATGGACAATTTTTAAGATCCCTTCCAACCCAGAGCACTCCTTGATTCTCTGCTGTTGAGTGCCATTCAAGCATACAGAAGTGACACAGAAGTGAAATTAGGCTTTTCCTCCCAATTCTTAATTTACCTTTCCTGTGAAAAGCCCGCCGTGACGCTGTCAATCACATGGCCCTGTGCTGTTTCTGGCTTTGTTTGGTTTCCCCTCCCTTGAAGGGCTCTGATTCATTCAGCAAATGAAGTGGTGTGTGTCATGTAGTACATGAGGCTGCAGCTCCCACTTGTAATAATGACAGTAATAGCTGCAGATAGTAACTACGTAATTGGGCACTGCTGAGAGGTTACCAGGAACTCTGCTCTAGGTGTAGTCTGTCTTCTGCTGTAGCTGTACTTGGGTAGGAACTGATTCAAACTGAGAGTCTAAAGCAGATTTGTTTGGTTTGGTTTGTTTTTTTGTTGGTTGGTTTTTTGTTCTTTTTTTTTTGAGGTTGACACCATGAGCTTTGATTTTTGTATTTCTTCTCCTGTGTCTGGAATGGGGAGCCTGTGGTGGTGGAGCCTCATGGAGCTTTCATGGTGTCAAAGCTGCACCAGCTGGACCATTCCAGACACTTTAAATGTGTTTGGAGCTGCTGCTCCAGAAGCACCACCAGGCAGAGCGTGGCTCCATCCCACTGGAGTCACCCATAGCTGTGAGATTGTTTGGAATGCAGTGTGCAGCCTTCAGTGGGGGCTAATTCATGCTGGGAGGCAGCTCTCCATCCTCACCTATCCTGAGGGCTGTTCGTGTGCAGCCACAGTCTGGAGCTGGAAGTTTGAGTGGTTTGGGGTGAAGGTGTGAAATTATGGAGCTGCTCCTGGACACCTGCAGAGGGGAGCAGAGGAGAGGCTGCATGGCCAAGTACCTCTGAGAACAGAGCCACAGCCAGATCCTCATGGAGGGGAATTCTCCTGACTTGGTAGCCCAGCTCTTTCCAGGGAAGTGTGGCAGTACCAGGTAATCAGTCACCCACAGAACTGCTTTGAATTCTGCAGCTTGAAGGGCAGCAGGGCTGAGCACAGCCATGTCACTGGGGGAAGTGTTTAGGACTGCTCTGCAGTCGTTAGGGAGTGGGTGGCACAGCAGTGCTGGTCTCTTGTGCTTGTAGGATCATGGAATATCAGACCCTGCTGCTGAATTTCCCGTATGGAGGAAATTGCTTTGTGTGGATTTCAGGGTGTCACACTCCTCCTGCATGTGCCTGAACTCCCAGCACCTCCTGTCCAACAGTGACAAAGCCACAGTAATTCCAGGTCATTCAATCTGCCTGTTTGCTTCCAGGAGCTCCCAACACCGCAGAACTGAGAATCTGTCGTGTGAACAAGAACTGTGGGAGCGTCAAAGGAGGAGACGAAATATTTCTGCTGTGTGACAAAGTTCAGAAAGGTAACCTGCACTAGGTTTTTTCTCTCCCTTTTTCCCAAATGGACACATTCCATGACCATTTTCCTGCTGAGGGGCTGAAACCCTTCACCACACACCTCAGAGTGGTTTGGGTGTGGAGCTGGGTGGAACAGCTTCTGTGTTTGTGGGGTCCCAGCACTTCTTGTGCCTTTAAAGCTGAGCCCTTTACTCTGATCTGAACCCTGAGTCAGGCTCCTCACTTTGCTCCTTCCCCCTTTTTTTCCTGCTGCAAGTCCTCGGTTTTCCAGTTTGACAAGCATCTTCTGTTTCTCCTGGCCTAGATGACATAGAAGTCAGGTTTGTCCTGGACAACTGGGAGGCCAAGGGCTCCTTCTCCCAGGCCGACGTGCACCGCCAGGTCGCCATCGTGTTCCGGACGCCGCCGTTCCTCAGGGACATCTCCGAGCCCGTCACCGTGAAGATGCAGCTCAGGAGGCCCTCGGACCAGGAAGTCAGTGAACCCATGGACTTCAGATACCTGCCAGATGAAAAGGGTATGGATCCAGCCACGAGATGAGCTTCTCAACAGCCATGGTCAATTAAGCCACTCCTGGTAGTGGCTAAATTAATAAGAAATCCACAGCGCTGCTTTGGCAAAGTGGAGTTGTGGGTTTTGAAAGTTACAGCAGTCAGTTTATTCCCTCTTTCAGTGAAAATACAGGAATTACTGTTGGGTAACACTGGCATGGTTTGTTAGTGCTGCCATGCCTGCAGTGTTTTCCTTTAAATAATTCCTACTACAGCTTTGTGCCACTGGGGAGTTCCTTTAGAGAACTTCCTTCTTAAGTTCCTTCCTTAAAGAGAAATGCAACACTTTCCCCTTCCACTCCTTTCTCTGTAGATCCATATGGCAACAAAGCAAAAAGGCAAAGATCAACGCTGGCTTGGCAGAAGCTCATACAGGACTGTGGTAAGGAAAATATTTGTGTTTTTCTTCTTGCTTGAGTGAGCTTACGTTTAGATGGAGCTGTTCCCTGTAAACGCTGCACACTCATGTTGTGTTCCATCACAGGATCAAGCACGATGGAGAGGCCCAAAGTAGCCCCATTCCCTGTTGTCACTCCTGAAGGGAAGGCGATTAAGAAAGGTAGGTTTTTACCTGTGGTTTTGACGGTGGTTTAAACAGGTAGTGCCCTCTCTTTGCTTGAAATTCTAATCTCTTGAGGGTTTCTTCCTGTAAGACAGTGATGCTTCTGACTGTACAAACTTAAAGCTCTCAGTTCCTTGTGTCACCCTCAGCGTGGGCTGTAGAGGGGTGAGGTGGGCAGCTCAGAACTCTGGGGTCCATCCTGGACAGCAGTGAAGCACATAGACAGTGGGAACACCCCTGCAATCTTGCTGTCTTTGCTTTGCTTTTCACCACTTGTAATTTGAGAAAACCCCTAACAAGCGGCGTTCTCTCCCTAGAACCGAACATGTTTCCAGCCACGCCGATGGTGCCAGCGGGGCTGGGCGCGCTGTCCCCCGCGGGCCAGCTGTACCCCAGCTGCTCGCAGGCGGCGGCGGCGGGGCCGGGCAAGCAGGACGTGCTGTCCTCCCCGTTCTGGATGCTCGGCTCCCACTCGCACCACAGCTTCTCCTCGGAGCCCCAGGGCAGCGGCTCCCTGCCGGCCTTCCCCGACGGCACCCTGGCCTGGCCCGACGAGAAGGACTCGGGGCTCCTGCGGACCTTCGGCAGCGCCAACGGGCTGGGCGCCGTGGTGCTGCCGGCCCCCGAGCTGCAGAGCCTCCCTGGCGGCGTGCTGGGCATGGACACGGAGGACATGGGCTGCGGCAGCATCGGCCTGGAGCGCTTCGGCGCCGCGCTGGGGCCCCGGCAGCCGCCGCTGCAGCTGCCCCCGGCCGGGCCCGGCGCCGCCGCTTTCCCCTCGCAGCCCGGCCTGGCCGAGCCCAGCTACGGCTTCATGGACGCGGAGGGGCTGGGCGAGCCCCGGGGGCCTGCCGGGCACCAGGGCCTGCCGGACGGGCAGTTCTACGACGCCGACGAGCTCTACCAGTCGTTCCCCTTAGATAACATTTTGCAGAGCTATCAGCCGTGAGCCGGCTGCGTGGAGCTGCCGGGTGCTGCTGCTGCGTGGACAGGAGTGATTGACCCTTCTGGAGTCCCTGCTTTCTCTTTCAGAATGTTGCCGTGCAAGTTCCGCGATGTAACTTATTTATTGTTGCAGCCCACAGTGGTGCCCTTAAAGAGGGAGGTTTGGGGTTTCTGTACCTTAAAAGTACCTTGTAGACGTATTTTTTTTTCCCTGTTGGAAGTGGGAACTGTTAACACTTAAAGCTTCCTTAGCTTTGGGGACTGTAAAAGCTGGCATCTTCAGAAGGGTTAAAATTTCAAATACTTCACAGGGTTGGAGTTGTTCTGAAATAGCCATTTTTGCTATAGAAATTAAATTTAAATTTTGATAGGACAGAAATGAGGAAAAAAACCCTGCACGTGAGCACTCTAATTCAGTCTCGTGTAATGAATGGCACCTGAGTTCTGCTCAGCATACTTGAAAGGTTTAGGTTCTTAACCCCCTTTCTATAAATATTCTTCTCCTACAATGAGAACACGTATTGATTTTCCACAGTCAGCGCATTCTGTTTGCTTTGAAGGCAAATTTACTCGTAAATTTTTTTTAATGACTATGTCATTGTTAGATGTATTTAAAAAGACCGGAAGGTTTGAGTTTTTAAATAGTCCAGCTCTGTTGTAAAGGAAATCACTGCACAAGAGAAGGAACAGAAAGTGAGGACTTGTCTGCACTTCACCCAGAATGCACTGTTTCACAAGCCATGCCCCTCTTGCTTTAGGAATGAAGCTGTTACTGCTCTGCAAGATGTGTGTGTGTGTATGTAGCTGCCATGTGAGTGAGATTTGGAAAGGCAGGAATCTCTGGAGCCAAAGTATCTACTTACTCTTTCCTCAGGTATCCTGGCAGTTTCCTGCTATGCAAGAGACTGCTTCAAAGAAGGCTCAGATCCTGCCTCCCCCTCCCAGGAGGGCAAAGCCTTGGTGCAGCCTCACCTCTATTAACAACTTTTAAAGCCATTTCAGCCTGTACTAATTAAAACCACTCCTCTGTCCTCTGTATCAGGAACCAGAACTTCTTCCCACCCACTTGATTCCCAGTTTTCGCTCTTAGCCTGAGCAGGAGCTGTTCTGACACCTCCAGCTGGAGGTAACTGGCTGGGTAAGACACTCTGGCCTTGGCTACTTTATTATACTGGTATTTTTTTAAGAAGCAACACAGAGAATTGTCTGTGTATTTCTCAAGGGACACAGCTGCTCTTTAGGGCAGGTAGAGGTCCCCGTTGTCGCCTTTCGGTGACGTAAAACTGCACAATGACAGCAACCACAAAAAAAGCAGTGAGGTCTAAAACCCTCCCCCAGATCAAAAAAGCCACTTGAGATGTAGAGTTGTACACAAGGAAAGGTGCTCCAGAACCCCTCTGTGGTGTGCTTTTCTTACAGGAAAGCAGGGATGCCTTCCCTGCAGGAATCCACAGCACTGGGAGCACTCCGGTGCTGCTGCTGGAATTCCATCAGTCAGGTGAACTTTGGAAACTGCTTCCCCTAACTCCAGGAACACAACAAACTCAATTGATTCTCCCTGTTTTAAAGCAGTTTTTCCTCACGTCTGCACCTCTCCTCCCCATTCCTAAGCAATACAAAGAGGAAAGAAATCCAAAGAAATACACAGAAAGCTTGAATCATGTTGTTTATTCAGTTCTTTTTTTTTTTTCTGAAGTTCTCAATTTTAAGTATATTAAATGTAAACATTTTACTCACTTCATAGAAAGCTCTTTGTAGTACAATTTGTTTTTACTGTATAATTAAATATTTTCAAAGTTCTGTTTTCCTTTGTAAACGAGTTGGTTTGGTAATTAAAAAAAACTGGTTATACCAAGTGCTCAGCTTCTGCAACCTCCTCGGCTTGGTGACGTCCCTCACCACGGGAAAGGCAGGGAAAAGGGACAAGGTAGGTTCTTGGTTGCTTGTCCTGGGGTTTTTGGGAGTATTTTCTGCTCCCTGTAGCTGGTGGGCACTATAAAACCTCAGGCCTGTGAGGGCTGATCTGCCCCAGCAGGATTTGTGGCAGAGCTGTTGGGTTTTTAGGCAGAGGGGACAAGGGCACAGCTGCTTTTGGCTGAGCTGTGCTGCCAGTTCAGCTCTCCAGGCCCAGCTGAGCTGGTGCAAAACCAAAATGCAGGGGGGAGGATTAGAGGTGTCCAGCTGGGGAAATACAAGATGAATTCTGGCTCTCACCAAACACCGAGCTTGAGCACTCACAAAAATACTCCTAAAAATCAGCTGAAGGCCCAAGTACAACATGAATGTTATTGCTGCAATATTCAGGACGTGATGGTTGCAAAACTGGACTGGAAACAAAGTTCAGACCCCCAGATTACATTTCTCAGTTTCATTTCTGCTGTGACTGGTGCCCTGCCTCAAGAACTCGGGGATATTTGCATATCAGCTTCCACCCCCCCATTTGGACATTTACCATAAAAACAAACAGCCTGGGAGTTCTGGGAGGAGCTCTGTGCCTTGCCAGAGAAGAGCTCAGCTCAGACCCAGCACAGTGAGGGTCTCTTGATGGCCCTGTTTGCCCTGGGTTCTGCCTGGGATCCCCCCTGCAGCAGGAGCTGCAGAGGGAAGAGCCTTGTGTGTCCTTGGCACTACTGCAGCAGCCCTCTCCCTCTCCCCCTTCTGGCTCCATTTCCCTTGGAACAGCTCTTCCCATGCCTGTTGTGTCCAGAGAGCACAGTCTTGTTTACATTTTTCCTTTCCCTTGCAGATTATGGAATTTATAAATCGTAGTTTAGCTGTGAGTTTTAAGAAATCACACAGATAAGAAATTCTCTTTTGTTTTCTGAATTCAGTTTCTTGAGTTTTCCATCATTAATGACATTTCCTTCCTAGCTGCAGATTATTATCTGAGAACTACTAATGGAATCTGTTGCTCATAAGAGCTTTAATATTAAACCCAAAAATAGTATTTCTGTCTGAATCAAATTTTTGTGTTAGAAAAACAGGAGCTCCTGAATTACTTACGTTAGAGACACAAGTTCTGACAGCCCAGCACAGGCAGAGCCTTAAAAGAGCTCCTTAAAAATGTATTTATTAACATTTTAGAGCCTCCAGCTCAAGCTCCCATGGAGCTGTTCCATGAGAGGGAAGACATCCCAGGCACCCTCCCTGTCCCCAGACAGTGGCTTGTCTTGGCAGATGTTACCCTCTCTGTCCCCAAAATGTTAACAAAGAGCTCTGAAATTCCAAACCTTAATTTCTTGTTGATAGTTCCACTCTCTTCTGTACTTCAGGGAAGCACCTCCCTAATGGATTAACATGATGCTGGTGTAAATAATTACTTCCTAAAGATGTTGGTGGTGCTTAGTAGGAAACATTTAAAATAACCAAAGAAAACCTCAGATCTTCCCTATTCCAGGCAAGTTCCTAGGCTGTGTTCAGCTCTTCCAGGCATCCATCCAAGGTGAGGTACAAGAAAGAATGTATTATGCTGCTAAGTCACAGCTTTTTATCTCTTCTCTCTTGATACCAGCACCCTGTGGTACCTTTTGTTTCTGCCTGCACGTTGACATTCTTGGTGTTCCTGTTTTTCTTTAGATTCCCATCACGCACCACTGCCAGGAGTTCCCAGACTTTCTGTATATTGTGACTCACTGGGGAATTCCTACTCCTCAAGAAGTCTGAGGAGGCCTCAACTCTTGTTTCTAGGAAGCATCCCCAACGTTTTTAAATGAAAAAACTTAGCTTTAAGTGCAAAGTTCTCCTCTGAAAACTTATTTTTTTCCCTTTGAAAAGAACTCTGAGAGACAAATCTGCTCCTCTCTACTGCCACTGACCAAAAAAACAAAGCAGTGTCTCAGGGAAACTTGCTGCAGGCACTGTCCTGCTGGCTGCAGTCTCCCTGGATTTTGGGATTTCCTGCATGAACTGCTCAGAAAAAATTGGGAGTGGGTTTCAGGTAACTCAGTGTTACCTGCATCCACACAAGGAAAGCTGTGGTATCCAATAGAAAAAGAGCTTAAAATAAAACCTGGCTGGATGGGGAGTTATATACACTGGCTCCCCAAAATCTTTTTATGTACAGAAGAAATAAAAGTAAGGCTAGAGATTGAACCAGCACCACCTGGTCCTGAGTGTGTAAAGTGGAGCCCAAGGGTATCCTCTGGCAGATCAACATGATCCCAGCATTCCAGGGACACCCTTGGCACCCGGGCTGTAACAGGTCCTGCACAGTGTCTGGTCACCAGCTGCTGCCAGGGAGCTGCTGCTTCCTCATCCCAGCTCCAGAAGTTAATCAGCCAGGGTTGGAGGCCAGTCAACATCCACAGACTAGAAAAGCAGAGGGGGAAAAGGCAGCAGAGTTGTTATTTTGTACATACCAAGAGAATCACAACTCCTTTTGCTACCACCTGGCAGCACCACTCTCTGTTGGGCTGCATTTACAAAGGAAAGTAGCAGAAGGAAAGGCATCCTGTGGCAAGGAATGTTGATCCACTCAGAGCAATTCCATGGAAAGCATCTCACCAGGGCAACTCCCTTAGAACTTTCCAGGAAAGACAAACAGCAACCAACTTACTTCCACATCCAGCTCCAGAATGTCAGCAGTTCTGTTCAGAAGGGACCCAATGTTGGGCTTTGTTCTCCCGAAGTCTCCGTGCACAAACTCTTTAATGTAGCTGGAAAACACTGGCTAAGGAGGGGTGGATTCCACACCAAATAAATCAAAAGGGAAAAAAAAAAAGTGCATTTTCTACTCATAAGTAATTTCTTAGTTAACATCCTGTTGAGCCCGTACCTATCCTTGGGAGAGCACCTAATTCCTGGCTTCTTTATTTTGTTTCATTCCAAAATGAGTAGTGACTTTAGGACAAAACTGTAACTTGCAAATAGCAGTGATCTCCAAAACTGTAACTTGCAAATAGCAGCGATTTAATGCACTTCAGTCTGCACTGAAGTCCATTAAATATTGTGGAAAAGGTCATTTTTGGGGGTGAAAATTAGAAATTTAATTTCAGTTAAGTCAGAAAAAGCTGAAGTGTATTTTAACCAGCACATTTTTCTATCCATCACATACTTCATGAAAACTTAACAATGAGAAATTGTGACCCAAGAGCAAACACCGTGCAGCGACACCACTGCGGGGGTTTCAAAGCACCGCAGCCACCCGAGCAGGGACCTTGCCCTGATCCCAACCCTCCCCCAGGAGCTGCTGGCCCTGGCTGGCTGTCGCTGGCCCAGGATACGTCCCTGCCTGGCTCCTGAGGCGCAGGCGGAAGTGGTGCTCGTCCAGGTACTCGCAGCTCATGCTGTGGATGAGCCGGCAGCGCACGGCCAGCGGCCGCCGGTGCAGCACCCGCAGAGGGGTCTTCTGCTCCAGCCTCAGCTCCTGTGGGAAAAGGGGAGCAGAGAGGTGAGGAAGGAGATGTGCAAAGGCTGCGGGGATTGTAGGAACTGTGTGTGTTGTTAGCCAGTCCCTTCTCTTTTATCTTGTGTTCTGGCAGGTGAGTAATCTCAAGGCAAGACTGGATTTTTTCCAAGTTTATCAGAGGACAGCTCTCTCTCAGAGGCCAGAGGAGGCCTCACATGAGCACAAACTAATGGAATCACAAATACAGAGGAATAACCTTGAAATCTCCATAGCCCTTTGCTGGAATGACTCCAGGATCTAGCAGCTCACTCAGAGCCTCAGGGCAATCAGAAAAAAAAAATAAATCCCACCTACAAGATGCTTTGTCTAAACTACAGCCAATCCCCTAGAAATAAAAGTGAGAGGGAAAAACCTTAAATGAGATTAGATCTCAGAACAGTCTTTTCAGAAGTTCATTCCCAACTCCCTTTCCCCAGGGAGAGGCAGCAGTGTGAAAGGCAACTTCTCAGGAGCAAGGGAAGCTAAAGGAAGAACTTCCCAACAGTTGTCTGCCTGAGCTGCACTGGCTTTGAGAATAAGCTCATGGGCAAGTCCTATAGGAAATGGTGCAACACACCAAAAACTGAACCCACTTCTGCATCAGGCCAACATCTGGAGAAAGTTCTCGTTCCTGCACATGCTGAGCCTTCCTGAGGCCTCACTCTGACGTAGACATTTCCACATCCAAAGTGCTGCAGCTGTGGGAAAATGCCTTTAGAGCAGAACAAAAGAGCTCTTCTGCTCCCTTCTCTTACACAGGACACTATATAAGGTGACAAAGGGGTGGAGATTTCCTCCTCTCCCAGGATTTGGTCTCCTGGAAGGTGAACATTACACAAGGATTTGTTGTCTCTGCTAACAAGCCCCCCTGTCCTGCTGGAGGGACTGGTGAAGGAAGGAAGGGTGGTATGGAAGTCCCTATAGCAAGAGAAACCCTGATTATAAAAAACAGAAACAAAACAAAAACCAAGCACAGAGCAAGAGGTAGGCCCACGGATGGCCTGTATTTCACTCTTCCCTAGGGCACCAGGACAGGAATTATTGAAATGAGCAACAAGAGCTCCTGCTCAAATACCTTGATATCGTCCAGAAACGCGATGTCTTCTCTCTGAATTGCTCTGTCTGTCCATATCAAGGCACTGTAGGTCTTTGTCTTCTCCTCCTCACCTTCCTTCATACGACCAATTGCCTCTCTAAACAAAAGAAATTAATTACTCACTTAACAGAAGCATAATTATACAAGGCTGTGAGCAAGAACACTTCCCAACTCCCCGAGTGCCGCTTTGAAATCCCGCAACGACAAACACTGACCTGGTGACAAGCTGCAAATCTCGAACCTGTATTTTGTCTGAAGAGTCATTAATTGCCTGTGATATTTAAAAAAGGCAATCAGTGAGCAGAGCTGCTGGGCTGGAGGGGCAGCCCGTGCTTTACGGGCTCGGTGCTTTACCTGCTGCAGCCTCTTCATCTCCTCGGCGCTGAAGCGGATCCTGCGGGGATTCAGCAGCTCCATGGCAAAGGGCCTGCCTGGCCACGGGCACCAAACACAAAAACATGCTGTTCTCAGTGAATGCTGCATTTACACAGCCAGGCTGGAAGGTGTGAACACTGTCTGCTGCTACACAAACAGGGAGAGGACGGGCGGGCTGAGGGATGGAGCATCAGATGCAGGGGAAGGAACAAGGGACTCTTTTTTTGGCTACTAAACCCCAGTATCAGCAATAAGTGCAAATTATGACTTCCCAGAAGACATCTTGTACATGTCTGTGCTAATTAAAAAATAAAATAAGAAAAAAAAAGCTAATTAGCTTATTTTCTGTCACCTACAGCAATGCCCAGGTGCATGGCAATGCTAAATCCCACTCCCTCAGCTCAACATCTGTTGCCAGAGTTGTAACTCTGTGCTCAGGGCCAGGACAATCCCCAGCACGAGCCATGCCAAGAATCACACTACAGATCAGACAGCTACTGAAACACACAACTGTTCATTTTTACTTTTCCTCCCCACCTCCCTTGGCTAAAGCAGCTCCAGTGTGTTGGAAAGCAGCTGACCTTTAGAAGGGACTCAAGTTCAAAAAGAAAACAATTCCCTCATGCAGTCACAGTGAGGGAATTAGAAGGATCCAGCAGAAAACAAGAGAGGAATCAGTCTGACATAAATGGCTTACAAGTAGGGAGTGAATAAAATAAAATACTTTTAACTAACTATGCCTTCCCATGCAGCCAAGGCCACTGAAAAAGAGCTCCTGTTTCAAGCTGGTTTTATGAAGCTGTTGGACTTTGGGAATAAATACCTAAATTTCACCAAAATGCTTCTGAGATAAAAGTCCAAAGCATGCCTGGTCACACACTTGGCATTCAGCAGGATCTGTCTGGGATGCTCCACACACCCATTTCATCTCTGGGTTTCACAAGGGGTCTCCCAAGCCTTACCATTGCCCAATGTCCTTACATCCACATCTTCTCTTCCAGAGGAACTAAAATTAAAGCCTGTAACAGATTTGAACAAGGCAGGTGAGCTTTTATAAATAAATTTTATTTATTACTTATATTTGTAATTCTCTCTACAGCTTTTAAAAGGTGAAATGTTTTCTTTCTAAACTTGTTTGCAAAATCTACTTCGAATCTACTTTATACACTGGAGCCTGCACTTCACAAACTGTGGGAATTCCTATTAATTCCCAAGTTTCTTGAAGTGCTCTCCCAGTTCCTTTGCCTGAATGAGACTGCCACAACCAGACTAATTTATTCACTGGGAAGAGAAGAGGGGGAAGTAGCATGGCTTTTTTCAAACTACTATTTAATGCAGTTTTTCTTTGGGCCTTCTATGTCTCCAATTCCACATCTATTAGATGAGAAATGATGGGCAGAGATTATTTCATCTGGACAATCCCTGGATGAGCATTTAGCTTGTGGAACTTTATGCACTGAGGAAAATAAATGAATTGAGGTCAGAAACATGAGGGGCTCAAAAGCCAGGCAGAGCCCATGAAATGCCTGTGGCAAAAACCTTCTTGGTACATGTCATTTTATGAATTACCAACTGTTGAGAAGTTTGGTTAAGCAAAAACACTACCACATGAAACCCACACATCTGCATCATCAGATCCACTGAGGAGCTACTTTAGCAGGATAAAAGGATCTAATTACTCCCAGATCACAGCTAAATAAAGTTTACAAGCTTTAACTTGGAAGGAAACAAGAGGGATAAAGAAACTTTTTTTTTCCAATTATACTGCCATATTAAGAGGGTAGCTACCAAGAAAAAAAATCTTCTAGTAGTGATGAAAAATACATATGGAAGGAGATCTCCTGAAGACTTACTGTCTGCCTTGAATTCTGCCATCAGATGCTCTGAAATTAATTCCTCCACTGAAGATTCCAGCTTCCGCTCCCCATCGATAATCCAGGGAGTCTGAGGTAAATTCCTGGAATATTTGTTGTATCTTCCTGTAAAACACAACCACTTCTAACATCCACAGCCACGAGTGAAAGCTGCACACTTGCCCAGCACATTTAACTTCCATGGAAGCTGTGTGCCAGTAAACTGACAGGGTCAGGCTTGTTTCATGGCACCAGCACCGTGGATCCAAAACACAACCACTTCTAACCATTCCACAGCCATGAGTGAGAGCTGCACACATGCCCAGCACATTTAACTTCCATGGGAGCTGTGTGCCAATAAACTGACAGGGTCAGGCTTGTTTCATGGCACCAGCACCGTGGATCACACGTGGCTGCTCCCAGGGAAGGGGCAGTAGCCAGGGTGGCCACTCAGGGTGGCCTTGGAGAGCCTGTGGCTGCACTCCTGCCTCCAGGTACCACCCTCCTGAGTGAAACATCCAGGTTCCAAGCCAGTTCTGGATTGCCTGAAGGCTTAAGAAAAGAAACCCAACGTGAAATGCTTTGGCTCACTACAAGGAACACCATGCAAGGAGTAAGAAGTCCCCATAATAAATTAGGAGGAATGCAGGAGTCTTGAGAAGGTGCCATGTAAAGAGACTGGCATCTTTGGATGGTCCCAGTGATGTTTTCATGGCACCTCCATGGCAGGCTATGACAGAAGAACAAGCCTGACATGGATGACCAATATGAGCTTTTTCATGGACAGGTTTGATTAGAACTTAAAATATTCCCAAAGCAAGGAAATAATTCATAAAGGCCAAGGAGCAACCCCCTGCTTAAAGTGCTTTCAACCTGAACCCTTGCAAATAGGAAATAAAAAGAGTTCAGAGTAGCTCAGTGCTTTACTTTGGGCCTCTGATATCTCAGGTTTGGGGTTTCCTATCATATTTTCCTATCTCGAACAATGTTTCCTTTTTGCAGTTTGAGCAGCAAAAAAAGCCACACAAACAAATGGGGAAACTGAGTAACACAGTTTCACTGGGGCAAATAATGAAAGTAGGATGACTCATCATTCAGCCTCACACTGCTAAATTCTCCTTCCATAAAATGGAAAAAGGAGAATTAGGTTTGCTTTTCTTTTTTTTTCACTCTTTGCTCTCCATTCTAATAATTTTAACTTTTGATCTGATTAACAGTAGGTTTAAAAAAACAGAAGATGTTTATTGGTTTGACAGCCCCATAATCCTTAAAAAAGGTTGGGGTGTAAACACTAAAGGTAAAGTCAAGAGGACAATGTTGTGCTTACAAATCAAGATCCCATCTCATTTATTAAAAGCAAAATATCTGCACTGTACTCACTAAATTCTATTCTGGATTTAGTTCTTCAAAACTTAAACACCTGCCTGGATTGTTTTTTGTTTGTTGGAGCAAGATATAAACAATAAATGACAAGACCAGTATTAAATGACAGGCAGAAAGCAAAACCTCTGTTTTGCTCTTCATACTGTTGAATTCTGATGAAACTGTCCAATAAAGCAACTTAAAATAAAGCAGTGTGTTTGGAAAAGCCTAAAAGGGACTGGATATCTTGGATTCACAAAAAAATATACATCTAACTGTCTAATCAGTAATTAAAAATAAGGAATGGTTTATGTAGAACATCAACTACCCTGCCATTCACTGTGGTATTTTTCATTTTCCATTTCTTTATATTCAGGATTTTTATCATCACAGTATGTTGGATTTAAATTAAAAGTTGGGTTCTTTTTAGCAATAATCAATTTGCATGTGTTTAAATAAGCTGTTCATACAAAGGACTAGGAGAATGGCAGATACTCTGGCAGGCAGATGATAAAAAAGTTCAGTCATCTCAATTCAGGGACACCCAGGTGTTGCTGCACTCCCTGTCTCACCCAAACCCTTATAAATCCCATTAAGATTTGCAGTTTTGGATGGGATAATATGCAGAGAAATCCAGATGGTGAAACCTCTGAATCCAAATCAAAACCCAAGGAAGGGAACAGCACTGCTGGGAGCTTGCTGGTGTGGAGGTGCCTTTCTCAAACCATTACTCTGAGGGGATCTCTAACTTTTGACAAAATAATATCTTCAGCAGAGCTCAAAGATAATACATTACTCTGAGGGGATCTCTAATTTCTAACTTTTGACAAAATAATATCTTCAGCAGAGCTCAAAGATAATTTCTTCCCCTTTCACAGCACTCTTGGACAGAGGTGGATTTGTTTCTTTGCTCCTTACACTTCATTACAGGGATTAACAAACAGCAAGAATCCTCTCAGGGCAGTGTTACAAAGTTCTCCTCAAGAGAACACAGAGCAAAGAAATGGATCACTTTACCAGCCACAAAAACTGCACCGTTATTGCACTGAATTTCCAGAGCATCACAGAGCTTCTTTGGTGGACTTGGGGGACATGGAAAATGCCTGCATTGAAAGGGAAAACAGAGTAAAGCATTATCACTACCAGAACATGATGGAGCATCACCAGAGCAGTAAAAGGTGCCTGGTTTTGGCTTCCCAGTGTGTGTGATTTTTTAGCATATTAACAGCACTTGGTGTTTTCTTAAAACTCAACTCCTAACATTTTGGAAATATGGGAATATTTCTTGTAAAGGGAAGCTTACCTTACAAACTCTAAAGTTCAAAATCATCCTTTTAATTAAAAGATCAGGAGTGATTTACTATTGCCAGAAAGTAAACATGTTTTAAGCAGTAAACCAACTGAATTTAAACAATCAAAAGTTCTTTCAAAGCCATTCTACCATACTCACTGGATATTTCCTCCCCTCCCTGATTCTATATAAAAGCACAATACTAAGAAATAGTTTCAGTATATACTTACTTGAGAAAATCCTCTTCTTTTATCCTCTCCAGGGCTTTTATAACTGCCATTCTGGTGAAAACAGACTGCATAGTGAAATAGAAAAATGAGTCAAGAACTAAGAAAAGCAAGGAAAGGATATGCCTGAGGAAGAAAAAAACAACACTGAAACTTACACTGTGCAGTTCTGTCACTGCTCACCTGGGAGCCCAGGTCCAAATTTGCAAAACAGTTTAAAACCAGAATCCTAAATCCATGAACAGAAACCCAAACCAGCTTCTTTTTCAGGAGTTAAATATACCCAAGCCCAGCTTTTGTGTCAGTGACAGCAGGCTGGTAGTTGTGCTGAGGATCTTGAGTGGGAATCTGTTTGTGAGGTTCAAAAATGGATTGATTCTCAGAACTGAGGGCTCTGAGCACTGGGGCTGGGCAGTTCCTCCTGTGGGAGCAAGCAGCTCCTCACTCCCAAGCTGCAGCAAACAGGAGCAGCCTGCCAAGCTCTGTGCACAGCCAGCTGCTCCTGGGGTGGGAATTTACCTTCGTGGGACAGGAGGAACAAGTGTTGTGACAGCTGAGGTGAAATCCTGCTCAGGAAGGCTGAGGACAGGTCTCTAAATGAACCTTCCAACCAAGCATGGTCAGGTCTTGAAATCCACCTGGGATGGAGCCTGCTCCACTCTGAGGTTCCTCAGGGTGAAATGGTTTTTCTTGTGTCTCCTCTGAACTTCTCATTTCAGCACATTCCTACTGTGCCTCCTCTCTCCACCAGGCTCTGTGCAGACCAGCCTGGTTCCCTGCTCTCAGGAATCTCTTGTGGCACCAGGAGGAGATTCAACTGGATCCTCCCCAAAGCCTTCACCAAGAACCTTGAGGAGGTCCAGGTTGCTCATCCTCCCCTCCCAGTCATGTGCTCCACCCTGGGACTGCCCTGACGGCTGGCTGCTGAATTTCCAAGTTAATGGTGCCTTTTTGGCAAACTGGATTGGGAATTTATGAAAATAAAGAAAAAACCAAAAAACCCCTGGGTCACTGTTTGGGACAATTCAAGTCTTGGCTCTGGAGAGTTCCTGGGTGTCCCCAGGAAAGCTGCTCTTTCTCCTTCTAAACACAAATCAGAGATAATTGCACTTCCCTTCCTCACAGAACAGATGAGCCCTGAAAGCAGCAGCAGGTTTAAATAACTATCTACACAGACAGCACAGAAATTTTCTCTCAGAAGCCAGTTTTTACACTTCTCTGATTACCACAGCCCTTGAAGCCCAGCGTCTTTGTGAGGACAAACCTCTGACAGCTCTTCAGAGCTGGTATTTTTCTTTAGATTCCCCTACATTTTGTTGCCTGTATGGATTTAACAGCCAGGCCCTGCTGCTTTAGCTCCTCATGTGGGATTTCCTCTTTTTTAGAGGGCAGCAATGCAGCAAGCAGTGAGTTCTAACAATACAACCCTGCCAAAAAAAGAGTGGTGCTTATTGGTCAGGTGGAGTAGAGTCAGCAGAATTCCTGGGCCAGACTGCCTCTGCCAAACGTTGGCAGACTCTTCACCAGAAAGAATCAAAGGCCTTGCAGTGGCCTCTGACAGGAGCTACTTGTTCTCCCTCTGATCACACCAACTGTCCCACTTGTATCAGTTTCCCTCTGACTGGTTTTTTATCCTCACGTGTTCCCTTTTCCATCAGTGGCTGAGTGTGCTCAGGGTCTGCAGCAAGTGCCAAGGTCCCTTTTCTTTCCCCCCTCCTCCAGAGGCAGGCAGGATAAAACCATCCTGCATGTATCCTGGCTTTCACTCACATCAGAGCACATGAAAACTGCAGTGTGATCATCTCCCTTTTGGCTGCCGAGTCTCATCTTCACAATGTGACTTATCTGAACTGCTTCACCCACAGAGAGCTTGAGGATCATCTTTTATGCTACTTTTAATGCATGACAATCACATTCCTAGATCTTAAGGGAGGTATTTACAGAGAACCTTCCTTTGGACAGCCTGGAAAGTGAACAACCTCAACAAAAGCACCGAGCTCTTGGTTCTCCTAAGCTGAGAATTGTGAAGTGAATAAAGGAGACAACTTTATTTTCAGACAATTGGAAACTAGAGAGCTTTTTGATGAAGGAAAAGCAGACACTGAGCATTGACTGAATACCCAGGTAAGTCGTAGCTGCTGCTGTGAAATTCTGAATGCCAGAGCAGAAATACAATGATGAGATCTTACCTGCTTGTTCTTCGCTGGTTTGAAACAGTCTGGGCAGGCTGTGGCTCTAAACACAGACATGAAAATTAGCTGCTCCTCTTACAGAGAAAGAAACAGACACACTCACAAGCACAGCATGTAAACGGTTTTTGTACACATGCATCCAGTGTCTCACTTCCACAGCTTAGCTCAGAGCAGATTTTCAAATTCCCTTTATCCTAAACCAAATGGTGCAGGATGTGCTTGATCCAGAGAAATCATGGACAAAGCTCTGCTCTTCTGCTCTGACCAACACCGTGTCTCAGATTTGAGATGGGATGGAAAAGCACACATGTTTAGCTTTCTCAGCAAAGGTCATGATTAATATTTTAAGTTCTAGACAAGACCTGCTGACACCTTGAAATCTGTACTTGCCACTCTTAGACAACGCCCACTAGAAACCTGAGATTCAAACTGTCCCTTCTGGAGAGGAAAATTCAATTTCCCACTGAAAAAGTAACCCCAGGTGCTCACCACGAGCTGTGCTCTGCCTGTTTGAAAGGAAACTATTGGCTGTTTCACGAAAGTGAAAGCCAAGTCAGTGAAACAAACACTTTTTCTGAGCAGTGCAGAGGAAGCTGCTGTTCCTATTAGTGCATTTCTGTGTATGCAGGCAGAGATGATTTCTGGATTTCTGTGTATGCAGGCAGAGATATTTCTGACCTCCAACCCAAATTATCATGTCTTGCTGGGGCTTTTCAACACCTCTGTAACTCCTGCAGACTCTAAGGAAGCAGGTTTTGCTGTTTCTATACAAACAGTCTGTGACCCAAAGCAATGCAAACTCACTCTTCCAAAATTTCAGTATCACCTTACCCTTAAATATGAACTGACAAGAGCCAATTCAACCTTCCATGTCAAACCACCACACCCACCTCCACACAACTGTGCAAGAGCAGGTGAGAAACTGCAGATGCCATGCTTGGAAATCCAATCCAAAAGCACCCCTGGAGCTCTCCAGGTTGAGACAAAGTCCTGCTTTGCTTCCACAAAAAGAAACCATGACTGTCACTACTACTGTGATAATTCCCAAATTCACCATATTTACATGAAAACCAAAGCACTGCCTCAGAATGTGCCCAGAGCCAGCCACTCACACCAGCAGAATGCCTTGGCACCTCAGGAATCGCTGTGTAATTAAATTAGGTGAGGTGCTGCTACTTCAGAAAGTGTCTCAAACCTTAATTGCTGTTTAAGTGTGCTACAAAGAGGAGGCAAATAAAGGGATATTGTCAGGTCACATGGAATAAACCTGAGTCATTGGAAAGGGGAATGGAACTTCTTTACAGCTTTCACCTCTGCAACTGCCCTGCTTGGAGCACTAACACTGGCACCATAACATGTTCAATAGCAATATTCCTGAAATGCCAGAAAAAGGATGGAAGGAGGAGCAGAAAATACCAGTGAAGAGGTTTCAGAGGAAGGAAGTACAATTAAATAAATTAGAACAAAAGGGTGCAGGATGCAGGAACACTTCAGTTCTTTACAGGATTCCAGCAACCATTATTTAGAACAGTGGCTTGGCCCTACAATTTTCTCCCTCTTTTGCCCAGTCTTGAGGAAGCTGGAAAGGAAAGATGTTCAGCATTCACTGATAATAATTGTTCTAGTACTGGTTCCTTCCCAAACTTCCATTCCCTCATCTCTCACCTCAAGACAAACAGAAGACGCAGCTGTGGAAAACCAAGAAGGTGATGGATTGAGCACTCAAATATCACAAATGGTATAGAAGAGAAATCAGGAAATAAATAAAGGCTGCAAGAGAAATCTCCATCTCAAGAAATGAATTTAGGTTTCAACAGAGATGTCTCTGCTGAGCTTCCTTCCATGCTAAGACTTCACTTGCAGTAGGTGCAAATTAACTGAGTGAAACTTTAGGTTTTCCAGGAAGCATAAACAAACAGGAAGAGTGACCCCAATTTTCCAGAATATACTACAGTTAGATTTTGAGAAATCAGATTGAATGGCAGCTAAATTCACAGAAGTGTTTTGCTTCTTTGTGTACAGCAGGTGCCCTACAGGGCCAGGCCAGGGGCTGTGTGCAGTGCCCAGGGAACTTCTGTCTGTTTTCATCAACCAGCTGTGCTGGATTAACTCACTTCAAAGCCTTTCCTCCTGTCCATGTGTCCTACAGGAGCAAGAAAACTTAGGTATGACCTCAAAAGATTCCCCCACCTGCAATTACATGGTTCACATTTTTAAAAGTTATACAGGGAATGACTTTGAGGAGGGCTGAAATTGAAGAACTTATCTGAATGCTCTCCTTCCACTTCAAATCAGAATTCCAGATGATTTTTTTTATTGGCAGAATTAACCAGAGATGGTTTAACTTCAAGCTCTGCAACTTCATGTGGATAAGAGGAAATCTAGATGCAGACCACATTCTAGTTTATAAACACTGCATATTGTCCTCTGTAACAAATCCAAACCAACAATGTTGCACAACATTTAGATAAAGATCTTTTGTTACAAGTAGAAAAACTTACAGGAAATGGCACTCCTCGTCTGTTTCTGGGTGAGCAAAGACCACGCTAACTTCAAACAAACTCTAAATTAAAAAAAAAAAAAAAGAAAAAAGAATAAGGAGGAGGTAAGAGCTTTTTAAACAACCAGCGAGGATATTCTCAAGCACCCACATTGCAGTTGTAGGAAAACAGCAGAGACAAAAGAGGGAATAACCCATTCATTTATGTTGAAAGGCATTACAAGGTGTGCCCGGGCAGCATTTGCCTTTCTGAAGTCACCAAGGCTGATGTGAGAGCACTTCAGAGCCTGCACTGGTCCCACCCTGTGCAGGGGAGGCACAGGCAGCCAAGGCTCAAAGCCTATTAGGGTCACCAAACCCCAGAGCCCTCCCAGGAGTGCCAGAAAGACAAAAACCCTGCAGTAGTCACCACTGGAACACTTTGTCAGGGGCTGCATTTGCAGTGCCTGCATGGCCTTGGGGCAAAGCAAGGATTGACAGCTAGCCCAGGAACTCCAGTGTAATCTCAATTCTTCCCCCAATTCCCTGTCTGGCCTTGGGCAAACAACACTCATTACTTCTGTTACTCAGATACCAGAACACCTCAGGAGGGCTATTGAAAAGATTGGCTAATATTCAAGGGCCTCGTAGATAAAGGGCACTAGAAAAACAACTTTTGTGGCACAGGGATGTCTGGAGTGGCTCCTGCCTAAGTGGTGGGGAGCTTTGCTGACTTGGTGTGTAAGAAGTTTGTTTCTTCCCGGATCATCTTCAGAGTAACTGAGTGGGTTTTTTCTTCACTAAGACAAAAGGGATGCTTTCAATCGGCTCTCCCGGGAAAACACAGCCTGTAATTATTATGGAAGCTGACAAAACAACATGAAGACTAAGTGAATCTAGTCCTGGGGTCAGTGCTGTGGCTGGTGACAAGCAAAACCTACAGCCAGCCACGACTGCAGAAAATTTACATTCAAGACAACTCAAGGTGCTTCTGAATTTGGCAGCACCTGATTGCCATGTTCACTCAATGCCTTTCAGAAGGATTTTAAGGATATTAATCAGAATCTGCAAGCTGAAAACAGTTTGAAAAAAACATTTCCACGGCCTACTTAGGGATACTGCAGGTCCCAACAAGCCCATTTCCAGTGTTCATTAGAGTAAGCAAGGACCAGTCTTTGCTCTTTCATTTTATCCTGAACAAGTGCTGGCAGTGACAGCAGAGCAGGGAAGGAATGTGTGAGCATTCCTCAGCCTCTGCCAAACAGGGATCCTGGAACAGGAGACAGCTGGAAAAGTCTCATTGCCAAAAGGAGGATGGCACACAGATTTAGCACAAGCCTCTGGTGGTTTCAGAAGATGCAATGATCTGTGTGGACAAAAATGAACACTGGGCCCCTCAGGACTCCCACTTGGAGAGCTCTGGTTAAAATAACTTCCCCCTTGCTCTTCCCTACAGTGAATTTAGGAGGCACTCATCTTGTTTCTCTCTTAGTAAGGAAAAAAGGATACAATTCATTTCCCCACCATGTGCATAAGTGTACAAATACACACACACACATATGAAAAAAGAGTGAAGAAACAAAGACAAACGTGTTCTGTTATTTATACAAGACCTTTCCATCAGCAGGAACACCCAACTCTTCTGACAGCTGGGGATGAATAATCCACTTATAAGCTTCCTTCAGCTGAACGATGTCATCCTTTGCCAAGGGAAGGCCCAGATTTCTGAATCACAAAGAAATAAAAACTTGTACAGGGGTCTGTCAAAAATAGATACACGAATACAAGATTTCAAGAGGAACTTAAGTAGCTACTGCCAAGTAAAATGGATTTAATTTTTTTTTTTTCTGTGCATGAGGAAACTGATGCCAGAGCCTGCTGGGAGATCAAAAGTTCCAAGAGTGTTTCCAGAGGCTGCCCAGAGAAAAGCTGAGGAAGGGAGAGATGCATTTCAAACCACTTGTTTGGGAATTTAGAGAGCAAAAGAGATAAGAAAGCCCAAGTAAGGTCAAACCAGGTAAAAAAGAAAAAACAAAACCCACAAAACCCAGCTGCCACCTTATTCTTGGTAAGCATCAGGCAAATGGGACTATAAATCAACATTAATGTAGAGAAATGGTGTCTGTATGAAGAGCTCTTGTCAGACAGACAGACAGCAAAAGCAATGGCTCACCTCATCTGCTGCTTCACCCCCAGCCAAGCAGCACGCTGCAGGTCACCAGTAATGCCCAGGGAAAAGAGAAGAAAAAACAAAAGCAAGTGAAATTAAGGCTCAGAACTCCCAACAATCTGAGAGACTCTTTGCAAAGGGAGAAATGTTTTGAAAATTCCTGACCAAAAAAATATCAGGAATTTAGCTTTTGCTTCAGAAGTGGGAAGATGGAATTGCTGTGAGTTTTTATTTCTAAGACATCACTTTGTTCTTCACATCAAATCCTATCTGGGTTAAAAAATAAGAGGCATCATTGAACACTTTGAAACTTGCTATTAATACTGTAACTACAAAAAGACTCTAAGTCACCAGTTATCTTCCATGTAGAAATTTTTTTAACAAGTGGCTAAATGAATGGGATATGAAAGCTGATTGACATAAATTAATAAAACCCCAAATTCAGCTATCATCCATTATTAAAAAATGGAATAAAAATATACTTGGTCTTACTTGGTAATCACAGAATTGCCCCCTTATTTAAAACACACCACTTGGTTTAGGTGAAGAGGCTAAATATGGAAAAGGGGAGGAACAGAAGGAATAATTCTAGAAATCAGAGGGACCTTTCAGTACAAATGCTAGAGTTCACCAACAATTAGTAAAAAGAGAAAAATTCCCCTCAGAACTTCCTACAATGAAGAGCAGCAACAGTTTCAGTTCTCCTCTACTAAAAAAAATACACTAGGACTGGCAGGAAAGCACTTAACCAATTCAGCCTGTGTCACCCTCCTCACTGGAGACAAACTCCAAATATCAAGTTGTTTTATTTGATCCATCACAATGAAACAGTTTTCAGTCTGTAGGCTGCAGGCTTTTAAACCCCCTTCCCATCTTTTATTTTTCATGTATTTCAAGAATAACCTCCCCCAAACTCTGCTGAAAGAATCACTGTGCATTGTCAAGGAAATAATTTGGAGGAAAAGGTCTGTAAACAGCTCTCAAACTTCAGGATCACAAGGATATCAGAAGGAACCACATCATACATCCCTTTTCCATGCTGATAAGGAACTCAATCAACAAAATAAGGCTGTTATCCTCATTTAGTACATTAAAATAATGAAGGAATAACCCTAAAAACTGCCAGAAATTAAGAGGGAAGAGGGATGGTGGAGAGAGGACACGAACTTTGTTGGATCCATGATACACAAACCCTCACACTGCTGAACAAAACAAATGCAGTTGTAGTGATGAAATGCTGTTTGCTCAAATCCACTGTGATTCACCATCCTGCATTTGAAGACAGTATGAGTAAGGCTGCTTCACTTGAAGTATACTGTAATCCTGTTTGCATAATAACCCAGATAAAATCATAAATAAAAATAGCTGCCATTGAAATTCCTTGAATGTAGCTCTGAACTCCAGGATGTGACAACCACTGAACTGGGCCTAGGAAGCTGCATTTGACAAATGCCAATTTACAAAGAAACCTCTCTCATGCCTTCATTTAGAGCACTTGCAGGTTTGGGATGTTTGGGACTCAGGGGGAGGCTCATCACACTCCTCTTCCCTGTTTTCTTGGGATAAAACTACAAAATAGACAAAACTTCTGCATGGGAGCAGCTATGCTAAAATGAGACCACAGGTCAAATTTCATCTCCTCTCTCTCTTGACTTCCAAGCTGAAAGAGAATTAAAGAAATTACTTTTCCCCTTCAATTAAGGGGAAACAATAGAGAGCACTGCAAGCACAGAAGCCAAAAGATCCCAAATTCCAAATTGCATTCAACCACCAAGGCAGCCAAACCCCTGCACTCTCTCCCAGCTGAACGTGGAGCAGGGGATCAGATCCCTCTACTTCCTAATTACCTCATGTTTGTGAAGTGGTTTGAAAATGAAAAATGCTCATTACAGAGCTGAAGCCTGCAGGGCAGTGCTCAGCAGCAAACACACCTCTGGAACACAGCAGCCCAGGCACTGTATTGATTAGGAGCTGCAGGGTATTATTCTGGAGCTATCTGAGGGAGCACAGTGGCAACAGCTGAAATACCACGTGCAGTCCCAGCCCCAGCACTGCTTCAGTGCATTAGCAGAGAGCTTGGAGATGGGGAATTCCAGGATGAGGCACAGGCAGCCCTACAGGGAGCTGTTATTTGCATCCATGTCCCTGTAGCAAGCACCAGGATGATGGATCACAATGAGAGCACAGCAGAGCCAGCAGCCACCCTTCTGAAGGGCACCACTCACCTCACTCCCTAATAGAGCTGTCTGACACAAGCTGGGGACTCCTCCATTTATGATTTATTTCAATCAAATCTCCTACTTGTGGAAGGAGGCAATTGCTTCCTTGCATCACAGATACAAACACTATGCAAATGTGGATTTTATGTCCTGCCCTTCTCCAGCTCCCCTCGCACATCTCAGACTTGGCAGGATGACAAGTGCCATAATTAAATGAGATGAAGGTAATACTGAGAGGAAGTTTCTGATTTTTTTTGGTTAAAAAAGATGATGGAGAAAATCTGTGTGCCACACCAGAGGGCAGTGGGAGAGAGGCTGCCTTTGGGTGTTCTTTGATGACAGGATTCCACATGTTCCTGTACACAGCAGGTCAAAGAATTAAAAGCAGAATTTAACAAATGGCCTCTTTTCAGCACAAAGCATATTGAGATAGTCTGATATCTGATTTTGAAATTTTCAGACATTTTTACATACTGTGTTGCTGCTTTTCTGTGGCTTTAAAACAGGTTCTCACCTAATTTTTTAAGTGATAAACAGAGTGGAGGTAAATAAAGCCCCACGATTTTTAAAGTTCTTCCTCCACCATCACCCCTTTTCACCCCTGCAGCTGGAGCAAACAGCTGCTTCAGCATTTGACCAGACCGGAGGGATGGAATGGAAGGGACAGCAGGAACTTCTTAATCCAAACCAAAGGGAACACACCCAGTTTTGGAGCTTCCTACTCACTGATTCCACTCCATCTAGTGATTTGTGAGCCCACAGAACATCCCTGAGTGCCCTGGCTGTCCCCAGCTCTGCTGCTGGCTGGAACACGGGGCACAGGCAGCGAGGCCATCCCTCAGCTGAGCTGCAGTGCAACACCACCCTCTACCGAGCCTCCCTGCAAACATCAGGCCCGGCTCAGTCACACCAGGCTTAAAGCTGCACTAAAACTCAGACTAAAAGTCTGACCTACGTCTGGGGCTTGCCAGAGCATCACAGGCATCCCGATACTCACCCGGCCTGAAAGTGCTTTTTGACAGAGCTCATCTTTTGGAGGCATCAGAACCCAAAGAGGGAATCAGGGAAGTTCAGCCAGCCAGAAAGGACAAAGCAAACACACCAAATGTAAGATGGGAAGTAGAGAATCTCACATTGCAGAAGATTTAGGAGTGGAATATTTGTCAGCTGTTGCAGTGGCACTGGCCCAAGATGCCCCAGCTAACAGCACAAACCACGTGCAGTAGATTATTTACCAAACTGTGTGGGAGCAGAGGAGACCTCACCACAGCTCTACACAGAAATCCAACACCATCCACTCTTCTTTCTGCCATGCTCCTCAACCACTGCAGGCATCTCCTGCACAGACCTATGTGCTGCCCTTTAAAACACCACTTTTAGAACAGTACTTCTGCATCATTTTATATCAGAAAGCAGAGGAAGATTGCAAAATATCTCACAACTAAGTGTATTCTCCCATGCTGAATGCTTCAGGAGTTCATCCTCAAATTCCTTCCTTTGCATTAGTTGCACTGCCAATTATCCTTTATCCCTGGAAAGGGAGCAGCTGTGCAGCTCTGCCTCTGAGAAGATCCACAAAGCAGGGCTGGCTCTGCACCCAAGGGAACAATTCACTGAGGGTTTCAACAAACTCCTTGAGGTCTTCAGATGGAAAGTAACTCCTGAGCAGACTTGACTTCCAGCATGGGCTTCTGGGTTTTTGTTTAAACAATAACAATTAAACATCAAACCACCTCCAGCTCATACACTCCACAGTTAATTTCTTAAGTATGTATTTAATTATTTAAGTTGTTATTTCAGTTACTTACCTCCCTGACAGACAGCTGTGGGGGCAGTGACACAGAAAACACAAAACTGGTGAACTGGTAGTCAGCAGAATTAACCTTTTGGCACACCTGTAAGAGAAGGAGCTTAATGTGAAACCACAGCAATGGGGCTGAGCTGATAATTTTTGTTCTAGAATAATCACTGTGAATTCATGTTATCACACACTCAGAGAGATGCCCAACATACAAACCAGAGCAATCACTAACAAATCATTGCAACACAAGCTTTTCTGTCCTGTCAAAAAAAGTTACTAATCAACAGTATCCCTGGTGCTATGAAACAACCAAACTCACTCTTTTAAGGTCAGGACCAATTGTATATTGAAATTTTAGGTGAAATCAGCATCTCAGAGAAGGAAATTTCTGTATCAAACAAGTAGGTTTTGTGGTGCCTTAACCAGTGCTGTCAGATTTTCCATTGCTACTGAAAAGAGCAGTTCTGAAACAAATCTTGGAAGTGGATTCTCTAAAAAGATACATATTCTGCCCAAAAAATAAACAGTTATGTTCTACAGAAACTATGTATTATGCTTTCTGTCTAGTCCACTTTTGATACATTCCTGCTATTGAATGAAATCCTTTTCTATCAAAACTCTGTTAAATGTCTCAGATGCCAGTGTGAGTTTTCTAGCTGATATTTCAGCTGGAAATATCTAGCTGATATTGCTCACATGAGCAGTACAATTGCTCAGAGATGGCATTTGCAGCACTCTGTGCCCACATTCTCTCCTAACTCACATTTTCTCTATTATCCACAATCTGCTGCATCACCACAACATTTTCTTCCCCCGTGGTACTTCATAAAGACAGGTTCATGCTGCTTTTAGAAACATGTGGTTCACTTGATGACTCCTCGTTTTCCTGTCACATAAAAAGTGAAGAGTTCCTCAGAGTTCCACTGAGGTTTTCATTGAAAGCAGCTGAACCTCAGGTCATTTCCTAAAGCCATGTAGCCACATAGCTGTTAGTCCTTTCCTTAGGGAAGTGTGCTCCCTGCAGTCATTCCACTGCATCTGCACTGCTATTTCTTTTTTAAAAAGTGCCACCGTGACAAAGCCTGGGCAGAATTTGGGGCCACCACAGATGCAACTTCTCAGCTGCACAGATGTAAAAAAAAAAGGAGAAAACATTTCTTTTGAAACAACAACAAAAATCTGCTCAGTGTTTTCAGTCACCAGCTCCATCCTGCAGGCCCCAGCACACACAAGCTCCAAAAGAGTATCCCCAAAAGGTGAAAAATGTACCTTTTTAACAAAGTCAGCCTCACAGAACTCCTGGAGGATCCCCAGGCACACGTTGCAGACCTTGCCAGGCGAGCTCTCCGTGGCAGCACTCCCAGCTGAGGGAAGCTGGGGGACAGCCCCGTTGTGGGTCACATCATCAGCCCCTTCCTCCCTGCTGTGCTCAAGCCTGATTCTCTTACAGGGTGGGTCAGCCACATCCAAACACCCTGTGCCTTCCTTCTCCTGGCTGGTCTTCAGAAATTCCTGCAGATCCTTCAGCAGATCCTGGCACCAACAGAGGAAACACACCCTGGCTGTTTGCTGCTCTTTAACAAGCACAATTCCACAGGGCAGTACTGCTCCAGCTGAGTCTATGTCACTAACAACATGGAATTTGTGCCCAAAGACATCTTTAAGACACAGCTCAACAGCTCCAAGCTGCACTGCTCTCAGGATAGAAATTTCCAGAGAAAATATTGCTGAATAGACCTGTTTATCATCCAAGAGTAAAAACGTTTTCCAGACCTGCCTTGCAGAAACACTTTTATCTTTGCCCCAACCCTATCCCATGAAAAGAGACATTTACTGCTTTCTTGTCATTCAGATTAGGTTAGAACTTAATTCCTTTGACTCCTTAATTCCTTCAACTCAACAGGAAGAGAGTGGGCCACCACAATAAAAAGAAAAGAGAGCAGACACGGGTGGGGGTGAAATTATCAGCTTTGCATCAGGAGAGAAGCCTTCAAAAATTAACAATTACCTGCACTCTCTGATTGCTGCAAGGATGAGAGACAAGACTTAGCTCAGGAAGAAGGATTCATTAAAGGCTTTCAGAAAGGAAGACAGCAGTTACTGTGCTGTTGCAACTCAGAGGAAATCAGGTGGAGATGCAAAAGGATAAAAAAATGGCACAATGAAGAACATGCCTCAAATAATTGATAAAAAATTGAAAAGGACAGGGAAGAAAGATGTTAAAAATGGATTGTGGGGAGCCTAAACTTGAGCAAAGGTAGAACAACCAAGACAGGCAGCAGCAGACACAAAGCACAGGGACAGGGGGTTAGAGCAAGCCAAGGAAGATGTCTACAACAACAGTGCTTCTCTGATTTATCCTCCCCTGCAATTCTTCAGCATCCCCCTACCAATCCTGCAATTTCACCCAAATTCCCCTCCCAGCGCAGGCGCGAGCAGAGCTCCCACAGCTCCTTTCCCTGGCAGGAGCAGAGCACAGACCTGGGCTGGGTGTCTGTAGAGCAGCGGGGAGCCCACGCAGCAGAAGCGCAGCACGCAGCGCGGGCACGTGCCGGCCGCCAGCAGCAGCTCAGCAACCGGCCTGTCCTCCTCTGCCAGGGCACACATGCTGGGCACACCTGCAATTCAGCACACGGGGACAAAAGGAGGGCTCAGAGCGAGCAAAGGGCACCCCTGAGATGTAGCTGCACCGGATTTAGAGCAGCTGGAATAGTTCGTCACTAGGGAAAACGTGGGAGGTTTGTTTTAAATGTTTGTTTTAAATCACAGGCACGGGAGAAGTGGGAGATCAACCCAAAAAAAACCAACCAAACTGACTGGAGGAAAAGCTTCTGTATTTGTTAGGTTTTTCCTAGAAAACCTGAACTCGAGTTCTGACCAGGAAATGCTGAGCTTTTGCCCAGTTCTATCGTGGATAAAGTACAGGACACGCTGATCTTGACTGAATGAAGGAGGGTGGAGCTAAGGCACATTAAGGCAAATTTAAAATGGGAATTCCTCCTCAAATTGCAGTGACTAAAGAATCAGTGTGCTAAAATCACAGGGGAAAAACCCAAAAACTTATAAATAAGATTTATAAATAAGATTTATAAATAATAATAAGATTTATAAAATAAAGATTTATTTATTTATTTATTTATATTTTAAATTTATATTTATATTTATTTATTTATTTATTTATAAAATAAAGATTTATTTCCCTTCTCAATACAGAACTCCATGTTTTTGTGAGAAATCTCACAATGTTTTTTTCACCCCTAAAATATCACTGCTAATTTGGTTACCCGTCATTCTCTCTGCCCAGAACTTCAGAAAAGACTGGTTTGGTTTGTTTTTTTTTGTTTTTTTTCCAAAATGTTGTGAACTCAGCATTTTTTTTGGAAGAAGACAGACTCCCAGTGAGGTGCTCGCCCTTACAGGACACCAAGGAAATTTCAGGAGGCACATAAGGACAAACACAATTGTTCAGACCAAAGTGGGAATAAATTCAGCAAGGAATTCACAGCACAGCTGAACCACCTGGCTTTGCTGTGGCTTAGCTCCTGTAAGCAATATTTGATACTCTCCCAGTTCTTGTGTCCCAAGGGATGGGATTCATCCATGTTCTCCATGCCAGCCACTGTCACACCTGCAATACCCAATCCTGCTCAGGAGTGCCCTGCACTGGAATCCTGCAGCCATGGAAAAGTGATTAATTCAATTAATTCCTTCAGTCCTGGCTCTGGATGCTGTAGGGTAACCCGCAAAACCCCAGGGCTGCCCGCAAGCCGCTTTTAAAGGGAAAGAACAAACACAAACAAACAGGCTTTGAGGTGAGTGCGACCTCAATTCACCTCCTTGCCACTTAAACACCGACACACGAGGTAAATGTGACAATATTCCTGACACCGAGGCGACGTGAGGGGACGAGCCGCGGCCCCCGGCCCGGCGCCTCAGGGGCAGCTCAGAGCCCCTCGTCTGTGAGGGGAGGGGGCACGGGAGCTCCGTTCCCGCTCCCGTTCCCATTCATATCCATATTCCCTTTCCCATTCCCATTTTCATTCCCGTTCCCGTTCCCATTCCCGCTCACCCCTCGCTCGGCGGCCGGCGGAGCTCGCACAGACCCGCTCAGCAGAGCGGCAGAGCGCATCGCTCGGCCGGCTCGGCCGGGCGCCGCGCCCGCAGAGCGGCTGGTGGAATAGCTCGGCGCTCCCGCGTGATGCCTGTCGACGGGAGGGTCCGAGCGAGGCCGAGCCCGAACCGAGCGGCGCCGAGTGGGGCCGAGCCGGGGTCGAGCTTGAGCCGAGCGAGGCCGAAGAGAAGCCGAGCGCGGCCGAAGCGGAACCGAGCGCGGCCGAAGCGGAGCCGAGCGCGGCCGAAGCGGAGCCGAGCGCGGCCGAGCGGGCGCGATGGCGGCGACGCCGCCGCCCAAGCCCTGGGAGTCGCGGCGGCTGCCGGGCGCCGCCACCGCCTTCCAGTGAGTGCTGCCGTCCCTCCCGGGCGTCCCCGCCGCGGCTGCCGTGAGGGCTCGCCCTCTCGGGCCGGCCGGGCCCGCTCCCCCGGGGCGGGCTCGAAGGTCGGGCCCGGCCGTGAGGGGATCGCGGCAGGCGGGCGGGCAGGGGCTGCGAGCTCGATCCCCGCTGGCGGCGGGGGAAAGCTGCGTGTGCGGGGTGGGGAGGGGAGAGCCGTGCTGTCACCGGGGGAGAGCGAGTTCGCAGTCCATTCCTGGCAGGATTAGAAGGCGTTTCTTAGGGGCGTTCGCGGTCCTTTCCTGGGGACACTAACAGTCCATTCCTGAGGACTCGCAGTCCTTTCCTGGGGGCATTCGCAGTCCTTTCCCTGAGGGCTCTCTCAGCCCTTTCCTGGGAACCCTCACAGTCCTTTCCTGGGAACCCTCACAGTCCTTTCCAGGGAACATTCACAATCCTTTCCTGGGGGCTCTCGTAGTCCTTTCCTGGGGACACTCACAGTCCTTTCCTGAGAGTATTCACAGTCCTTTCCAGGAGTCCTTTCCTGGGGGCATTCGCGGTCCTTTCCTGGGGACACTCACAGTCCTTTCCAGGGAACATTCACAATCCTTTCCTGGGGGCTCTCGTAGTCCTTTCCTGGGGACACTCACAGTCCTTTCCTGAGAGTATTCACAGTCCTTTCCAGGGAACATTCACAGTCCTTTCCTGGGGGCACTCTCAGCCCTTTTCCTGGGAACACTCACAGTCCTTTCCTGAGAGCATTCTCAGTCCTTTCCTGGGAACACTCTGAGTCCATTCCTGAGAGTATTCTCAGTCCTTTCCTGGGGCTGTGCAGCTCTGTAGCCCCCGAGCCTCTGCAGGACGAGGGGAGCTGCAGCCGAACTCACTCCTGTAAGGAGTCAGCCCCAGGACTTGGAAAAGATCCCTGTGTGTTGTCAGTTCCCGTGCTCTGGGAGATCTCCCAGAAAACCCAGCGTGCTGGGGGTTTTCTTTATTTTTTATGGGAAGCCAAGGAGGGCTGGCTGGCTGGCTGAATACTCGCCTTGTTTTTCACTTGCTGCTGGTGATTGCAGTTGGAGGGAGCTGGAACTGGGCAAAAGGTTGGCCCAGCACACAACACTGAGCAGAAACTTCGCTGTGCTCCCTGCAGCCTGCTGAGCCAGCAGTTTGGTGGTGTTGGTTTTTCATTCTGGGTTTATTTACCCCATTTTAAAGGGCTTCAGGCAGCTTTGAAGTGGGGTGTCCAAGTTGTCTAATGGACAGTGTGACTTACTGAATTACACTGTGTTTGCTGGGGCAATAACTTATTTTCCCCCCTGTTTTCAACTGCTGAGAGAGTTACAGTCTGTGACGGAAAAAGCGGCAGTGTAAAGATACAAATATTATTCTTTGCTGTGGAAACCTGCAAGTTTTGCTGAGAGGAAGCTGTTCCCTACCTTGTATGGGAATAGTACAGCAAGCAGCAGCTCCATAGCAATTCCAGCTTGACATCCTTCCTTTTTTCTGGACTGCAGAAGTGGGAAGTGGTGAGTCGAGGCAGTGAGCATGGGAAACAGAATGGTTGACTTTTAGGGTGCTAATGTGTGGATGAAACACATATTTTTTTTGAACTGGAAGAAGTTGGACAAAGAGCTGCTTGGCAGAATTCAAATGCCAGTCAAGTACTTCCAGAGTTTTATTACAAAGGGCATGCAGAGGAAAAGAAAAATTACTAAATTGAGACCTCTCTCTGCCAACACTTCTCAGTAGTAGATTTAACCCCTTGAAAACCTGCACACATGTAATCATAGTTTAGGTAGAGGGAGAAACTGGGGACCCCAAAGCCATTGCACATATTGTTGCATAATTACTTGGATTCCCAATTAGGTCATGCCACCCTTTAAGAGTGCATTCAGAGGAGCTCTCAAGCTTTCTTCCTGCTGTATCATTGGCTCATTGTGTGGAAGAGCTGGGAACAAGGGCTGGAAATAAAACTTTTAGCTTGGAAAGTTCATAAAAGTTCGTGTTAGGTCCTACGAGCGGCTTTCACATGCAGAAGAATGACCTGGGTGTTGGAGCAGCAGGTTTGGGGGCTGTGGGTTGTGTGTTTCATGGGTTGGTACGTTAAATACATAATAAATAGGCAAAGATTTAGCATAAGTTTACATTCCAGTTCCATGTTTACCATAGATATCTGGTTATGGGGGTTTTACCCCCCTGAAGGATCTGTGTTTCCTGTCCAGATCTTTCACTTCCACCAAACCCTGTCCAGCGTACTGAGTGCTGGGCTCTCAGGTTGCTGTCCCCGCACTGCTGGAACTCTCTGTGGTGTTCAGGAGTTAGTGCAGAGGCAAACTTCAACTCTGGGTGCTGATCTTGGTTGTCTGAATTGGTTTAGGTCTGCAGACTTGGGTGACAGCCTGCTGACCAGGCCCGGCCAGCCCGCGGTGGCACGGATCCCTCCGCCCATTTTGCCAAGACCATCCCAGCAAACGGCGAGCAGCAGCCTGAGCGCCTTCAGGCCAGCCTACAGCAGCTCCTTCTCCCCGGGCTATGGCTCCTATGGCACCTCCTTCTACGGCAGCTACAGCCCCTACAGCTATGGCTACGGAGGGCTGGGCTATAACCGCTTCTGTGCCGACAGCATTCCCCCCAGCAGGTTCGTGCAGCAGGCCGAGGAGAGCAGCAGAGGCGCCTTCCAGTCCATCGAGAGCATCGTGCACGCCTTCGCCTCGGTCAGCATGATGATGGACGCCACCTTCTCCGCCGTCTACAACAGCTTCAGGGCCGTGCTGGATGTGGCCAACCACTTCTCCCGCCTCAAAATCCACTTCACCAAGGTGTTCTCAGCTTTTGCTCTAGTCAGAACTATAAGGTACCTGTACCAGCGGCTGCAGCGCCTGCTGGGTCTGCGGCAGAGCTGCGACAACGAGGATTTGTGGGCTGAGAGTGAGGGCAAAGTGGCTCGTGCTGGCCTTGAAGACAAGGTGGCTAACTCTGCCAAATCCTGGCCCATCTTCTTGTTCTTTGCTGTTATCTTGGGAGGCCCCTACCTGATTTGGAAGCTGCTTTCTACATACAGTGAGGAAGAAACAGGTAAAGATGAAGTGCAGCGTGTACTGTTGCTTTTCTTGTTGCCTGTGTAGTGATTAGTCTCACACTACTGCAATAGCAATTAATAGATGCTGGGGCACAGTACTGAACTTCAGGCACGTGATGCAGCCTGCTTAAGTAACCTGTTGTTAAGATGTGGTTTCCTGCTGAAGCTTTCTGTGATTCCAGAATCATGCTTCCTCTCAACTTCTGGTTCCTTTCTATTAGATGTGGCAGTTTGGGTTGGGTGGGACAAGTGTTGGTTGGATTTGCTCCCCAAATCTTGCTTTTGATGTTACTTCTGTCACTTCTCTATTGGAAAAGTTTTAGCAAGGAAGTGGAAGTGTTTTCTTCATTTTCCTTTGAAAAACATACCAGACTTTGTAACTCAAAGCAGATAAACTTGTGATTTTTGTTTGAAAACAGTGTCTAGTAACTGGGCGAGTGGAGAAGACGACCATGTAGTTGGAAGAGCAGAATATGATTTCAATGCTCTCTCAGAAGAAGAAATTTCCTTCCGTGCTGGTGACATGCTAAGATTAGCACCCAAAGGTAAACTTTTAAATTTCTGTTTCTTTTCTCATCACATGTGAAGTTGTAGTGCAAGAGTCAGAAAATTGAAACAGAAAAGCCCCCAAAGCACCTTATTTGACCAAATTCCTCATCCACACTGATACTTAGTCCCTGTGAAGTGATGACTTGTATTCTAATAAAACTTACAGAGTAGGTTTGTTCAGTTTTGTTGGATTCTCCTGTAACTTGCTGCATTTGCATTGTCTTCTTCAGAACAACAACCCAAGATCCGTGGTTGGCTCCTGGCTAGTTACGACGGCCAAACAACAGGACTTGTGCCAGCTAATTACATCAAAATCCTGGGCAAAAGAAGAGGTAGGAGAACAGTGGACCTGGAGAGGATTGCGGGGCAGCGGCCAGCCTGTCCCAGCACAGCTGCCAGAGGAGCCCCTGCTGCTGTGACTTTGGAGGAGCAGGAGGCAGCTTTTGAAACTGTTTTTGCTGGAAGCAGCAAAGTTCCTGTTGCGTCGGACTCCGCCGTGGCTGGAGGAGAGAAGCAGGAACTCTGATGCACTTGGATCAACAAAGCAGCTGAACTGTGCTTTATTGACACCACTTAGGGCTTGTTGAAAATCTGGTTTGTGGCGGAGCACTGGTGGGTCTGTACCAGTGTTTGCTGCTCCTGGCTGGTGAAGGGATGGAGAAATGATTGCTCAAATTTGTGGTATTTATTTTTGACTCACCTAAGGCTGTACGTCAGTGCTCTATCCACCCACCTGGCAGCGACTCTGAGATCTTGAGATAGGAGAAGTGAGGCATTCATAAAAAAGCAAACAAAGGGGGAAAAAAAATAGGGACTGCCATTCTTGCTTAGGAGACAAATTAACACCCAGTCTTTGTAGGAGTATCAGGCCTCTTTGACAGATGTGCAAAGGGAAGATTGATTTCTGTAAGATGTCCTCCAAAACATCACCCTCAGAACCATAAAGGAGTAACAACACATTGTCTGCCCCTGAAGGGAGGGAGAGTTGCAGGAGATGCACACAGTGGAATAGTTAGAAGGTTTAAGTTGCTTTTCATAAGTGGGGTTCTGTCATAAAGAACTTAGCTCTCAGGACAAAAGGGACTTGGGAGGAAGGGAGGAGAAACAGAGTTTACTAAAGGAGAGCAGTGAGGCATCACCAGTAGTTCCAAGCAGTTTATTTAAAGGACATCAGAATAAAGGCTGTTCTGCAGTCAGGCACTTATTAGTTGTTACTCCCTTAGCTAACTTTGCATCCCTCTTGGCCATTTTGTGATAGAGCCTGCTAGCTGCCTGTCTATCAGCTCCCATCTGCATCTCAACTTATTTCTGTCCTTTATTCATTTGGTGTGAGTGTCAAAATATCTCTCCTATGTTTTTGAGCAGTAGGAAAGCCTTGACTTGGGGGAAGCTGAAAGTAATTGGAACATCAAAGAAAAATTAACATTTCTTGCTTAATTGTCTCAATTAGAGAAAGTCTTGGAGTTGGACAAACTTTCCACGCTGCCTTTCAGGTGGTAAATTTTGCATCTGCCCATAAAATTTTAGGGCTCCAGTTTATCAAAAGCCATAAAAATATTAAGACTGTTCAAAGTATTTTCTTCATATGGGTGTTTGAGAATTCTGTCTTGAAATACTGTTTTGGTTTTTTGTTAAATGAAGCAAAGATAATTAAAACTTTTTCTTGTAGTATGTATGTATAACGTGTTGAACTTCTGAAGGTTACATCAGTGGATTAAACAGCTAAGTTTGTCTTAATCATTAAAATAACTCTTTTATTTTAAAAGTTTCTTGGAATACAAGTAGGGCACAGGCCTTTTCTTAATTGATTGAGTAGTTTCAGTTTGACCATTCCTACAGGGATCTTCAACACCCATTATGTGTTAAAAAAGCTTTCAGTATTTATATTTTAATGGCATTTGCTGGCCTTGGGTTCTTAGAAGTCTGTTCAATGCAACAAAACTCTGAAAAAATTAGCACAATTTTATTGAGGTAGAGTGGCTGAAATTACGAATATTATGCTGGAACCTTGATTTGAAAGTAATCTCTGAATGCCTGTTGTTAATAAAGAGAACATGAATTTAAGTGGTTGTGCTCAGGTATTGGGAGGTGGTGATTAGAATAATTTATAGTCAATTGTTAGATTTTCAAGTGCAGATATAAAGGAAAAAGTAGTTAAAGGGCAAATGAAAACCTTGAGGTTTAAAACAGAACATGTTCCCAGGACATTGCCCTGTGTACCAGAAAATTATCTGTATTTGAAAATTATATCTGTTGTTGAAATGAAAATAGCAAAAAAATTCTGAAATTTAAAATACAGAGAAGCAGAAGGGGGGAGGGGTGTATCAAGTGTGCAGTTCTGTGTGCAGAGAGTGTCCCTGGAGGGAATTCATTTACAGTTCTGAGATGTAATTAATGGACTGTCAGCCTCTCCTGTCAGTGAAAGATTTCAATCAGAGTCTTTAAATTAATTAATAAATAAACCCCATTTTTTTTGTTTGTTTTATTTTGGTAAGAGTATCCATTCAGGTAGATTTTTTGGTTTTCTGGCTGTTTTGAGGGCTTTTTTCTGTTTTGTCTTCTTTTTTTTCTGGCTCAGAGCAAGTTGAGAAGACAATGCCATGATGCTTGTTGGAATGTTTTAAGTCTTATTTATAGAAAGATAAGTTTATTTTCACTTCCAGGTCATACTGTTTTGACAACAAATCTTTTAGCAGGAAGATAGGTTATTCTTACCTGAGTTATCTTTATATTTGTTTGACTTAGCCTACAAGCCACTGTCATCATTGTATCTGTTAAATCTCAACAAGAATTTTGATCCTTTCAATCTTGCAATTACCTTAACTGGAAAAGAATGCTCTGAGGAATTAAGTCAGTTATTTAACTCACAATTAATTGTATTGATTGCAGAAGGGTATTAAAGTTCATGGAAGTAAAATACACACCACAATTTACTGTCTGTTTCTGTCCACGTGGCAGGCCACAGGAAAAAGACCTAAATGAGCACGGGGTGGAAAGGAAGGCTGGAGCACAGGCTGCTGGAGACCTGCAGAGCCTTAGGAGGGGGACAAGTGTGGCTGCAGCAGGAGAGCGTGGAGGAGGAGGTCAGACAAGAGAGGTGGCTGGAATACTGCTTAACCTAGGCATTTAGGCAAGCAGCTCTTATTTTGAGGTCTGTACATAAGTTACTTTTGTGGTACTCTTCAGAATTATTTATATACCTGTAGCAGAGCTGGGAGTCTGTAGCAGAGCTTTGACATCTGTTTGTATAAGATATTATTTTATTCTTACTCGAATCTTACTGTTTAGTATCTCAACCATTTTCTGCTTGAGTATGTGAGCTACTGACAAATACTGAACCACTGCTCAGTGGTTCTCAGGGTGCAGACAGAACATGACCATGCACAGGGTCAAAGCTTTGTTCAGCTTTCTGAAAAATCAATTTCAAATCCTCTGGTTGTCTAGTAGAAATAAATGGGCCACTTTGCACAGGTTCAAAAACTCTTCCTTGTGTGGAATTTGACTCCATCTGGGATATTGAGGTTGTTCTGACTTGGTGAGGTTTGCTGCTGAGGTAAATACAAAGCAAATGCAATTTCTTACAAATCTCCTCTGTTGGCAATGGAAACCTTCCAGAAGAAAAAGCAGCACAGGGATTTCTTGATAAACCAGTGCAGAAATGCTCTTGTGTGCAGTCACAGCAGAACTGTGCTCGTTTTACACAACATAGCACAAGAGATTGTGCTCTTATGTAACTCCCTGCAGATTTTTATCCGTGCAGGTGTGGCCCAGCTTGAGATGGGTGAGCATTTTTGGGCTGTAAAGGCAGGCAGTAATTGTGTGTGCCCACAGCTGGTGACACACATCCTGTCCTCCTCTCCTCATCTTTGGGCTGCTTCCTTTGCAGGGCAGTCTGAAGCAGCTGTGGGCTGATAAATCTGGGCTTCTGTGGCCATGTGGAGCTCAGCCTTTAAACTGCTGGATAATCTCTCCCTGGAGGAATTGCACTGGTGTAACTGGTTTGGCTGGTCACAGAGGCATGGTGTCAGTGCAGGGCACCCCTGGCTCCTTCTTACCTGCTTTGAGCAATTCCCTAAATTTCACATCAGACTCCAGCAAATGGCAGGGATTGAGGCTGTCAGAGTATCAACACAGCCTTGTGGTTTTGGAAATGAAAAATGCGATGGCAGGGATTATTGAGGCTGTCAGAGTATCAACACAGCCTTGTGGTTTTGGAAATGAAAAATGCAAGGAGACAGCTTTACTACCTTTGAATTATTGTAGCTGATCTAGCACAGTCTGGAACAGCACATGAGTAAAATTTAAGATACTGATTTTTTATTCTCACTGATATTATCTCACTGATAATGTTTTTGTTATTAAAAAAATAAACAGGAGGGGACTGACTTCTGCCTAATAGCACAGATTAATGGAAAAACCATGTTCCAGTTCTTTAATTTACCATCCATCGTGGAACAACTGGATGCCATCATAATGCAGCAATATTCCAGCATTAGTTTATTAGTGGTATGAAACCAGTGGGTTTTGCTTTCTCTGAGACCTCAGGGAAGCTTTCAGGCTGACTTAGGAAAATTTAGATTTCAGATACTTCTCTAGATGAGTGGAATAGTTTTTTTCTTAATTTTTCTGTGCTTTTTTTTTTTTTTTTTTTTTTTTTTTTTCTTTATCCTCACTGTGTTATTCCAGAGTTTTACAGGTGGGGTTTTAGGAAAGAAAATTATTACTACCCCTGATTTTTGCCAAACGACCACGAAGGGAAGGATTGGTATGTGGGAAATGGAGATCTGGGCTGGTCTTTATCAGGCACGGGTGGCTTCCCACGGAAAGTGATTTAAAAATGTTTGGGAATACTTGAGACTGTAGGAGCCATGCAGTAGGAATTGAGCTGTGTGGGTGAGATAACAGGACTGGGACAGCGTGAGCCTGTGCAGAGCAGCTCTGCTGAGCCACTCCCAGCGGCTGGGCTGTTCTGTGTAATTAATTAGCTGCAATTTCACTGTTCTGTGTAATTAGCTCCAATTTCAACGTTCTGCTACTGTTGTACGGCTAACAGCGGATCTAGTGTTTGCATCAGCTGGAAACTTGGGAAAGGCTGGGAAGGACCGGGGCTCCATCTCTGTGCTGGGAGCACGGAGTGCATTGACACTTTGCTGCTTAATTAATTAGCTGTGCTTACGTCACGAGCCAGGTGCTGGTGTCTGGTGCGTTACCTCGGCGGGCGGCACGAGCTCCCCGGGCCGGGCTCGCCCTTCCCCGCCGGGTTCCGGCGGGCGGGAGTTGTGCCAGCGGAAAACTCGGGAATCGCCGCAGGGAGCGGCTGCGTGACGTCACGCGGAGCGAGGCGCGCCGTGACGTCACGGTGACGCCGGCGCGGGGGGCGGGGCCTCCGCGGCCGCGCCGCTCCCATTGGCGGAGGCCGCCCCCCCTCACGGCGGCCCCGCCCCTCCCCTGAGGGCGGCGCCGGCAGATGAGGGCGCGGCGGGCGCGGGTCCCGCTCGTCCTGCGGTGCTGCTGAGCCCCGGATCGTCCCAAGGAGGAGCCCCCCTGCACGTCCCACCCAGTCCCGCCGGCCCCGCGCCTGGGAACCGCCAGGTAAACCCGTGAGGGGTCCCGGGGGAGAGCGCCCGGGGGGCCCTCGGGGTCCCCGCACTTGTGGGTTGTCTGAGACGGGTTTTTATATTTTTTAATTTAAGCGCTTTGTAATTTTTAACGTTGGCTGGTACGCGGGCAAGCAGCAAAGTTGCTGTTGTTCGTGTCCGCCGCCTCATTCTGCAGCATCACTCCCTCGGGCTGTGCACGGAAACCTCGTGGCCATCCCGCCGTCCTCACCTTCCCTCAGGCTCTGCCCTGCCAGGGCAGTGGTGCTCCCTGTCCGCATTAACGGCTTGCTTTAATTCATAAAAAAGCGGAATCTGATCGTGGGTTTCCGTCCTGAATTAACTCTTGGGAGTCCTTTGCGCCGCCTGATTTGGAATTCTGAGAATTAATAGGAATTTCTGTTCTCACGTGTCTTTCTGTGTTGTGCATCTCAAATGAGTTGGTCAGAGTTAAATAATTTGGGAACTTTCTTTTTTCCAATTTTCATAGTTGAGGAAGGGGTTAACATGAGCTTTCCTTGCAGTAACAGAGCAGAGAGAATCTGTAGAAGCTGCTTTTTCTCTTAAGAATATGATTTCTTACAGGCTTTATGTTGCTGCTTTTAGAGACTTCTTGCATGAGACAGAATCTTGCATGTGTCTTTATATTTCCTACAGGGTTCCTAAAGGACAAAAAGGCAAATATTGAATGTCATGTGTAAAGCTGTACAGAGGAGTCCCGTGCTCTTTGCAGAATACAAATAAAAATACTTCTTCTGTGTGCCTGTAATTAAGTCTCTTCCTTCGTTTATCTTTGCAGTAATAAGCATATACAGAACTGTATTTTAATGTGCAGAATAAGCAAATAAAGAGACCTTTATTGAGAGACAAAGACTTGATGTCTCTGAACGTGTCATCACGTTTTAGAGCACCTGTCATCCCTTCACGCTTGGGCTGTCCACAGGGTTGATTTGTAATAAACTTGTTACCACTGAAGCACTCAGAATTTTCCCCTGTAAATTACATGCTCCCTTTTTCTGCCAAAAAAAAAAAAAAGTTTTCCTTCTCTCTTTCTTTGATTGCCCAGTGTAATCATCCCACCCTCAAAGTGGTGATTTGTGGAATACTGACATTGCTGGTGATTCTTCTCACATTAAGCCTATTTTATGGTGGGAATCCAAGGGATTATGATGCTCCATCACTTACTTATCTCATCCAAACATATTTTTAAACCAGCTGCTCCACGAGCTGGCACAAGCAGTCAGCCCTGTGTTTCATAAGCACTGGGCTGGGCTGTGGTGCTGACCTGCCCTGGCCGGGTCATTTCTCCTCCTGACAGCAGAAACAGGAGCTGTTTGGGGCTGGGCTGTGATTGCTGCTGCCATCTGTGTGCACACTGGCAGAGAGAGGTCTGCACCACGGAATCCCCACAGTGACACTGCCCCCAGGTGCCCCCAGGGACGGGGACACAGGGGCTGAGCCACTTCCACCTGGCAGTGACATCCACTGTACCCGGAATTCCGGGCTCCTGGAACCTCTGAGGACCTTTCTCTTTTGAAACTGGCTGCTTGGCGCATTTGACAGCAGATTTCATTTGGACAGAATTGCTGGAATGGTATGGAATGTTCTACAGGACTTGTGGCTTTTTAACCTTCTTTTTAAACCCCATGGCTGTGGGAAACCAAAGAATTCTCTCTGGGTGGGTTCTGTGCTTTTTTCCTTCTGATTGAATTCAGCTGCTCTTTGGAGAGGATGAAAGCTTACAGTTACCTGCTGCTGTGATTTCTGTTTCTACCACCAAAACAAGCAGAAAAAAAGGCTGGAACACCTTCTAGAGGGAGAAAAAATCAGGGCTATTTTGTGTATTTTAAGCATCTTTTCTTTTAGGAAGAAGGTGGTGCAAAAGAAACATCAATGTATGTATAGTATGCTTTTAGTAAGTTATCAGGTGTTATCTAGGTGTATTTTCTCTCAAATTCTTTATAATTCATGCTTTGTAACTCAAAAATTTGTGTGTGGTTTTTAAGTTCTGTTATTAAGTATTTTTATTCTGAGCTCTTTGGCTGTGTTTTACTTGAACATGAAACTCTTAATCAATGCCCACAGTTCTTTCCCAGCATAAACTAAATCAGCACTTTGAACTTTTACACTGTTCCCTGATGCTATACATAAAATCCACTTGGAAAAAGAAAAAAAACCCAAACAAATGAAATGTAATCCTGTTTTATAACGTGTTTCTGCTGTCCTTATATGCTTTGTTCTGGTGTTCAGCTTAGAGCCAAGGAATAAGAGGTGGTTGGAGCTGCTCATCCTGGCTGATAAGGAGTTGGGGATGTCAGGTGTTGGGGATGAGAGTTGAAGGAGATTCAGGCTGGTTTCCTGACTCTGAAGTGTTGATGGCCCTTAAATTGGTGTCCTGGCTTGGCTTCTGAATAATGGCAGTCAGAGCAAGAGGAGAGCAGGTTTGTGAGAACAGGCAAAAGTATTTGAACGTGTGTAAATTTGCATTACAATGCTCCTCTGTAACTTTGGCTGTTTATTCTGAGATTTTTGGAAGCCTTTCTCTTGTGTTGGAGGCCTCAGAGGTGTGATTTCCCCTCTGGAAAGAGGCAGCTCAGAGGAAAGGTGGATAATGCCTGCTGCTGCTCTTGGGTTTGGTGTGCTTTGCACATCTGCTTCTCCCTCAGGGTTTTGAGAATATGTAAATTTTGTCAAAAAGCCTCAGTACTTGACTTTAGTGCTGTGGTAAACACTTCCCCCTGTAATTTATGGAGTGCTGCAGGTATAGTAGGTCAACAGTTAGCAAACCATGCAGTGAGACTTGCTAAAAACTCTTTCTCTTCTAGGCTTAAGTAGCCAAAGATGAGTCGTGGATTCTCAGAAAACAATAACTTCCCCTATGACAACAACCAAATGGTTTTGGATATGATCCTGTGTTCCCTAATTGGTGTTCCTCAGCCTATCAACTGGGACAGTGTGGCAAGGCTGGTTCCAGGATACACATCCAAAGAAGTGAGTTCACTAATAAAAGAATTTGTATGCTTTAAGTAATGCTTTATGGAGAAAAACCATTTCTTGGGCGAAGGGAGGGAAATTGATCTTAAGGGGTTTTTTTTCCTAAAGTAATTTGCACCTAATTGGAAATGTTAAATGAGCAGTAGATTGAAAAGAGGTGGGGGGTTTGGTTTTGTTTCTACAGAACCTGAGCATTGAAATTGAGAAATGCGTTCTGCAGTGTATTTCATTGGAACTTATAAAGAATAAAAATGAAAATTACCAGAAAGGAAAAATTAAAAAGTGGAATTAAAAAAAGGTAGCCATGCTATTGAATTCCAAAGTCCCTAGCTAAGACTTGGATGGAAGGGATGGCAGTACCACTAACCCCATGCAGGTTGCAGTGTCCTTACTAGGAAACCTAATAACTTTCTGTGTGTGTTGTTACAACTCTAAACAAGGAGGAGTTACAGATCTCTATTGGGTAAGGAGTGCAGCTGCTTCTTTTTTGATCCTACAAGGAGTGGATTTTTCTTTCTTTGGTTGGAGTAGAGTTGGAAGAACCTCTGTATACTTCTCTTTCTGGATTGCTGAATTTCCTGGTGAAATGCTCCTTTTTTAATAACAATTTTGACTTTTTCATTTCTGAGAGGGTGTAAGCTAAGAAAAGAAAATGTCTTTTGCCCTTGTGATTCAGCAAAGCTGAAAGAAAACAAGACAGTGGTCTTGACTTTCTTGCAAGCCTAATCAAGTGTGTCAGCTCCCATTTATAGCCCTGCTGTTGGGCGTTGCTGTAACCTTGTATTTTGAACATAAAAATGAAGGACTGGGTGTAGAGGCTTCTGTGGAATGTTGCTGCTTTTCAGGTTCTTGGCAGAGGCTCAGGGACGTCTCTATTGTTCACCTTTCAATGTGCAGACAGCACTGTGCACGTTAAATAAAATAATATCAGTGAGCCCTCTCCTCACATTAATTCATATGATTGATTAGTACATGTCTGATTGCTCTGTTTTTACAGGACTGAATGTCTCAGCTATGTTAAGGAGTCCCTGCTTGAGGCAGTTAGAGAAAAGCACAGATATCTCTTTATTTGTCTCTTCTATGTGACTGGCATCCCAAATTTGAGACACTGAATATCAGAAGGATGTCCCTGTGTGCCCCTGGCCCAAAGGGGCACTGGCATGGCATGTCTGTTAACTCAACCCTAAATAAATAAATACAACCAGCTGCTAATGGAGCCCCACACCTGTGCCACAGGAGGAGCACCTGCAGAATTAAGTAGATTTATTTGTATGTGCAAGTTACCTCTGTGTAGGACTTTTCTGAACCAAACCTGTAGTTTTGATTGTGTTGGTACAAATTTACAGAACAGAAAGACTTTCTAGTTCATCAAAAACAGGGGATGGGAAGTTTATAGAATTGCAGTGGAAAGCAGCAGTCCCTTTTGTCCAAATTGGAATGGAAGTCATAAGGTAAAAGAATAATAATTGTGAATCAATTTATATAGCCACTCTTTATAACATTTGATCATGTTTATGGTGAAAGAACTAGTTATGAGAATTCAAACTCTCCCCTTAATTTTAACTTTTGAAAACTGGGCTTAAAATCACAGGGTTTAAGGAAATTAAAGTTGAAACAGGTTGTATCTAATTTTTTCTCTTTCTACTAGAATCATTAATTATGGTAACTCATTTTACTGTGTTTATGTACTTTTTTGATACCACTAAGTAGGCAGCATTTATGGGTTTGATATCAGTGACTGCTCACATGCAAAAATGTGCAATACAGTCTCCATCTCAAGTCATAGTTATTAAAAATGTGCTGAAAGCTACTGCTTCATTGTCCTATCATTTAATCTTGTGACAGTGTGCAAAAAGGTTTGATGAGCTAAAAAGCAGTGGAAGTTCACCTGTTGACAACCAGTATAATCCCCTGATGGCTGCTGGTGGGAGTCCTGTGGAAACTTTAGCTACGTACATCAAATCCTCCTTGCTCGATTCACAGACAGAGTTTCAGGAGCCTGCTCTTGGGCAGGATTCCATTACTATAACTGGTATGTTTTTAGTCATTCTGACCTATATTGGCTTTGATAATCAGTGTGTGCATGCTTCTGTCCTGAGTGGTTAAGTCCACCCAGGAGTGACAGTCATTCATCTCTGGAGGGTTAAGTATGGATGTAATGCATACAACAAGGCACTTGCCATTAGTTTAGTTTAAGAATCAATGTTTGCTTGGGTGTTTTTGGTAACTTGTCTTCCAAGAGGCATAAATATTTCTGCTGAATTCTGTTTAGGATTTTTGGTGGTGTGCTGTTAACCCTACAGCCATTTGAAGTCACATTTAGCAGCATTATTAAAATAACTGGAGGGTATAATATCTAGAGAGAAGCTGCAGGAAGCTGAGGAGGTGATCCCTTGAGGGCAAACCCTTTCTGCTGAATTCTGTTTAGGACTTTTGGTGGTGTGCTGTTAACCATTTGAAGTCAACTTTAGCAGCATTATTAAAATAACTGGAGAGTATAATATCTAGAGAGAAGCTGCAGGAAGCTGAGGAGGTGATCCCTTGAGGGCAAACCTTCCTCTCCCAGCTACAAGCCCTGTGTTTGCCATGGATAGGTAGAGAGGAGTTGAAGCAAAATGTAGCTAATTTTTGCTTCAGGACAATCTTGAGATGACATAAAATGTGTCTTGCTCAATTATGTGTCCCAGCAATTTTTGAGCAGAAGAGGACCAAACCAAATATTTGTAAATTCAATCATAGCACAATTAAATATTGTTAACAATTCCTTTCATACTACTTCTGTCAGAAGTTGTAATTAAATGTGTGTGTTATTCTCTGATTTTCAGTACAGAGATGTTCCAGTGACTTTAGAACTTGGTAAATGTATTTGCACGAGAAATTTGCTTCAGTATTGAATAAATAATTTCTGTGTTAAAAATTAAGACGACAGTGAAGCATTTAAATGTGTTCTCTGTTAAAATGTCCTTCCCTGCAGCTTTCACTCTTTGCAGCAGAAAAACAGCTGTTTGACCTTTGTTCAAAGTGTTCTAATAGCTCTGATCAAGGGCTGACACTGGAAAACTGTATCTGGAGTGTCAAGACTGGAAGTGCTTCCCACCAGCTTTCCATTGTGTGTTCCATGCCTGATGTGGGATGGATGTTGCTGGCACCCACAGGTCCCTGTTCACAGGATTAGCAGCTCCCCAGGAGGCAGTTAACTTGAGCTAACTCTGCTTCTGGAACTCCTGAGACAATTAGTGCATGTTTTCTTTCTAACAATGTCATACATGTAATGAGTATTGATGCACTCAAGTCCACTAATGTAATGTTTCCTTTGACAAGATCCTAGCCTGACATTATTCTGTTTTCTTTGTGCCTTTGGATAAATTATTTGCCCTGTTGAGTGTAATTTGTTGATATGAAATTAGGGTAATTAATCTTTTTTTCTCACAGGCTTGGGTGAACTCACCTTCTTAGTATTTGTGAGGCACTTCTGCATTTCAGAATTGGGATTTGAGACAATCCTATTTGTAAATGTTTTTTTTTTTTGGTTTAATTAATTGCTTCCTAGTGGATTTATTCACGTTAGATTATTGTTAGGATCAAGAATTTTGGGCCTGTTTGCATTTTTTTTTTGTAGTCATGAGTAACAGAAAGAAAAAGCAAATCAGGCCATACTCATTCTGAGCTGGATTCTGGTTTTGGCTAAGTTATAAACGCTCATTTAATACTTGCTAATTACAAGGCAAACTGCTGGTAAGTCTCTCTGATTACATGTCATGACAGTAAACAAAGACAAAAGATAGCCTTTTACCTAAAGAATTTGTTACAAGGTTTCAAAAGTTAAGCAATCTGTAAGCTTTGGAGAGGAGGGAAAAAAAGATATGAAGCAATGTGTGGTGAAGTTCAGATGTCCCCATTCATTTGGCTGTGTTGCATATTCTTGTCAGCATTATTGCCTTCAATAAATCACTGTGCTCACAATGGACTTGTTAATATATTTGCAGGCAGAACTCTTTCATACCATGTATTTCCACAGTCCCTTCTTGTAAAACTCCCACCTTTGATTGCAGCCAGGGCGCAGCCAGGGCCTGCAGTGAGGATGGCTGCCTGGGAGCTGTGGCTGGAGCAGCCCTTCCCAAGGTTTTACTGGGACTCAATCTGTTGAGTGAATCTTCCCTTCTGCTAACTGTGCTCCCTCCATTAAGGCCTTACTAAGACCTAACTGTGCAAAGCCTTTGGCTGCACCTTTGGAGAAAGTTTAGTTTAGTTTCTTCTGCCTCTGGTGCAGTAATTTTGCTTTCCTGAAGGGCAAAGCTGTTATGTTCTGAACCGTATAATTTTTGCTGTCAGTCTGCTGTAGTTGTTCAGCCATTAGATGAAGAGGTCTGTCTTAATCTTCTTCAGCCTCTTACATTACTCAAGAGGGAGATTGTTTCTGGAGCTCCCAGAAATCTGAGAGAATGGCATAACCATGGAAAATCACCACCTTAGGGTTTCAGTGGAAGACAGATGTGTGCCCTTCCATTGTTTAGAAAATAATGATCTTTCTGACTTCTAAGCAGGATTATTGAAGTTTCACATTGCAGTAATCCATTCCCAGCTGCAATGACAGTCATTGCTTTAACCCTTGGTCCAGAACTCAGTGGATTTGGTGGCTGCACTCCTGAACCTCACTAGGTTGTTGTGTGCACCTTCCACTGCTTGTAGTACCTTTGTGAAGATGAACTATTTGAAGTGCATCCTTTATTCCTGGAACAACCTTAGTGATGTGGCTCTAGGACCAGACAAATTTCCTGGTCTGTTTTCTTTGAACAATGTTTGATGTGAGCAGCTGGTTTAAGCCACATGTGTGAGAAATTTGGCAAAAACAAACACATCCTAAGAGTCTTCTGTGCTTCTCTTTGGAAGCTGCTTATTTCCAAAGCTGGCACATGATGGGTGAGGAGTGGCATTGAGGTCTGTCCTGGCAGGATCTTAGGAGCCACTTCCCACAAAGCAGACCAGGAGAGCTAAAGGAATGGGTCACATTCCCAGAAGGAAGTGCCACAGGCTGTGAGTCTCATGCCTTTAAACACATTAAAATCACAGAGCCAGAAGTGAGCTGGGTTTGTAGCCAAGTGTCTGGGCAGCCCAGCAGTGGTGCTGCTGTGAGTTCCCATGGGTGGCACTCAGAGCAGCAATCTGGATTGTTTAGTAGCCCTTAGGGAAGCAGATTTGCTGCTGGCTGTGCCATTGCTCCACCATGACAGCCATACTTCAGCTGCATTTCCAAGATGCTGAAGAGCAAAAGATCAGGAGTGTTTGTTCTAATGCAGCCTTTTTTCCTTACATTGAAGGAAGGCCCAGTGCAGCCTCCTCAAGGAGTTGTTCTTCAGAATCTGAGAAAGGTCCTGTACATAACACTGGAGAAAGCACTGATGAAACACAGGGGTAAGAAGAGCTTTGTGTGTTTGTTATCTAGGGGATTGTAGAATTGACAGAAAGATGAGCAAATTACTAAAATTTATCTGCTACCAGAAAGAAAACAGTTGGAAACAGCCTAATAAATGCTGCAAGAAATTTGGAAACCTTCTATTGCTGCAGAAATTCAAGGAGTTGGTTTGAGAATGTCTTGTGTGCAATAAGATAATTATGAATCTGTGCATACTGTTCCTCTGAGTGATTGATCACTGCTGTGGCAGGAATGAGAAACATACCTGGTTTTATAAAGGAATGAAACAAGACTGTTGCTCAATTGCACTTTAAAAAATACTTCTGAACATAGATTTGTCCTATGTAAAAGCAGGAAAAGAGCTGTAAATGAAAAATTTTCCCATGAATTCCAGTAGCCATCCAGGTTACTTTTATTCCATCACATATCCCTGTTTTCCACACTATATATTTACACATAGAATAATGTTTGTTTGCCTCTTTGTAGAGGCAGCATTTACTGATTCTAGCTTTGAGCATTTCTTAAGAAATAGAGATTTTTAATGTGCAATAAACCAAATCTTAATTTCCACTGATGAAAATTGCTGTTACTGTCCTTGGTACCTCAGTGATTTAGGCATCTATATCTGGTTATTATTTGAAGAATATTAAGAAGGGAGAACAAACAAGTTCTCCATAAAATTTGAGTAGTATCCTATTAACAAACAGGTGACAAAATTGGAGAATGGAGCTAGAAATGTTCTATTTCTTTTCCCTTAATTAAATCACTCTGATTATCTGTAGATGATATGCCTCTGTCTTCTATCCAACAATAATTTCTATTAATAGTTAATAACTGCAGTTTGTTTTCCCTCTATTAATGACATCAGTGTTGCAATGCATGACCCAGAGTTGGAGATGAGGTTGTTGGGATTTGGTGCCCTGATTGGCTTAGGCTCCTAATTTGCTTTGTGCCTTTTTTCCTTTGGAGGCCGAATATGGTGATCCATGTGTGTGACGAAGCCAAAAACCTCAAAGAAGACTTTGTGTGTCCTCGAGACCTTTTGATTTCAGAGATGAAATACTTTGCTGAGTACCTGTCAGTGGATGCCCAGCGCTGGGAGGAGGTGGACATCTCTGTGCACTGTGACGTTCACATCTTTGACTGGCTGATAAGATATGTCAAAAGGAACTCCAAGGAGTCTGAGGCTAATGAAATGCCCACTTTAGGTAAAAGCAGATCATTTCTTGTAGGTTCATTATGTTCTGCACTAATAGAAGATGAATGGTTTTGATGCAGTTCATCCCCAGTTTTGATGCAGTTCATCATCTGTTTCTGGCTGCTGTCAGTGATGCCTCATGTTTAGCTTTTATATTTTCAGATTCTGTGCTGCTTTAGTGTGTGGGTCTGGGCTTCATATTAAGGGTTGGTGAGCTCTCTGCACAGAGCAGGGAGGCAAAACAATTCCTGCTCCAGCTGGGCACCAAGGACAAATGATCCCAATCTCAGCCCAGGAGCACAAACCCCGTGGGCTGCAGAGAGAAAAACAAGCAGGATGGGACTGCAGGGGCTGCAGCTGGAACTGGACACTGAACTGCAATGTGCACATGGAGCAGAGCTGAGCCCAGGGAGAGACCCCGGCAGCGCTCGTGCATTTTGGGGCCATTTGGGTTCATCCTGGGTGCAGCCCTGGCTGGGCTCTGGTGCTGCCCAAGGTGGATCCACTGAGGAGATCCTTTTAATTAATCCCTACTTTGTTCTTTAGCTCTAGCCTCTCTTCTAGAGCAGCCTGCACAAGGCATCATCAGTTGTTAGCAGAGTGTTGCAACAGAGATCCTCTGGTCATTTCAGAAGATGGCTCTGCTTTGCCAGCACTGACAGCTTTGAGGAAACATGCTGAAAGTTGAAGCAATAAAAAAGCCCTAATATATTTTGGGATGTGATGTTTTTAATTAAGGCTCTTCAGACCTCTTCTGACCAAGGACAGAGTGGTAGATTTTAAATGCTGATGATTGGTTTGCTTGTTTCTCCTCTGCTCCCTGTTGGTACAATTGCAATGTTTTCTACAATTTCAATGCAATCCAATACAATGGTAGAAGAGCCTTTGTGGATTTTGAGGCAAGTTTTAAATTTTTAGTGAGCTTTTGCTACCACTTTTTAAAATGTAACTTTCTTCTCTTGGTTTGTTTATAACTTGCAATGTGAAGGTTGTGTTGAAAAAATCTCAGCTGGGTGTGATGGCTACAGATGGAAGTTAATCTTGTGTAATTGTTTAGTCATTGTATCCCTGTGAAGCCTCCTTTTCCAATTTTAATAAGGTTTCCAATTTTAATAATTTTTCCAGGTCAGTTCTACTCTGGCCACTGAAATGGTAAACCAAAAGTTTATTTCTTAAGATGGTGAAAAGGTTCTGTATACTAGAAGATGGAATGACAAGTTGATTGCTAAAATAATAGCTAACACAGATGCTGAATATGAAGAGAGGGATGCGATATAAAATATATTAAAAAAAATCCATGTAAAAAACCCCACCTTTGTTCTGTTGCCTTCTAGAACCATCAAATGTCATCTCAATCCTTATTTCTTCTGAGTTTTTGAAGATGGATTCATTAGTAAGTATTAAGAAAGATAGATTGATTTTCTGGCATTAGGGCACAGTTAATTACTGGGTGTCTTAGCAGCTTGTTTGTTGTGCTTTGGCTGTTACATAAACAGGTGCTGCAATGAGAACATTTTGAGATTTTTGACACTTCTATTCAGTGCAGTAATCCAATATTTGTAGGATCTGAATGCAATAAAGCTTAGGGTATGTTATTTCTAAATGTGACAGTGTGATCTAGAGTGCTTGTTTTATATTCTTTTCTACATGAATGATATGTCTGCAATTTAGGATCTGATTTTCCAGCTCTATAAGGAATAGCTGTTGACTTTGTTAAAATGTTTGTCAAAAGTTCTGTCATTGAGGTGGCCCACAGCAAAGCACAGCTGTTGAAGTTGAGATCCGTGTGTTTTGTGGTTCTATTTTAACAAGCAACTGGAAAGTTACTGAAATTTTTGGATAAACGAAGTCAGGTTATTCAGGATCAACTTCAGGCAAATTTGAGGCTTGTTTTGTATTTTGAAGTCAAACTGAAACAGTTTTCCAAAACACCACAATTAAAAGTTTTGAAGCAAGTCGTATGGGGGGGCTTTTTATCCAGAATTCCTTAACAGTCATATTTCTCTTTTTCCTAGGTAGAGAAATGTATTCATTATTGTCACCAAAATATGAATGCTATTGTAGCCACGCCATGTAACATGAACTGTATCAACGCTAATCTTGTTACACACATTGCTGATCTCTTCAGGCACAATGAGGTGGAAGAGCTGAAGGACAAAAGAGACAAATTTAAGAGGTGACTTTTTTGCCTTAATGCACTTCTGAAGTGCTGTTGAGCTTTAGGATCATATTTCATAACAGCTAAGACTGTGCAGTTTGAAATTATAGATTATATATTCTCATGGAATGTATTTTTAATGCAGAATATCATGGTGTGACTTCAGAACTTTATATTAAAATTATGAGCAAAGGAAAGAACTTTTATAGGAAATGAGCAAAACGAGAGGCCACACTAGGAGCATGGTATGGGAGAATTATTAATGAATTCTCACATGGGAGCAAGGATTAGGGGGAGAAACCTTTTATGGGATGACATGCTCCTAATTGATAGAGAATGGTTTGGCTTCAGCATCCTGTGAACTTGGATGTTTGGACTTGGAATTCAGGATTGCTGGGAGGCTGAATAGTGGTGCTGGAATGTTCTTTCATCCATCAGGATCCCAGCTTGATCAGTATCAAGAGAAGGGCCAGTGACTGGAGGGCAGACTGACAGACAAGCAAGGTGAAAGCAAGGGAGGATTTTAGTCTGTAGGGATGAAGGCTTAATCTTAGAATGAAGTGCAGTTTCACAGCAATATTCACTAATTAAAGGTCTTCTAGTCACGATAGAAGCTGGCAGTTAATATTGGCAAGCATTTTAATAAAGAAAAAATAAAAATATCACTTTTGTCACACTTGTGTAAAAATGAGATGGACAGGATAATTTAAAGGAAAATTATATTAAAAGCTAGATTCTGTGAGAGACTGTGATTGTTAATCTCACTATACATAAAGCAATTTTCAGGGTTTTTTCTAATGGATGAGCTAATGAGCTATGTCATTAATAGTAAACTTTTCTGCAAGAAGATTGAGAGACTGTTTGATCCGGAGTATGTAAATCCAGATTCTAGAGGAAATGCAGCAACTTTATACAGGTATGGCATTTTTATATGGCTGCTTCAATAGCAAGGACAGCTCCTGTGTTTAGAAGCTCTGCTCTTACTCCAGTGCTTTCTTTCCTTCTTTTTCTTTTTTTTTTTTTAATCTAGGTGCTGTTTATGTAAAAAGTTGCTAACCAAAGAAACTGAAAGGAGAATTCCTTGTGTACCAGGAAAAATCAACATAGACCAACATGGGAATATTGTCTATGTTCATATAAGGTAATGAATTTGTACATACATAAAATGTTTCTTCAACTCTGATTTTGGGTGATTTTAGAGGTACTACATACTCAGATGTATTACAAAATTAAGTCACAGATATGTGAAGAGTATATGAAGCACCTCAACTTCTTGTGTCACCTAGCAAAAAATAAAACAAGGGATGTGATTATGATGATGTGCTTCTAAAATTCATTCAGCAGTGCTGCTTCTGAATGAAAATGGGAAAACTGCAGCCATGATTACTGGAAGGGCTGTTTTTGGGTTGCACTGCTTTAAATAGAAAATACTCAGCTAATTCTTTCATCAGTTGGTTTTTAAATGTGTGCAGTTGATGACTGAATTAAATGCTGCATTTCTGCAAGGTTTTTTAGTGAAGGATAGGCCCCACTATGCCAGCAAAGAAAAGCTAAGGAGTATTTTCTAATCTGACTTTAGACTGTCAAATCAAATGCTCAACCTGCTTAAAGGCTGCTATGAATAAACTTTGCCAGTTGTTTTTCTGTTCCTGCAGTATTTGTCAGAGGAGCTTGCAGAGCCTCTTCTGTATGCAAGCCTGATTCATTTGGCATAAATGCTTAATTGAATTCTGTCTGTCTGATCCGTGGCTGTGAACAGCTGGATTCTCCTGTTAATGAAGATCAGTCCATGATCAGCTGCAGTTCCCTTCCTCCCCACATGCCCATTTTAAGGGGGATGGTGGGAGATTAATGGCAGCAGACCTTTTTCATCAGATCCATTGTGTTCAGAACAACCCAAACAGTTCCATGTAGCTTCCATCAGTTATTCCAAGGTGTGGAGTTAAGTTCTGCCCAGCATCTACATAGAACCAAATCTTGTGCCTCTGTCTTGACCTATTTAAGATCATTGGTGATTAGTCACATAAAATTCATTAACTGTATTACTTCACTTAAGCTGAGTGTATGTGGCTGCTCTGCAATTCCCAGCAGATAAATTACTCAGAGAATTATATAGATTCTAATTATTTGCCTTGTGCTACTTGTGATGCTTTGCTACACAGAATATGTTTACTGAGAAGTGATGCCTGAATTCATGCTCAGGAGCTAATACAGTTCTATCTTTAATGATTTAAAAATAGGTTTCTATTTATTGGTCCTCTAGTGGTGCCTAGGACTGACTTCCAACTGGATGTGCTGCTTGCTTAGTCTAGGCTAGGCACACATTTAACAAAAATGGTTCAGGCCAGGGCTTAACAGTGGGAGGAAATTTTATCTGCTCTTTCTGAAGATAACAAGCCCCACTGCAACTTGCACATCTCTTTTGAATTCTGAAGAGATGTGTCTCATTTGATCACAAGGAAGTAACAAAGTCCTGCATTTTTAATACTAGAACTGCCAGGTATGTACCTTCATCAAAAGGGAATGAGCTTGTGTTTTCAAACGGTATTTCTTAGCTGTTGCTGTGTTGCAGATGAATAGAAGATGTTCATCTTAGCTTGTAAATTTGCAGTATATGGATCTTGAGATAAATCAAGCTGTAGCTCTTTGCTATGAGTGAGTTTAGGATGTTCTGGAAGAATAAAGTCTCCTCTGTCATGCTCTGAATTTAGTAATTATTGTCTGACATTGTATCCCTCCTGTTGTAACTACTGGAGGCTTTTCACCAGTGTGTTTTCTGCTGTTTTTCCACCTTGTGATCCTGGTGGCAGGATCAAAACAGAGTGAATACTCTGATGTTTTGCTTTTTCAGAGACAAAACCTGGGAAGTGCACGAGTATTTAATTGGCCTTCACGAGGAGCTGAAGTCCTGGCGGGATGTTTACTGGCGTCTTTGGGGGACTGTCAACTGGCTGACCTGCTCAAGGTGTAACCAGGTTAGGTAATTCACTTTGGCTTGTGGGGGGTGAAGCAGGGATTAAACAGCTTGGATAATATTTGGTAATAAAGGTAGGCAGACATTCTTTACAGTGCACTTCCATAGGTTGTCTCACCTCTCCCTCTCTCTCTTTGCTGCTGTAGTCTTTCCTGTGCACTGAGTTCTCCCACTGCCAGTACCATTCGCAGCCAGTTCTTTATCCAGGTGTAGCAAGTGCTCTGGGCTCCACTGGCACAGGAGTGTATCCCTGTTGTAACCAAAAAGTTCTTCGGTTTGACCCTACAACCCTCCCAAAGGTACTTCAGCTCTCCTTTAAAGAGCAAAGCACGTGGTGGGGGTGGGCAAAATTATGTTAGGAAAACGGATCTTTTCCCAAAATTAGGATTGTAATTCAGAAATTGAACTTTTGTTATTATATTGGCTGGAATCAGTTCTTCCCATTAACTCCAATATTTGATCTTCTGCCTCTGTGTATTGCAGGGCTGCAAAGTGAGGGATCATGTGGTGGAGTTACCTCCAGAAAGCAAAGATGGGGATGCTTTGCCATCTCAGAGTGAAGAGGGGAATGCTTTGCCATCTCAGAGTGAAGAGGGGGATGCTCTGCCATCTCAGACTGCTCAGATCTTGAATGATCTGCTGCATCACAGAGATATTATAGTTGTTCCTTTCACTAAGGACGAGAATAGGTGAGAACATTGTATTGTGTTACTGAAATAACTTAGCCCTCAGCAGTGAACACGTGTGCTTGTTATATTGGAGTTCAAAATGAGTCATAGGTCTTTCTAAGGGTAACTTATTTTTGATTGTTTACTTGGAAATTGGAAGTGAAGAACAAGTACTTTCTCCTTTCACTTTTCAAGCAGGCTTTTAGTCACTCAACCTCTGTAAGCATTCACTGCTATCTTTATATTTTAATGTATTGCTGTCAAGATGTTATGTGTCTGACTCAGAGGTTTGCCTGCTCTCTTGATACATGTATAGTCAATGGAGACTGATTCTGAAGCAGTAGAATAGAATTATTTATTTTTGGTTTCTGTATTTCTCCTGAAGTGACTCTGGTATTGGGCTGGGTGATGACAAAGGCCTTGAATGTGATATGCTTGTAGAGCCAAATACACCGTGGGGCCCCAAAACTGGAGAGATCAATGCTGTGAGTGCTGATGCTTTTCCTTTTCTTCTAGTAATGAGGATTCTTTGAAGAAGTTCTTGAACAATTTTTAATAAAAATAAACCCCATACATTGTTGGAGTAAGACATAGATACAAAATACATGGTTGGTGAAAAGGCAAAACTTATCCCATCTGCTAAATATTAGCTGGAAATATTTCAGTACATCCCTGATTTTTGATCAAAAAGTCAGCTGTAAATATTTTTAATGCGTCTGCTGGAAATATTTCAGTACATAACTTCCCTGATTTTTGATCAAAAAGTCAGCTGTAAATATTTTTAATGCTAAGTTTACTTTCACTAAAACATGAATTCACTGTATTTAATTGGTCAGTGGTTTTTAAGCTACTTGGGTTTGATCATTCCACCAAAATTTGGGGTTCAAGATGGGAGGAGGCCTGGGAGTTACCAGTGTAGAGTGCTGTACTGTAACATACCACTCCTATTTTTAGAATTTCTCTCACTTTTTTATTGGAATTATTATTATTTCCTTAACTTATATGCCCTTTTTTCTCTTTATGGCAACAGTTTTTGTCTCTGAAGAACTGGACTTTGCAGCTGGTTAGTAAAATATTTTACTATTTTTAAATATGGAGTCTTCTGTACTAGCAAAGAACTAGCTTTGATTTTTGTCTTACTTTCTAATAAATGAGACAAAAATATATTTTTTTGCTTTAATTTGGAGGTTGCAGTATGCAAGAAAGTATGGTAAGTGTGAAGTAATACTTTGGCATTATTGGAAATGAGAAATCCCTTTGAATGTTTTTATAAATGGCAGCAAGCCACACTAACACTGCATGCATCAGTTATTAATAGTTTTTAGGCTGGCAGAAAAATAAACCAAAATGCAAGGATTTGAGTATCTGTCTCTTGGCTGGTCTGAGGTGCTTCACGTCTTCATTGTTAAACTTCATAATTTCTCATTACTAGGCACTCATTATCACTTAATTAGGTAAAAGTGTAATATTTAGATAAATATTCCAACAATGTAAACATCACATTACTGAACATTTCCATAATTCTGTGCCTGTCTCTTAGGAATTACTCACTCTTTGGTCACTCAGGGAACTATGCTGGATGTCAGCACCTGCAAGACAGATTTAATATACCATTTAATAGAAACCCAGGCTCATTTTTATTCTCTGGCTTCTCCTGGTGTTGGTTAGAAGCAGCAGTCGCTGTTGTCTGAAGAGGAGGAGTACACCACGGGCTCAGAGGTCACTGAGGATGAAGTGGGGGATGAAGAAGAAGTGTGCAAGAAACCAGGTACATCAAGTCCTTACAGTCCTCCTCTCTGGAGTTGTCAGATAGGGATTTGAGGCAGCAGAAGTCCTCTGTAAGCAGATTTTGAGTATTAGGCGTTTCAAAAATAAGACCCAAAGTTACTTGAATTTTATCCCTAGTTTTCCTGTGGTTAGATACAAATTACCCCACTGCTCGGTGCCATCAAAAATCACTGGCAAACAAGAAAAGCTGCAGCTATTCATGTCTGAGAAGTCCCTGGAATTATCAAGCACTTATTTTGCAGGAAACTCTCAAATTAATGAGCTTTCATGTAATAAATGTTGGAAGAAAAGGCAGCAATTACATCACTGCTTTTACATGCAAAAAAAAATTTGCAGATTTATCTTTTGATTACATAGAGGAATGACTGGTTAATGTAGCTAAAATTGTGTCTGCATTGAAGCTAAGCTTTAGATGATCTAAAAAGACTTTTATTCATTTTTTTAATGTGCTAATGGGTTTAGGAACATGGAAAGCCAAAAAGCAACTTCTCCTTTTCACCCTACTAATGATTCATCGAAAGAGAGGCTTCCAATGATTTCTTTGTTCTTTTTGTCATTACTCAAAGGGCAATTGGAATTGTACCAGTAAAAAAATATATATATACATTTTGAAATAAAATGTTTGTAATTTAAATTTAAACTTGTTTGATCTGATATTGCTCAGAATTTAGTCATTGGATTAATATGGTCACAAATGTAGCTTGTATGTGCATTATTTTTTAAAGGGAAAAAATATTTGCTGTTATGTGCAATTACTCTGCATTTCAAATGCATACTTGAGTTTCTGTATATTTTTCATAGAAAAGCATTTGAGTATGTTGAGTGTGTTAGCATGCCTGCAACACTAATAAAAGAAAAATAGCCTATTGATTTACACTATTTGTAAAGAAATAGAGGGGGAAAAATACTTTAGTAGCTCTGTAATTGAGAAATTCCAACTATCTGAGGGTATGAATAGACATTTCTTCCATTAGCAGGGAGAAAGGAGAAATTAAAGAAATCCTACAGGCACCCAAAGAAAGCAGTTTCTTCACCTAGTGTTCAGAAAAGGGAGAAGCCATCTGATAAGGTAAAATCACAGCTGTGAATCCAGGCTCCCTAGCTGGCTTAAATTAAAGAGGAATTTGCTCTTAGTTTTGGACTTGACCTTAGAAAACCACATTAAATCTGTTTTTTTTTCTTCAACAGTCAAGTTCCCGAGATGCTTCTCCATTTGTGTAAGTCATTTTCAAAGCCCTTGAGAACACGTTTTAGTATCTCCCTCTTTTAAGGTGTTCTTTCTAACAGGGTGTGTGCACCTCTCTTGCAGTGTGAGCATGCAGCAGAACAAGTGGGATGCCTCCAGGTCCCTGAGATACAACCAAGATGCTCAAAGAGAAGATGGTCTGTTCCTGCATGAGTTTAGCTTTCATGAAGTTAACATTATGCAAAGGAAAAGATCCAGCTAATTTTCCTAAAATTCAGTTAGTTACATCCCTGTAGGGTGAATTTAATCTCCTACAGCAGTGGGATTTGGGGTGTTAGTGTGATTTATGTGCTTTAGGTTCTGTGCTGACATTCCAAATACAGAGATTATAGTTTGTCATCTCATGATTATAAAAATATGCAGATATATTTTCCTGCATCCCTGTGACATTTGTTGTCTGTGCAGATAAACAGAGAAACATCCACTTCCATCTCTTTCCCAGTCTCTGTGACTAAAAATATTCAGAATTGGATTAATTTGTTCTGCCTTTTTTAATCTCTCCTGAAACTCTTGTGCAATTTTGCTGTTTTAAAAACTTCTGCCTCAAAACCATTTCCTGAGGTTTTGATCTCAATGTGAGTGCCTCAGGCTGATTCTGGTACCTGCCAAGGCTGCTGAGGCTGCATCAGGGTTTAGGAGTTTGGCTGTTCAAGATCTTTATATGAACTAAAAGAAATTACAAATCCAGTATCTCTAAAGTCTGTGTCTAGTCCTCCTTGTGTTCTGTAGCAATGAATACCTCTGTTCTAAATATCTTCTCTTCTGACAGATCAGAGAAGAATGTCTGAGATCACAGGGCACTTAATAAAAATGAGACTGGGAGACCTCGATAGAGTCAAGTCCAAAGACAGCAAAGAAGTAAGATTTGTCCTGGTAAAATGTAGTGTTTGCAGAGTTGAAGTGAGCCTTGGTTAACAAAAATATTAAACACAAATAAATATAACATATATTCAACACTTTAGCTAAATAATTAATTTTATCAATCTTCATTTTGTTCCATGCGTGATTTTTTGAAGATTGGAGTTTAAAATAATATTTAAAGTTCACTCGTTTTAAAAACTGCTCATGGAAAGTAGAATGGGTATAAAAAAACCAGTACTGGGTTGTGATAATGGACAAAAGTATGACAGAGATTGTGCTGAACATTAGTGATATTTTTATGGAAAGTCACTGATTACATTGAAATCATGTCAAAACTTGATTATTTTTTTCTGGGTTCCAGTATGCAGGAGGCATTTATTCTAGACTTGAAGCTCAGATTAAAGCCTCAGCACAGGTCAGTGCACGACAAAGCAATGCTGAGAAGAATCCCAGGTAAGATTTTAAAATAAAATAAATAAAATGGATTTTGGGAGTGCGGGGTGGAGGGTTTTGAAGAAACATTTTAAAGAAAAACATGCTTCATTTCACACACTTATGGGTCAGCTTCCACCAGGTTAAGCATGTGAGGTGCAAAAGCTTCCCTTGGTCTCCCAGGAGAGCTGGGATAATGAAACTCTTGGAGCTGTGCTGGGGGGAGGTTCACTGCAGCTCCAACATCATTTTCTTTTTGGGAAATTACGGAAAACCAGAAAAGTGTTAACCAAGACTTTTAGCCTGTTCTTTGTCCACCTTGTAGAACAAAACCAAAAAAACCCACACACATCAAAAACATGCATTAATAATATAAAGAACCTTGTATTTATAATGTAAATATGTTTGTCATGTGTTTTTAACCCAGGTCAAAAACCCGTTTTGGTCAAGGCCGTCCAACATAAGGAGTCGTGGACACACTTTAGCCAGAACTCATTACTGCTTCCAAACTCCACTGCACTCTGACATATGGACAATGCACATCTCTGAAAGCTTTCCAGTGACTTATTTATTACTTTAAGCCTTGTAAATTATTTTGTGCTATAAATGAATGCAAACCCAATAAGGTCTGTACTTATTTTAATTGTAAATATCCTATTTGTTAAAGTTAAATTTAATTGCTTTTTTTAGGCTACTGTGTTAAGTTGCATAGAAAATATTTTATAAATCTACAAAATTAAATTATCAGACTAACTTTATTTATGGGGGAAGATACAAATATGCCTTTTGGTATGCTAGAAATACTGAAAAAGCAAGACTACTGAATTTTGAATGCAGTCAGCAGCATTAACCCAAGTCTCCTTGTATATTTATATTGTGTTGTATTTGATGGTACATTTTAGGTCAGTCTTCTGGGGATTTGCATTTCAAGTCCATGACAATATCTGTGACTTAGATTAGTTTAAGAAAACTTTTCATGCAGTTCTGAGGCTTCCTTGTGTACATCACACAACTCCCACTCCTCTGAAGGTGGGTGGCAGGTAGGGACTAGACTTCCAAAGATGCTCTCAGTGCTGTGATGGTGCAGCATTGCATCCTGCATGTGAGCCACTTGCTTTTCTTGTATATGAAATCTGTACCCATCCCCATTCCTGACCCCCCTGCACAGGACAGTGCTTTGTTCCCTTCTAAAACCCAAACCTTGTGATGCAAAGCAGTTCTCTCTCTAACTGATGCTATGCCACTAAATTTCTGAGCAGATCTGTTATTAATTCTGCATTTTTTAACAGAGATGCATCATTACAAAGCCTTGTGCATGTAGATCTTTTGGGTTTAGTTACTCCCTGAAACCTGCCTGATTAACACTGTTTAGAAGTCAGATGCACTTTCAAGTTCTGTATTTGCAGCAATAGAACACAAATCCAGGGCTACCAAAATTAAATAACTTGCTTAGAAAATATGTTGCATATTAGCAGAGAAAATGGCAATAATAATAATAATAATGATGATGATGATGGCTGAATTCAAGGAAACACGTTCTGACTTTTTGAAACAGGTAGAAAGAGAGCTCAGGGAAAGCTTATTCCAGCTCCTGGCTGTATAATAAATTGTGAGTTTGGAATTAAGTCAGCAAGTTCCTGGGTGGGAGGGTGGGGTGGGGTAAGGAGAGGGGAATTTTTTTAAAATGCTCTTCTCTCCATTTGGGCTTTTTTTGTTTGTCTTGTTTCTTGATGATTTTCGGTAGGTGTTAGAGGACTAGGATAGCAATACTTGAAAATACTGCTGTCAAGGTGGAAGATTTTTATTGAAACAATTAAAATCAGTGTTACTTGTGTGCTTTGTCCAATGCTGTAGCAAAATTGGAGCCCAGTGAAACCAACAAGCAAAACTGGATTTCAGTGGGTTTGATTTCGGGCAGGAGCTGTAACTTTACAGGAGTGCTTTAATCTGTTACCCAATAAATAAGGTTTTGTGAAGGCCTCAGGCCTGTTTGCAAGTACTAATGCAGTTTGAAGCACTTGTAGTCAATGCTGGAAAACTGATTGTTGTTTGTTGAAAGTATTATAAAACCCATCAGGTATGAAAAATGCAGTAGATAAAGTGCTTTGCTATGATTTTGTGACTTCTGATAGGGGATTGTTCCAAATTCCCTTGGTAAACCTGGGGTGAAAGTTGCAGGCTGCATGTGTGTGTGTTTAGTTTTCATAGAACTACTGACTAGAAGAGAAAGGAGGAAAATTCTGCTGGTTTTGTTCTGTGGGGAAGTGCCAGTTCTACATGCCAGTATTGTTTCACTCAAAAATATTTTTGAGCCTATACAAATAATTTACATGATGTGCAGTGTTATCTTTTTTCCCCATGCCAACCACCTTGAGTTTTTTTCTTGTATTAATTTTGAACATTTGTCTTGGTTTAATGGAAATAAACATTATTCATTTGAGAAGTGTGTGAGTTTTTTATAGATGCTTTTAAGAGCTAAGTATGTGCATAGATATTGTTTGATGGTCTCAATCATGCATGTATATTTGTGATTAAATTGCAGCATCCTCATACAGGCTTTTTATCTGTCAAGAACAGGATATCATTAAATGCAGAGTTACTCCAAATCTACAAGAACTTCAAAGAATTTTTATCTGCATCAAGTTTCGAAGCTGGATTAAAAATTCCTCAGTGAGCTGTACTACAACTGACCCAAGTATGCAAAATGTCAGACTAAGCTATGTTTAAAAAACATATAATTTTGCTTTGCACTGTGCAGATTGTTTAAAGGGTGCAATCTGTTAAATCTGTGAATACAATTAGTTTCCATGATTCTGTTTCTAGGAATTGCTGTGTGGATGTCTTGGATGTCCTGTATTTGTGCAGTTGGGCTGTTGGGCAGGCTGCAGTGTACCTCCTGCTGTCACACGTGGGTAAAAATGAACTTCCTGCACTCTGGAGCTGTGCCTGTGTCCTGGATGCTCCTGTCTCTTGGAGAAAAGGACAGAATCTTAAATTCAGTGTTGGCTCCAAGGGAAAAAGATGCAGTGTTGGGAGAAGTGTGGACATATGGTTGCCTCAGTCTGTGAATAGCATGGGCATGTTTGATGTGACTGAGTAACACCTTTCTCTTGGCCAGAAGGGAATCAATGTTTTAAAAATCATTGTTTCCTGTTCTTGTTGAGTGCTCAGGCATATGGGATTGTGTTGGGAAACTGCTCCTGTGCATCAGATGCTTGCTTGAGCCATTATATGAAATTTCTTCTTCCATTTAGGCACCTCTCTTCCCACTCCAGGCCAGTGTAACACCTGAAATTATTCCTGATGTCCAAGAGAGCAGCACACACAGACCCTGCAGGCATTCCTCCTGCAGCTCAGTGAAAACCAGCCTTCATGAACTATACCACTGTATTCTGAGCTTTTTTTCTCTATTTCTTAATAATTAGGGAATCACAGAAGCCTATGGATTGGAAAAGACCTCCGCAATTGAGTCCCATTTTTGAGGAGATAAAGTAGACTTGACTCATGCTAAATTTATCTCATCATAGGAGTAGATTCACTGCTGAATCCCCTTCTGGCTGTATCTATAAATAGAAGCAGCCAAAGGCTTTTCCAGGCTTGAGGCCAAGTGACAGCACAGAGTGGCTGAGGTCAGGGGCTCATCCTGCCTCTGAGCAGCACCAGGGTGGAGGCTGAAGGATCCATCAGCCCGTTGGAAGGCCATAGCAACTGCAAAGTTTAACAGGACTGTGAGCTCCTCCACTCTGGGAATCACAGGGGCATTGGATGCCAAGTTTTGGGAGGGGCTGCTGTTGGTTTGGACTGAGATCCTCACAGCAAAACCACTGGTGCAGCTTCCAAAGAGAGAATTAACAGAGTTGTGCTGCATCTCAGCAGCAGTTTGCATCCTACACCTGCCTGTAGGGGTTTGTGTACACTAGGGGTCTTCCCCCTTCATCTTTTGGGCTGCTTCCCCATGGATAATCTGGCAGATCTTGCTGGAGTTTGATCCTCTAAGGTCTCATGCCATCTCTAATGGCTGAACTTTCTGTTCTCTGGGGGGTCTCTTGCTGAGAGAGCTCACAGAACACTGAGGCTGCATTGCCTTCCCTCTGCTTTGGGATATCCAAAAGTAGGCCTTTGTTAGTGGAGTAAGGCATCCAGCACATTAATATTCCCAGTGGTCAAGAGGATGTATTGCTAGAACTTTTTGGTACAAATATCAGATTATGTGTTGGAAGGCCATAGTGGTCAAGAGGATGTATTGCTAGAACTTTTTGGTACAAATATCAGATTATGTGGGCTTTGGCCTGGCCGTGATAGCCTGAAGGTGTTTGGTGAATTAGGTAAGGGAACTTCTTTTCCTTTTTCTTCTTCACAGGAGGCATTTTGTGCACAGACCTGCCATTCTCCTTTGCCACATGAACTTGCAAAGGCTTGGCCATTGTAGATATGGGAGAACATAAACCCAGGGAGGAAAATTACCTATCTGAGATTGGCACCAGCAATAAATAACACCACTGAAGGCATAATCACCTGCTGCATGTGGCCTTTGTTCAAAAAACTGGTGCCCATGCTTGAACTTTTTCATATTTCTTTAATTGCTTCTGCTTGAGTTGCTCCCATGTTTCATTTATTCAAAGCTAGGACAGCATAATGGTAATTTTATCTTTAGTTGTTTTATGCAGTTTTATTGCATTTTGTGTTCTCATTCAGCCTACAGTAATTACTTTAGTGTCCACAATGACTAAACATGCTGGCACAATCACAAAAAGACCTTGGGCTGGCAGCACTTTCCCTGCTGTGTATTCAGTTGCTCCTTCCAATTCAAGGTATATTTACCTGCAAGTGATAGGATCAGTCATGTAGTTTGTTACCATCATTTATAGTCTTAGAAATTCTCTACAAGCTTAAAATATTGGTGGTTTTGGTTGGGGATTTTTAGCATTGAAGTAAAATATTTTAGCTACCTGCTGAACTTATTTCCAGTGTGTAGTATCTATAAAATACTAGCCATGCTTCAGGGGTGTCTGCTTTCATCACATCAAATAGTAACCAGTTTTCAAAGAGGAATTCTGGATTTATTCCTTCTGGAACAGAGCTATGTGAAGATACTCTGCCATCACTACGAGATCAAAAGGGGCAGTGCTGGTCCCTTTGCCTCTTGCCACACCCCATTAATTTCCTTTCCCAGGGAACATGTACATTTCTCTCACATTGGCCAGGACACCTTGCTAATTTATTCTCAATTGGAAAGTTAAAATAAAAATGTCACATTTTGTGTCACAGCACAAATGTGGGTTTCCTTGTTGGTTTATTTTTTATTGCCCAGAAGGACTTTGATCTCACAAGCTGAAGATGATAAGCACGCTATATAATTTGTGGGGTGCTCTCAGAGGCTTATTCCAGTCTTTTGCCTTGTTCTTGGTGAAGCACTTGTCAGGACAATATGATATGGCAAATGAAATGATTCTTTGCTAGTATTCTATATGAGAAACAACCATCTGGTTTTGCCTTGAGCTGGATATTTCTCCTGCAGTGCTCATGGGTCTCTCCAGAGCTCTGGTTTTCACTGTGCTTGGCTGGATTATGTTCCTCTCTCTCGATGCACAAAGTGAGTATTGTTCTGTTTATAAATGCCTGACTATTTTACTGCTTTTATTGAAATGGACCAAAATTTAATTTATTAAATTCATATGAGTCACAAACCTAGAAGTTTCAAATGCTTTGATTTATTGGTAAAATAATTTCTAAACAAGCAATCTTGGTGCCCTTGGAAGTGGTGGTTGGGCTTTCAGGGACTGAGTGATGGACAGGTGAAGACCACGCTCTTGTATATACAAGGGTTTGTACAAGTTTTCTTTAACTTTGGGGGGTTTGATTATTTTGTATCTGCAGTAGTCTATAATTTAAAACCTAGGCTGAAGCTGAGTCTGATGATGGATAATTTTAAAGTTGAAATCAGTTGAATTCCGTGCTGCTGCTGCTGATCTAAATTAGTTTGGAGTAGTTACCATTGTTACGTCTACTATTCAGAGTGATAAGTACTTCACTTGAAGTTCTGTTTGATGTATTGAGGCTTCCTGAAAGTGAAAACTACCAAATTCTTATCTTTTTCACTGCTCCAGAGCCTAGGCTTTAGCATACTCAGAGATGGAGGTGGTGAATTAAACCTAGAACCAGCAGCTGCTGACTAGAAATAGTCATTAGGATTCTATTCAGTGACTTGTGTAGAAATCTGCTCACTTACAAATGAGATCATGTGAAGTGATGCAGATATGAAGGCATCTACCTAGCCAGGGGAAAATATCCTTCTACTTGTTTATACTAAATGTCCCTTTGAGTGTCCATTAGGATGGCAAGGGTGAGGAGTAGGGACATTCTTAGCATTGGTGCAAACCCACATAGAGTAGCACAGCTAAGAGTGCAAGATGCACTCTGTAAGAGCATGGATTGCACTCCGGAAGCTTTGCTGCTGAATTCTAGTCAGGGAAGGAGGGAAAGTTTTGGTAGATTTCGGGGTTTTTGTGTGTATAGCTTGCAGACCTTAATGATTAAAAAAAAAGTCTGTCACTTTTGTCACACAGAGATAATGTATAGAGGTGAATGAGGTACAAGAAGCCACTTAGGAAAGCTACTTCTCATGACAAAAAAATATACTCCCAAAGGTCTCCTTCTCTAAAAGTTTAAA